AATCATATTGATCCACTCTGAACCGAGAATTTAGCGATTGAAATTTCGGCCTAGCCTCGATCATCATTTCTAAAGTCGGCACGATAAAAAAACAGTCTCAATTATCCAGTTCATGATTTAATCATAAATGAAAGTTGAGCAGCAATTGGATTCTAATCCAGTAAATATCACAGGCGAGCGATGACATTGAGAGTTGATTATGGTCTGGATAAGTTAATTAATGTCTAATTAATAATTTAGATAGCTCTTGCATAATGTATGTTTAACGTTAAAACAACAAATCAGCCATTTTGTTAACTGCAAAATTAAATATTACCATTTATTCAATATATCTAGGAGCAGGACCATCAAGAGTCCTGATGGGTCCTGTTAGCCCTGATGGGTCCTGTTAGCCTGTATTCATTAAAGCAGAATTCAGTTCAAACTTTTGTTAAAAATGTTACAAAGGTGAAGCACTGAACTATCTGTTCTCGATGCTTGTTTCCTGCGTTCCTCAAAAAATCTTTGATCATAACATGGAATATGTGGTCCCCAACTATAGACTAAAGTTTTTCAATCATAGGTGTTTCTCATACAATACACCAAATTCATTACCATTGATCCGGTTTCGTCCCACTGCTAAAGACTCTTACACGCAAGAGAATTATTGAAATAAAATTAGACCATATGTTAGTCCTTAAATGACCTAGTTTGTGTCGAGTAGAAGTTAAACTCCGTTTCTATCGCTCTCTCATTACCCTTGACCATAAAGAATTCACAATCTCTTGACTGTTTAAAGAAGCAATTAAAGACTCATCTTTTTTCGACTGCTTATTAACATTAACTGTGTTTTTATCGTGTGATAAGTGGTGGAGAGCTAGATGAGCCTTGAGCATTAACTTTAATGGAATTGTCAGCTATATAAGAATGCGCTATTATTATTATTATTACTTGCAAGCGAATTAATAAAATTTAAAAAAATGAACCATATGTTAGTCCCGAAATGATCTAGTTTGTATCAAGTGGATATTAAGCCCTATTTTACTGTATCTCTCTGAAGTCTGTCTCTTTAAAAGTAGATAATATAATTTGATGTCATTACATCCTGTATATAATGAACTACATTCACCTTGTCTACTGGTTCTAGATTAATACAGTACACTTCTATTGTCACACAGTTAATTATTGATTTTGTCTATGTTGTTTTGTTATGTCTATGGATTGTTGAACAGTTTTCCTGATTGTGTAAAATGGTAAATATCGTTCATTGTTTTGTTCTGTCTATAGATTATTCAGCAGTTTGCTTCCTTGGGTATTTTTTTATATATGAAACGGTGTAAAATGGTATTGTTAATTGTTTTGACCGGTCAAATTTGCAGCATGGTTTCGCCCTTGTCAGTGGTGCAGAATGGACGGCCTGACAAGAAAAGTGTCTTGTGATTCAGCCGAAAAAAACGTGGTGCATGTAAAAAAAAGATATAGTTGTTCGGATGAGTCAAAAAAATTAATGTTCTGTGTACACATTGGCTTGCACGTAAAAGAACCCCTGACAGTTGGAAGTCAGGCAAAATTTCCCTCATTTCACACTGTATGCCCGTCTTCATTGGGGGTTGGTTGGCCGAATGGTTAGCACGCACGCGCTGTATTATAAGGTCTGTCATTGAGTCAACTGGCAGGGTTTCAAATCCCTGGTTGTACGTGACAAGGAGTAGGGCCGTCTGTTCATCCTCGTGGGTTTTCTCCGGGTCCTCTGGTTTCCTCCCACTGCTAAAGACCCCTACGCGCAAGCGAATAATTGAAATAAAATTGAATTATTTGTTAGTCCCGAAATGACCTAGTTTGTGTCGAGTGGATGTTAAACCCCATCTCTCTCTCTCTCTCTCTCTCTCTCCCCCCCCCCCATCTTCATTAGCCCAGTAGGAGCAGAACAGTAGGTCGTTAAACCCCATTTCATTTGATTACATGTGTATAGATAATTTATACATGTACTATACAAGATAAGATGGTTTTAATCTCTCTACTGTATATATTATTGATATGTAATATTAACCTGTACCTGTACTTACCTGATATATTGATTGATATATAATCAAACAGGTAGATCTCTATACCTTGATTTACGATAGGTATTATATGTAATGGTTGATTATTGTTATGTCTGCGGAGTCATTCAATATGGATCACTGCATTTAATCTGCAAAACCATCAAGATTTTCAACATGACATCACAACAGCATCAAGATATTAATGTGTGATTGGGGAGTCGCGGTGGCTCAGTGAGCAAGGCACTGGTTCACTAACTAGGACATCAAGGGTGTTCGATCCCCATGTTGGCCAAGAAAATTTAGGAAACATGTAGATCTGTATGGGTTGATATATAGCCGGTATTGTTTATCATGTTTAATTATTTGCTTTGTCTACAAGACATGCATCATATTAGTAAATGTCACTGCTCCATTGTTGGTGGTGGGGGATGGGGAATGGTCTAACGCGTGAGCTCTAGGTCATACGGACTGTTATTGAGTCAAGTGGCATGGTTTTGATCCGACACTCTTATGTGACGAGGAGTCAGGCGACTATTGAAGGGTGATTGCTCATTAACTGCATCAAATGAAGAGCAATTACTACTAATTGACTGCCTCAAATAAAGGGTAGGGTAATTCCTAATTGATTGTATTGAATGAAATGAAATGGAGTTTTACGTCCTACTGTTCTGCTCCGAAGTGGGCTAATGAAGGTGGGCATACACCATACAGTGTGCTATGAGGGAAATTTTGCCTGGACAGCGGCACTATGGCCAACTCTTATATCGAATTCTAACTGTCAAGGGATCTTTTACGTGCACGCCAGTGTGTACAAGGAACCTCATTTTTTCGTCCCATCCAGCTGTCCTTGTCAGGCCCTCTGTCCTGCATCACTGACAAGGAACCACGCCGGAAAATCTGGATGAACTTTCTCGGCCAATGCAGAGATCGAACACCTGACCTCCAGGCTAGAGAGCCAGCGTCTTACCCACCTAGCCACCGTGATCCCCGTGTATTGAATGAATGATTACTAATTGAATGAATCCTCGGTTGTACGTGGCAAGGAGTAGGGTCGCCTGTCCAACCTCGTTTGTATTCTCCGGGTCCTCTGGTTTCCTCCGACTACTAAAGACCCCTACGCGCAAGCGAATTATGTAAATAAAATTCAAACATATGTTAGTCCCGAAATGACCTAGTTTGTGTCGAGTGGACGTTAAACCCCATTTTTCTCTCTCTCTCTCACTAATTGAATGAATAGCGATTGCTAATTGACTGCATCGAATGAAGGGCAATTGCTAATTGACTGCATCGAATGAAGGGTAATTGCTAATTGAGTGTATCAGATCAACCATGCATGTAATTGCTAATTGAGTGAATAAAACATAGTTTTTGGTTATAAAAACAAGAATTAGGTTTTGTTCTATAATTGATATATAAACAGTTTTCTAGGTTTATTTATACTCAAGCCATTTAACAAATGAGCAGTGTGTATGGTGTATTGACCGATTCCAAACAGCCTGGCTTCAAATCTCCTCTAGTAGAGTTATTCCTGATAGTTCTATTTATAGCTGACCCTGTCAGTAGAACCAGAGTTACATCTGGTATGAGGAACTATTTATAGTAACAATTCTACAGACTGTGAGAAAAGTCTACTCTATTAAACTGACTTCATTAAACATTCTCACCTACTTCTTATACTTTTATCAGAATATAGGTAAAACTCATTTGATGTTTGGGGGTGGGGACAAGTATAAGTAAAGCTCATTTGATGTTGGAAGTGCGGTGGGGGGGGGGGGTCTGTCATTGAGTCAAGTCCTTCCTCGGTTTTTATCCGATTTTCATGAAACTTAAAATATATGTTTATATCCCAAAGATCTCGATTCATTTCAATATTGATGCATGTTGGACCATAACATCCTGGATTATGGTCCCAGATTGTACGATAAATCACTTTTTTTTAGCCTGTTCTCTGTCCATCTCTTGTAAAATGTGGGCCTATTTTGCATGGCATTCTCAGACTTAAGACTTTACTCAACTTTCAGTCATTATTTATGAGAAATATCTTTGATCCAGAAACACAAAACTTTGCACATAGTTTCTTATTGATGTATTTAATACATTAAAACAACAAAAGTTTTATAAAGGGCTATATTTTAGTTAAAATACATTTAAGGCAAACATGTAAGGAGAATGTTATGTGAAACTGGGGTCAGGATAAAGTTATAACTGTCGTATCGACTTTAGTAATGATGATCGAGGCTAGGCCTAAAATTCAATCACTAATATCCCGGTTCAGAGTGGAACAATTTGACTAAAATTTGCAGCGTATTCTATTTACATTATCTAGTTTTCAACTATTATAGTGAGAACTGCCAGCTCTTTATCTAATCTCCCATAATGTATCTTTAATGACTAATAAGATGGTATATGACTAGCAATGTATACAAATATTTAACATTATATAACTACATGTATAAACACTAAGAATACAAAATAGTCATAGCTTGGGCTTAAAAAATAACCAACAATTGACCCTAAAAATTAAAAGATAAATGGCCATAATGACGAACTGGCACAATAATAGATGAGTTTAAATCATATTAAAAAGAAAAGGTCAGATTATAAAATTATACTATAACATTTAAGTTGAAGGTGGAGGTTTATTCTCTGAAATATTGTGGATTAAAACTATCGCCCTGTCAGTGTGGCACTACTAATTCTGTTGTGAGCAGGAAGAACAATGTGGGAACTTAGCTCTTCAGGCCTGGTGACTTGTCAATTTTGCCTATAATGAAGCACATACATAGAACTCTCTACCACTTCATCTACGGATAGACCTATCTCTCAAAACCTACCTGTTTCAATATTCATATTTATAACTGTTCCTTGTAAATTGTGTCAATGCTTTGAGCACACAATACTGTTTGGGGTCTAGCACTTTATAAGAACTCTTATTATTAATTTAAATTAATGACGTGTTTATTTTGTATATTTTAGAATTTGTCATCAAGACCGTATTCAGGTAGTGGAACGTCGAGTTATGGTACGTCTGATAGTGGACGATATTCATCACGACCTGCTAGCTCTTATAATGAATATTCACGCTCCACAACCTCATTAGATTCAGATTATAAAAAGGTATGTCTTTATATGTCTTTATACATGTATTTCAGGGATTGGTGGTCGAATGGTTTAATTTGTGTGCTTTAGATTTTAAGGTCTGTTATTGAGTCAAGTGTCGTTTCATTTCCCCACTTGTATTTGACAAGGAGTGGGGTCACCTGTCCAACCAGGTGGGTTTTCTCCTGGTCCTCCGGTTTCCTCCCACTGTTAAAGACTCCCTCTGTGCAAGTGAATTATTTAAATAGAATTGAACCATATTAGTCCCGAAATGACCTAGTTTGTGTTGAGTGGACGTTAAACCACATCTATCTCTACAGACAACACTTACCATCTGATTGTTTTGAAATTGAAATATGTTGTTAACATTAGTGAGATATGGCCCTTATTTCACTTTGTTGCACCTTGTGAACGCTTTAGCGACAAAAGTTATTATCCGATCTGTATGAAATTTATATGTGTCATTTAAATTCGTGAAACAATGAAGCCTTTTGAATTTCCATTTTTTATGTCTAGAGTTATGGCCCTTGTTTCACTTTGTTAGACCTTTTGAACACTCAAACGACAAAAGTTGTCATTTGATCTGTATGAAATTTATATCCATCATTTAGATTAGCGAAACAAAGAAGCCTATTCAATTTCAACAATTTCTGTTAATGACTTACAGAGTTAAGTCCCTTGTTTCATTTTGCAGAACCTTGTAAACCCTCAAACAATGAAAATTTTAATCTGATCTGTATGAAATTATCTTGTAAAAGTCCTTATTACCTACAAAAGAATAAATATGTAAATTAGTGAAACGAAGCAATTTGTTGAATTTCAGCAATTTTCGTTTATTACTTTTAGAATTAAGGCCCATGTTTCCATTTGTAGAACCTTGTGAACCCTCAAACGACGGCAATTATAATCTGATCTGTTTGAAATTGTCTAGTAAGTGCCCCCCATTGCCTACAAAAGAATAAATATGCGACAACCCTTGTCGACCACTAAGACGATTTAGCTGCTGTTGGTTTTTTATTGCCTTGCAACCTATCTTAGTTATTATATGAAAAGAAAAGAAATCCAGTAATGAAATCCCCCATGTTTTATTTTAGTTATATGAAGAAGAGAAATCCAGTAATGAAAAATTACGAAAGGAATTAGAGCAGTGTAAACAAGAATTAAGAGATGCTAAGAAAGAATTAGATCGGGTCATGAGAAAAAATAATGATCGAACGGAAGTTACCAACGACAAACGGGTAAGTCAAATATATTAAACGTAAAACAGAGTTCCTGTTACTCTGTAATGAGTAAGGGGGTTGGATGGCCGAATAGTTACCGTGTGCGCGTTGAATCGTAAGGTCTGTCATTGAGTCAACTGGCGTAGTTTTGATTCCCCAGTTGTACGCAACAAGGAGTAGGGTCACCTGTCGAACCTCGTGAGTTTTCTCCGGGTCCTCCAGTTTCCTCCTACTGCTAAAGACCCCTAGACGCAAACGAATTATTGAAATAAAATTGAACCATGTGTCAGTCCTGAAATTACCTAGTTTGTGTCGTATATTTAAACCCCATTTCTCTCTCTCTCTCTCTCTAATGGGTAGGGAGTCATGGTCGCTCAGTGAAAAAGATGTTAGCTCGGTAATCTGGAGATCCTGTGTTTGCTCCCATAGTTCGCTGAGAAGGTTTCTCGGGATTGTCCGACGTTAAGCTTTATCAATGGTGCAAGGCAGAGGGTCTGGCAAGGGACCAACATATAGTTGTTCGAATGGAATGAAAAACAGGGGTACCATGTACACAGTGGCATGCACGTAAAAGATTCCTTGACATTTGGAATTCGATACAAGAATAGGCCGTCTTGCTGCATACCGGGCAAAATTTCCCTCATATCACACTGTATGGAGTATGCCCGTCTTCATTAGCCCAGAAGGAGCAGAATAGTAGGACGTTAAACCCCATTTCATATTTAATGTGTTTTTATTTTATAATTTCAGGAAAAACGAGCTTTAGAAAGAAAGTTATCTGAAATGGAGGAAGAACTTAAGGTATGCATCACAAACAAATTTTCTTACATGTGTCGCTTTTCATTACCTAAGGGTCCCTGCATTTGGAGTCCATTTTACTTCCTTTCGGATGATTCCAGTTTCTTACCATGCTTTCAATTCCATTGGTTGGGTTTATTTGACAAGCGTTTCCCATCATTACGCTACAGTTAGGTATTGTGTAGTTTTAGTGGCAGTTTCTGTATTTAATGTTTACAAGCATTTCCCATCCTTACACTACATCCTTACGCTACAACTTTGGGTATCGTTTAGTTGTGATGTTTTAGTGGCAGTGTCTGTATTTAATGTTTAGTTTCAAACCATTGTTGGCAAATTGTTAAAATTCATTGATATTTTCCAGCATGTGTCCCTTGTCAGTGATACGGGACGGAGGGCCTGGCACGGAACACACAGTGTCTAGTTGTTTGGATAGGACAAAAATCGAGATTCGGTGTAATGGTGCGCTTGTAATAAAACCCTTGAAGGTCATTTTCCAGCAGGTGTCCCTTGTCAATGATGCAGGATGAAGGGCCTGGCACAGAATACACAGTGTCTAGTTGTGCAGATGGGATAAAAAACTAGATTCAGTGTTAATTGCCGCGCATGTAAAAGAAACCTTGACAGATTGATTTCAATTAAGAGCAGATGGAGATGTCATCCAAAATTTCCATATTTGTTCATTAAATGGTGTATGACCATTCCCCATGCCCAAAAGGCCATGTTTTTCTGGAAAGCCCAGTTGAACTTTGCAGGGACCAGGCAAATCAGTAAGATAACAGTACAAGAGAGGGTGGGTGCTTCTTAATGTAGTCTCTGTCTTCCAGCAAAGCTTTAAACAATTTTCCTAAAATACCTAGGCTTTTTGTTCTGAGATGTAGTCTCTGTCTTCCAGCTATTGGAGAAATTAAAGGCAGATAATGCCAAACTTAGAGAGGAGAACCGTGCTCTAACACGGGTGGTGTCCAAACTATCGAAATAGGTAACATGCTCACGGCCATTTTATAAGACCTTTTCCATGATCCAATTATGCAGAGGTGCAGAACTTAACCTAATATTTTTTATGGCCTTGAACTTTGTCTGATTAATGCCATGGAAACGGATAGACCAAAAAAAAACGTTATCAAGACTGTTTCTAAATATTTATGTGATTTTATTTCCTGATCTATAAAATAATATTTTCCAACATTAAAAATTTCCCAAGGACAAATTGTTGTCCAAAGATAAGGTAGTCATGTGAGTAAACAAATATTAATGACCATTTAAGTCATGTGACTACATCGAAATTAATGACCATTTAAGTCATGTGACTACACAAAAATTAATGACTAAGTCATGTGACTACACAAAAATTGATGACGATTTAAACAGACAAAGTATGAGCCCTTTATTAACGGGATTCAGGACCCTAATATTTTAAAATCTTTGGGTAATTTGGAACTACTTTTATTTTATTAAGTTTCACCCTTTACCTGTTGCAGGTGAGCTTTCTATAAAATATACAAATATTTTTCATATTATTTCTTTTTGTACAAATTCGCTTATCTTTTATTTGTCCCAAGTAATATATATATTTTTTGTTATTTGTCATCGTCCAATCAGAAGTGTTTTAGTATATTTATGAACTTGTAGTGCGATAAGCTTAAATAGGACATATTTAATTTAATGGCGTCGTCCAATCAGAAGTGTTGTAGTATAATTTATCAGAATTATTCACAGTTATCTAGAAAAATAGGAATTTGTTTAGATGTGTAAATAGAGCTTTGGTAGAAGATTCGGCAGAAACCCCGCTGCCTGAGCAAAATTGTCCCCCTCACATACCATACATAGCGGGTGGTGGATTGCCAAATTGTTAGTGTTTGGTTTCGATTCCTTGATTGTACGTGACAAGGAGTAAGGTCACCAGTCCAACATCATGGGTTTTCTCCGGGTCCTCCAGTTTCCTCCCACTGCTAATGACCCCCACGCGCAAGGGAATTATTTAAATAAAATTGAACCATATGTTAGTCCCGAAATAACCTAGTTTGTGTCGAGTGGAGGTTAAACCCCATTTCTCTCCCTCACCCCACATAAACATTAAAATGAAACTTACCATGCTGATATCCAAATGGCCTGTATTATTATATATGTTAAACAGTTGTTAAACCCCCATTTCATTCCCTTCCGCCCTAGTTCACAACATTTTCATGTTATGGGTTCCATCCCATCCAAATTTACAAAACTTCCACCTTATGGACTCCCTCCCTCATTTACCTCAAACAGGCATTATTCAAGAGCTAAATCTGCCTATTACAGATCTTTTCTTCGGGTCTTAAATGCTATATAAATTATTGATTAGACATTAATTAAATAATCCAGACCATAATCAACTCTCGATGCTATTGGATACTCAAGTTTTTCAATAGATTCAAATACGATTGACAGTTTAATTTAAAAATGGATAATCAAGAATTTGTTTATTATCTTAACAACAGTAGCAATGACAATCAAGACTACACTGTTCTTCAAATGGCCATAACTCACCTCACAATGAAGTAATTTGACTGAAATTTTCAACATTTTCCCTTTTCAATATCTATTGTTTAAATATTATAGCGAGAACTGTCAGCTGTTCAGCTAAATCTTACATAATGCATCTTTACTATAACTATTATGACGAGAACGTCCATGTCTAAATCTTACATAGTGTATCTTTCATATAACCATTATGACAAGAACGTCCAGCTCTTTATCTAAATCTTAATCTTATGCCCCTTTAAGGTTTGATATTTAAAAGTACATACCCAGTTTCGTTTGATAAATTTGAAGCTGTAAATTTTCTATGTAGAATTGTGTTTTTGACGTAGAATTAATCCAATCATTCTATATATGACATCATTCACATTGTAAACTTATTCAAAAATTTACTGCTTTACCAGTACTGGGAATGTGACCTATGACCCTTCAAATAAAACTTGACCTATGACCTCTGCACCAAAAGCCTTGACTCAAACCCCTTATACCAAATTATGGAAAAGGTCTTTAAAATGATTGAAACAGTTTTGTTGGAGCATGGAAACCCGTTTGGTCTGGTTACCATGGCATGGTAGCACTCCCTCATTCCCTGTCTCGTCCAGTTTGTCTTGTATAAATATATAACACTCCCTTTCTCTCTAATAATAGACATTTTTGGCAAGCAGAAATTCCTGGTCAGTATCGCGTGTCCGTATCAATTTTTCGTGTGACGTCATTTTTCCTACTTTTCGATGCTGAAATGTTGTGTTATAGCATTTTTTTTATGAACCTATGTGTATTCTGGAACACGAAGGTGTATATTTGATATGGTTTTAAACATGATAAAGACTGCAATTTAATCATTGAAAAAAAGCACCCCAATGGTGAAAATCGGAACTTATATGTATGCAGCACGAAAGTCTGCCAAAACTCTAAAACTTCATTGACACAACATCTTGTGACGATACGGATACATGATATGGGTGGGACAAATTCTGCTTGCCAAAATTCTCTAGACTAATAATCTCTCTCTAAGGCCAAATCAATAGGATTTTTACTTCTCCAGAATCAATAGTCTATTTATCGATCAATAATCAATAGTCTGTCGATCAATAATCTATCTATCAATAGTCTCCTGATCAATAATCTATCAATCAATAGTCTCTTGAGTTCTGTCAACAATATCTTTTTTAAAATTTCAAAATTTTTAATGGAAAACTTTTTAAAAGTGACATCCAAGTACTCTTTTTACACACACATAAAAGTGTAGTATATTGTCGTAGACTTCGTCCATTTGTCTTCCACAATTTCTTGTGAACACGCTATAGTCAACATTATTTTATCATCTGATCGTTTTGAAATATAAATATGTCGTTTACATTGGGAAGATGAAAAAGCCAATTGTTATAGAGTTATTACCCTTGTTTAACTTTGTATAACCTTGAGAACACTCGAAAGATAAAATTTATCATCCGATCTGTATTAAACTAAATCAGTAAATTGAAGAAGCCTATAGATTTTAAACAATTTCCTTCCATTACTTTTAGAGTTGAAGCCCTTGTTTCAATTTTTGAACCTTGTGAATGCTCAAACGACAAAAATTATCATCCAATCGGATTAAATTGATATCAGTGTCTAGTAAATGCTCCCATAACCTATAAAAAAAAGAAATAAGAAATATTCGACAACCGTCGTCGACTGCCCTGACAATTAAGCAGTTGCAGTGGGCGTATGTTTTTCCTTGCTTGGCAACCTATCTTTAGTTTTAAAGTAGATTGGGGGGTTGGATGGCCGAATGGTTAGCACGTGCACGCTGTATCATAAGGTCTGTCATTGAGTCAACTGGTGTGGTTTCGAATCCCCTGTTGTACGTGACATGGAGTAGGGTCGCCTGTCCATCCTCGTTGGTTTTCTCCATGTCCCCCGGTTTCCTAAAGACCCCTACGCGCTACGTGCAAGCGAATTATTGAAATAAAATTGACCCATATGTTAGTCCCGAAATGACCTAGTTTGTGTCAAGTGGACGTTAAACCCCATTTCTCTCTCTCTCTTTAAAGTAGATTTGTCCTGATGAAATGAGAAGGAATATTTTTAATTAGTCTTCTGGAAGAACAAAAATGCTAATTGATATGGCCTAATATTTACATGTATTAATCAGTTAATTCTAATATCTTGTTTCATCTTTTTTCTCTGGGTAACTGCCCTGTTTTTTTTTTCTTAAAAAATATTAATCTTAGCAGATATTCTCAAAACCTTACACAAATCCTCTAAAACTGAAGAATTATTGACCTAGGCTACTTGTCTATGACGGGGGATTTGAGTCAAAAGTCAGTGCTATGTTGTTAGTGCTATTACATGTCCAATGTTGCAAATCTTGAATGTAATGTGTAAATTGAAGGACGTCAAATTTAACAAAATATTGTAATACTGACAAATACATCGTGTAAATTGACATCTACGTTTTGTCATTAAACATTTCACATTAGACATTTCAAAATTTCCACAACACGCCTAACTCCATCTACCCAGATCTTTAAACACTGAACTCTCACATCTTCTCATATGACACGCGCACTATGTATTGTACCGTTCAACCTTTCACATTTACATCGTAACACAGAACTCACGACATGAAATTAGCCAGTATGCAAATTTTTTAATCACGTGACATCTCGCGTGAAGAAAACATAATTTTCAAGCAGGGAATTTCCCCCGGCATGAGACCTGCAACCGGGTGTTGATTTCATGATTTTTTTTCTATATAAAGAACGAAAAGTAAAATAGCTCGGCTTCCACATCTAACACAAGAAATTGTTCGTAGAATTCATAGACTTTCCTACGAATAATTTTACTCTGAAGTCGCCAGGGTTTTGTGTGAACGTGTGCGACAGTTCATGAGCAATGTGGACATAAAAAGTTGCCACAACAACCATCCTGCCCTTCATGATAAGTATACATAATACAAAATATAATAGCTCAACAAATAAAAGGAGAAGAATGAACAATGGCCCATGGATGGGTATTATATAATTTATAAACAGGATAGCATTATAATGCAAAAGATGACAGCACCAAAAAGAGACAGTCATACAGCTTAGATCTCGCGTGATTAAAAATAGATTCCGTGTGAACTAATTTGCATACTGGCTAATTCCATTACTTGTTCTGTGTTACGATACACAAGACATATGTCGAAGGGTACAATACATAGGGTGAGTGTCAAATGAGAAGATGTCAGAGTTCAGTGTTGAAAGTTCTGGGTAGATGGACTTCGGCTTGTTGTGAAATGTTTAATGACAAAAAGTAGATGTCATTGTACACGATGTATTTGTCAGTATTACAGGATTTTTTACTTTTGACTTCGTCCAATTTACACATTACATTCAAGATTTGCAACATTGGACATGTAATAGCAGTAACAACATAGCACTGACTTTTGACTCAAATCCCCCGTCATACTTGTCCTAGGTCAAACTACAATTGAAACGAATTTGAATATTTTTTATATAATAGTAATGTGAGATTTTGAGAAATGAGATTAATACTTTGGCAATTTGTTTTATTTTTTTGTTGTTTTTTTCTTTTTTTTTTTTCTTTTTTTTTTTTTAAATTCTTTCTTGTTGAATATTCTTTACTTAGTTATTAGGCCAGAACTGATTTGTCGATTCCTTCATTGTCATCTTTATAACGTCAGACTAAAAGACTCGAGATGATAATAGGAATCTCAAATTGAAATTTTCGTAACATTATTTTGGGTCTACTGTTAATTGTTTTGTTTAACTAATCATAAATAGTTAATGATGTCTTTTTTTTTATTAATCATTTATGGCTACGCTATAACACATGGAAGAATAATTACTTATTTATTTGGCCAATGTTTCAAAGAGTATTTTGTTCCATGTGATCAAGAAAACTCTAGAAACATCGCCCTGATTAATCAGTTCCGTAAAATTTATTCCATAAGTATGTATTATAGGATTACTACTTATCAATATGCTATAACACATGAAAGAACAATTATCTATTTATTTGGCCGATGTTTCAGAGAGTATTTGTTTCGTATTATCGAGAAACCCCTTCGAAACATCGCCCAAATTAATCAGTATTGTATAAAAATGTCCACAAGTATGTGTTATAAATAGTGTTACTACTTATCATTTTCTACAGTTTGATTTCTTTTTTTTTCTTTTTTTTAATACTAAATTCTTTTTCGATTTATTACTTACATAATATTAATTTCCACTGTCCGTCCACTCATGGTTTCCTTCTTCAATCAGCCCCAAGAATACCTTGGTTAGGTGGTTGGATGGTCGGGTGGTCAAACACAAGAACATTAGCTCATAACACATTGGCTTTAGATTAAAAGGTCTGCCCGCCTTTAGATCATAAGGTCTGTCTTCTCTAGCTTAGCGCTAATAGTTTAATGTGTGAGACCTGTAGATCGTGAAAGAAAGCAAAAATTATAGTAAGTAAAATCATAACCAAGTTGACCAAGTTCTAGTCAAGATCATCAGTACTTTTTTTGCTGACGCACAAAAATTTATACACTAAAGGGACTTTGCCTGTTCACTCAGGGATGGCAGAGTTTGTAAATGTGCGTGCCAAAATAAGAAATATTTTTGATACAAATTTTTCTCACATGCCAACCAAAAATATTTGGGGAACAGATTTGTATTTAGTGCCTTTTGATTTTAAGATTGGGAGGACCTTTTCAAGTAATCAGAAATCACACCGGTGTGGTACAATCAGGGAATATATAGTAAGAGTGGTTTTGTAGATCATATGAAATTGAATGAATGCTAAATCTAGTCCAGTGATTCTCAACCAGTGTGCCGCGAACTTTTGAATGGCACACTAACAAAATGCAATAAACCATGTGATCATAATTGAGTATTCACTTGTGTTTATTTAGTAAGAGTCATTCTATGTGTCTATAACTACATGTAGTATCTGTCTACGGTTGTATGCCGTCTGAAACCATCTGACTTGCCATGTTTTCATTTTGCAAAATTTAAATATTTTTCATATATATATATATTTAGCCAGGCGTGCCGCTATTTTTTATGTGTTCCATTGTGTGCCGTTGGCAAAAAAAGGTTGAGAACCACTGCTCTAACTCTCACATCCCACCTACACCCAGAAAATCTGGTTGCGTGTTCGATCCCTGCATTGGCCAAGAAAGTTCATCGTTATTTTCCGACAAGGTTTCCCCATGTCAGTGGTGCAGGATGGAGGGCCTGACAAGGACAGCTGTCTAGTCATTCAGATGGGACAAAAAAACGAGATCCTATGTACACATTGGCATGCATGTAAAAGATCCCTTGGCAGTTGGAATTTGATATAAGCGTAGGCCTTAGTGCCGCTGCCCAGGCAAAAGTTCCCTCATAACACACTGTATGGCGTATGCCCGTCTTCATTAGCTCAGTCGGAGCAGAATAGTAGGACGTTAAACCCCATTTCATTGTATTTAAATTATTGAGTAGTCCCCACCGATCATAATTCTGTAGAATGAAGTTGGAATTTAATTCATAATATATTGGGTATTCAGTTTCGGGGATTTTGGGGTTTTTTTTGTTTTTTTTAAGGTGAGTCCACGGTTTTCGCATCCCAGAAAGAAGTCATTAGCGGGTCAGGGGTTATCCACACCTATTTAGATATACACCATCAAAATGGTTTGACTCTCTTGATTGAAAAATGAAATGATTATATTCGTATTTTAATTAAAATGTAATCTTTCCCCCTTTTTTTTTTTAATTAGAAAATGGAAGTTTTAAAGAATGACAATGCCCGATTGAAAGAAGAAAATGGTGCTCTTATTCGTGTTATAAGTAAACTGTCGAAATAGATGAAATAAAATAACTCACTGCTTTGTATTAACCAGCTCAAAAAGGTTTTTAAAAAAAAAATAAAGAGACAGAAAAAATGATGAAAAAACGCTTCGTCACAGATCACCATCATAGATAACCTCTTCGCTCTTCCATCAAACATCATTGAAATCACCATCTGCTACAGAGACTTACAGATCTGGTCTACTTCATCGCCACTCGCGATTCGTCGCCATTTTCTTTATCTGGGTCACATGTTGTTCCCTTATCGGCCAATCAGGACATAGATTCTATCGTTCGATCAGCAATCATCTTTGACGTTTATGACAGATGCGGTTTGATCGATTGAATCTAGTGTCGAGTTAGTTTAGAGTTTCTCCCCCTCCTCCTCCTCCTTTCTATCTATCCTTACTTCTATCCTTCCTTACCTCTTCGCTATCCTTACTTCCTTCCTTTCTCGACTATCTATGACTGGATAACCTATTATTAGACCCTTGAAGAGATAAATTCGGACATATCTATTTAAACATTAATCGTTGTGAAATATGTTTCAATTCATAATAAATGTGCTTAATAAGCACTCTTGAATTCACGGCGCTGGTTTTGGATATATTTGCAGTCATGACCAACAGGGAAATTGGCCAGCTGGAGAACCTTAATGTCTGTCAATGTAGACATGACAAAATTGAAATTCCAAACACAATAAATAGGCCTACAGTTACATTTATAGTTTTTATGAATCCGAATTGGATTAAAACTATTTTCAACGTATGAATATATCAGCTTTAATTTGGGTTATCCAGTCTTAATTTATTACTGTAGACATAGTCAGCAAAACACCGTACAAAATTTCATCAAAATTATTGAAAGAAATCGTCTTGAGGATGAAAGAACAACATACAAAATGGCGCTTTCGTTGCAAGGTGCAACAAATAATTTTTATGTAAATTTGCACGAATGCGGGTGACGCGAGTTTGAACTGTTCGAGAATTTCATGTGATCTATTTATTCGTTTGATTAAAATGGTAAAAAAAAAGTTTAGGAGCGGAGAGAAAAATAAAAAACCTTTTTGGTGGCTATCAATAACTTGTTCGTGAGTAAATTTTACGAGAATAACATTAGGAAATAAGATTAAAATTAATTAATTGTTACATTGTATTTTCGTACACTTTTGTCATATTTTATTCAAAATTTGTGGTGATTTATTGAAAAATTAAATGAATTTATGGCAATTTCTTGCAGATATAAGATAATAGATAATACATGTGCAGAGTGGCATGTCATTGAAAAAGCATTCTAAGAGTTATCCCCCTTTTTTTTACGATTACATATATATTTAGAGTTCTTGTTTATTGGTTGATAGTTTTGGAACTTCTGAATGATTCAAATTAAAACATTTGCATACAATTTTCCATATGAAGAACTCTGATTGGTTCAAAACAAAAATTTGCATACAATTATCCATGTGAAGAACTCTGATTGGTTCAAAACACAATATTTGCATACAGTTGTCCATGTGGAGAACACTGATTGGTTCAAAACAAAAATTTGCATACAGTTGTCCATGGGGAGAACTCTGGTTCAAAACAAAATATTTGCATACAATTATCCATGTGGAAAACTTGTGATTGGCTTAAAATAAAACATTTGTATATAATTGCCATATTGATAAAAAAAAAAAAAACCCACCGAATTAAGGCAAATCACCATTCTTGATCTTGTGTTATTAATAATAATTAGAATTAAATTTAAATAGAATTGTTGAAGCTTTTGTTAAATTAAACTTTGTGAATTCCTGGGGTTTTTTTGCTATTTTACTAATCAAATGGATAGATATTATCAATGGAATTCTTGTGGTTTATGTGGATTTATATTTTTTTCGTGTTGTATGGTAAAAGAGTATATAGTATCAGTCTGCGTTGCGTGCTCCGTGTGATTTGGTAATTGAATAAATAAAAAATGTGAAAATTAATATTTTTACACAATCATTAAAAACATTAGTTAGCAACGATTTAGATTGACGATATTATTGTCAATATTTTTTTACGTAAATAGCTATGTATACAATTATAATAAATCTATAATAGGAAAAATACTTAAAAAAAATATATACAAAATTTTAAAAAAAAACAAAAAACAGTGATTTGCACTGTATGTGTTTTGACTTACTCTAATATTTCTTTTTCTCCTCTTCTTTCGCTTTTCAAAAATTGTAAATCTTTTAGGTTTACTTTTTGATTTTTTTTTTTTTTTTTTTCACAGTTTTCAATCCAGGGAAAAAAATCTTGGATTATCTCCCTTGAATTGTTACTGTGAATTACCTCCCTTGTAAGAATAGATTATTTTTTGGTGTGTTGATTACAGTGCTACGAAAACACATGTGTTTTTTGTTGAGGATCTTTTTATTTCGAATTAAAAAAAAAAAAAAATCCTATTCTTTAAGGGAGGCTTTTGTTTTTCTTGATTTTCTTGGGGAGATATTTTTGAATTTTAAAGAACTACAACTCTTGTAACTTATAAAAATTTGGCCTGATATTCGAAAGTGGATACAACCATGTTGACCTAGTTATTTTCTATTGGAGACGATAGATAATAAGCATATATGAGAATATGGTATGTTTTTGTTTAAAAGTTTTTGTGTAATGTGTACTATAAGTATAATATTCATTTAGATAATATGTGAAATTAGTTTTTGTTCATGAAAAAAAAAAAAATGGTGGTTTATTTAGTGAAAAAAATGAATGACTGGACGTCCAGTGATAAAGAGGTAAGTCTTGTATATCCAGGCACACAACATGACAATAATGTATTGGCTTTATTATGTAAGATATATATATGTTACCTTGGTGCTAATTAGTTTAAGTTGTTGTAATATTATTATTATTATTATTATGGGATGGATACCAGTAGACATATATTAATATTATTAGGCATTGAAGCATAGATACTGCTTACATGTAGAAGTTCCACAACTTAAGGAATAGCTTGACCATTACCTTGATAGTGTGGAGCTGATTGTATTATTATGGTGAATATTGATTACACTTGTTGTCAGTTAACTTTGATTGGTCTTAACAAAGGGTAGATAACTCTTCAGGGAAGCAGGGAAGATAACTCTTCAGGGAAGATAACTCTTGTCTGTATAAATGCACAGTGTTACTAGTTAGCTATATTTACTCCTCGAATGAGAAATGTTATCACAATCAAAGTATATTGTAAAGTAAGAAATAAATGTGTTATGTACGAACTATCAACAAATTCCTCTTCCATGACAATTTCCGTTAGAAATAATTCGGCGTGAGAATGTGGAATCGGTTGATGTTTTTATACGATAATTAAACTTGTGGGTTATTGATTTATTCAATGTACGAATCACAGGGACTCTGAAAAAAAAACCTGGCCAGAAATGTTAATGACTGTGCTAAATTCTTGCATATCGTATGTAATCATTGAATGAGAATTACTATTTATTAGGGGGGGGGGGGGGGTAGTGGTTTAACGCGTGCTCATAAAAAATCATAAAGTCTTTCATTGAGTCAAGTGGTGTGGTTTCGATTCCTAGCTTGTACGTGACAAGGAGTAAAATCACATGCCCAACCTTGTGGGTTTATTCCGGGTCTTCCGGTTTCCTCCCACTGCTAAAGACCCCTATGCACAAGCGAATTATTGAAATGAAGTTGAACCATATGTTAGTTCCAAAATGACCTAGTTTGTGTCGAGTGGGCGTTAAAACTCCATTTTTCTCCTTATGTTAGTCTCAAAATGATGGAGAAATATTCAACCCCATCCCATCTTTGCACAAAAAAGTCTCTCTGATGTATTTTGGTCGCCCTGGTTTCAAATTTAAACTACTGTAGTAATAATGAACCCGTTGTAATTTAGCCGAAAGTAGATTGATTTATGATATCATAGTGGTTGGTTCATGGTTTTACCAATTGACTTTTTCAACCATCAAGCAAGTTAACCTGACAATGAGCCAATTAAAATCCCTGCTTTGAATACATATTTATGACAAAATCGTACTTACTGCATTTATTTCAAATTTTACAGAATTTACATGACACAAGAATTGAATATTTACACCAAGAGTTTGTTTGTGTGTATAAATTAAACATGTATTATTATTATTATTATTATTGTGTGTAAGACATTACACAATGGATTTTTTTGTATTTTTTTCATGTAACTTAGATTGTGTTGTGGTGAAGTTTACGTCCGTAATGTGTACAAGAATATGGTTATGTGTATGTAGTAAAATATTATAAAAGTTATTGGCGATTTGAATGCATTGAAATCGGACAGAATTGTCTGTTGATGGACTTTATTTAAGTCTTTGAAAAGAAGGATTTTTTTCATCGTTTGTTGATTTGTAATTAGGAAAAAAAACAATATTTATGTCCTTGGCAGATGTTCCTGTACTTCAAAATTATTTAATACATTTAGGACCTGCTGAACAAATACCGAATTGAATTAAATATTAGGACCTGCTGAACAAATACCAAATTGAATTGAATATTAATTCAAAAGTGCTATTAAAAAAAACCCTATAAATCTTGTAGTATTTTTATGTAAAGGAAAATGATTAATTACAGAATTCTGATGTTTGAGTCAACTGACTTCACCTTTAACAAGACTGCGGGTGAAGGGAATACTACGCCCTGTATGGACTCTTTACTTTATAAGAACAAGTGTTAGGGCTGTCTCTGTCTGTCAATAGGGTTTAACATCCGCTTCCACCTAGGGTGATATCGCAGACAAGAACATTATGGCTAGGTTCCTGTGTATTTATATCCAATATAGAAACCTAATTCAGTAATTGCATGTTAGTGTAAGTTTCGCACGTGCCTTTTTGCCTTGTATATTGTCAACTATGATGAACGTGTATGCATGCATGCGTGCGTTGTTGAGTGTGTGTGTGTGTGTGTGTGCACACATTTCATTATTAAGTGTGTCAGCCTTGAGATTATCAAACTGTAAATTATAAATAGACATTTATTTTTTCATTTCACGATTTTTTTGCACCGTTTGTAAATTGTAAATATGTAAATAAGCGTGAGCGAAGACCGCATGTATATAAGTATGATGTATATTTCCATTGAGTATATTTATTATAGCTTGACCCCTTTTACGATTAATATGTAACACATGGTATGTGCATGTATGTATTTAAAACAAATAGTCATTTTACACGTGCATTACATGTGCATGGTTATATAACAGTCATATTTCGTGTGTATAACATGTGTTTGTGTTGTAATCTATTATTGAACATGTGTCTTCATGTTTATTGCAGTGCTTAACATTAAATACAAATGCATGTGCAATAATTATAAAGAAAGAGCAAAGTTGTTTGTGTGTGTGTGTGCGCAAGGGTTTGACTACAGAGATTCATATAAGAGGATTGTTTGTGATGTATCTCTCGTCAAGTCCCTGCGGTTTTGTTTAATTTAAATATTCGTGAATTACGTTAATCTTATATATTCCATTTCTGTTTCAAACTTAAAAACTATTGGATGAATATAATGAACAAGGTATTGAATGAACTTTGACCTTTAAGCCTTGTTCTATATTTAGACCTTGTTGGAATAACCCAGGGAGCAAACAAGATAAAAGCTAAATTAACAAAGCAAAAGAAACCAAAGCGAAAGTAGAAAGTTGGAGATCGAGTGTTGGTGTTAAGCTGATGACTTTTATACCCCAATAAAAGTTTATGAAGCTTGTCGTGTTGATAACTTGTGGATGGAATTTATTTTTTTAAAAATATTTGGTCTTCCCATTTATTTTTTCGAATGAAAATACGCTATATGATTTTTATTGATATTCTAAAAGAAGTTTTGACATTGCTTGGTTTTGGTTTTTTGTTTGTCTTCCTGTGTTAAGAAATGTTGGTACTGATGTGTTACAGCATTTCTCATAGACTAAAACATCCAGACAAATATTGATTTATTTAACTGGATGTCTTGGACTACTGCAAGGTTTAACAATCACAAAACGAAAATTATCTGAACAGGTGGACCAACATGGTCGACTTTCAAACGGCGCAAGTTACAGACTTGAAATGTTGTTAGATAGGTGCTGACATCTGGATAGTATGCACCAGTTGCTTCTCATCTCGTCGGCTAATGATTTCGGCCAGAACAGACTTGCTCTATGCGCAGCACTGATCCTCCCGTCGACCCCCGGCTTTTTCGTCATTCGTTGACGGGAGATCACCTTTGCATGTACTGACCTTTATTGATTTGCTTGACGTGACGAAGTTCGTCTCCTTGAATGACATGTTGGATTCAAGGCTTGTATAGTATTAATATCGTCTTCGCCTTCCTGCAACGTGGCATGTCTGTAACTCAAACTAACGCAGGACTCGACATGCCCACACACATCTCATTCTCGTGACAAGGGGGGATAACTCATTCTGAAACATCTGATACCACTTCTGAGTGTCGAAAGACAGCTCATTCTCGTGACAAGAATGTTCAGGGCATTAAACTAGAACGTTATAGAGCAAGAAGAATCTCAAAATTAGCGTGTATGGGAGTGGTGTTAGATGTTCTGGGAATGATGTATATCCTGCCTAAAGTATGAGACCTGTCGATTGTCCATTAAACTTCAATTCGAGGCTGAAAAATACATAACACTTTTTGTGCCATGTTTTTTAAGCCATGAGTTGTTTTTTTGGCCAGTTGTGTCGGTAATGTGTATTGGTTTTCGAGTCCTGTAAAACTGCTAGTTGTTTTTGTCATGCTCGATATCATGTTTCTGTTGCTGCAGTCGGTGATCTTTCGAGACATTTGGTGTTGCTGTGAAACCAGCAGCTCCCCCTGCCTTTGATTGACGTCGATTGACTCGCCCCCTCGGATGACATGCTGGATCCGGGGTTTACTTAATGTTCATCATGCTACGAAAACAACTTGAACCATTTACAAATTTATGTTTTTGTTTCGTTGTAAGCCTTTCTGAAAACTGGGTTATCTCCCTTTGATGTCTTTCTGAAGACATGGACTTTAGATAGCCTTGAACGAAGAGTTATTAAATGTTGAAATCTTCCATTTACCAGATATCTAGGCCAGTTTTATTCTTTAAGGGGAGATAACTCTCACATGTGCAATAAGGGGAGTTAATCCAGTATTCAGAAAGGTGTATTTGTTTTGTCTGTTATTAGTTATAATCCATGTTATTTGCATTAGGGGTCTTGATATAATAAATATCCCCCTATATGCAAATATCTATCAGATTATACTTGTATATTTCACAATATTCAGAAAATAGTTTTAGTAATTTGTAGGACCGACACTGTCGATCTCTCAGTGGATTGTCTGACTGCTCTCAAATTTTTCACATCCTCTAATAAGAAGACAGACAAATCACGTCGTAGATCTGTCACAATTAGCTCGGCATTATTTCAAGCCCTGATTGTCATAGTCTTTTTTACGTTGATCTCGACAGAACGAAAGATAACATCAAATATTTTGTGGCCGTTGTGTAAAAAAACAGACTGTTTTCTGAATTTTGTGGAATCAAATGCACGTTCCTCTCTGTTTCCTTTCGTTGTTTTGACAAATGAACGATTATGAAAGAGCTCTACCCTCTTCATCCATCGATTCTTGGCGACAATAGAAACGACGAGGAAAGCATCTCTTAATCCATCTTAATTTCAAAAAAAACAAAAACATTTAATTTTTTAAATTAAGATCGGATTCTGTGTTTCAGGTTTATTTGTCCTGCATAATAATTCCATAAGATGAATTAGATAATTTAGATTTACGAACATTGCAACAAATAATAACCAAGGCCACAAAATATTTGGGGGGGGGGGGGAAATTAAAAAAACGTTCCTATTCGCTTATGGAATTGTGATGCATATTGTTGTTGTTTTTTTTGTATACAAATTTGTGAGATGCAATTCGCTTTTTGTTAAGATGCCTAAATTTAGACTGTGATGTAAAACTATGCTACTGGTATCCATTTTAATTTATCTTATATTCTGGAAGGATCTTAGTTAAAAATATTTGAATGTTGAAAAGCCAATTACAGATTGATTATGATTGATATGCCAAGGGAGGTAACTTGTGATAGAAGGGGCATAACTCTTTGTAAAGAGGACAGCAAAAATAGCAATATATTTATTGAACTTCTAGAAATAGCAATACACAAAAAACACATACTTATTCTAGAAATAGGTTTACTGTCTATTTTACGAAGAGGGAAGTAACTCTGACAGAAGGGACATAAAACAGAAATATATTAATGAAACGGCTGTAAAGGGATTTAATGTTTATTTAATGCCACGGGAGATAGCTCGAGTAGAAGAAACATAAACTCCCTGCTCAGTAACTGGGACAGAAAATAGCTACATATGTATAAAATTCTGCTATAAAGAGTTTTGATGTCTATTTGACATCAAGGGAGATAACCCTGGCCGGCGGGACGTAACTCTCTGTTTGAGTAAAGAGGACGAAAAATAGCAATATATTTACGAAACTTCTGCTACAAGGGTTCACGTCCATTTCATATCAAGGAAGATAACTCTGTAGGGGGAGACAACTAATGTGTCTTTATTATTCCCCTTGCGTAATTAACATATTAAGAATTTGAATTGTGATGAGAATATTCACCTGTAGATAATGTTTAGGAATGTTGATATTTATGTTGATGTGCCTGGATGATAAAGACTAATACTGGTCACTGGATAATAGTTATATAGAACCACCGACTGTGAAAGAACGATATTGGTAGGAATGTAAATTGATAAAGAAACACTTATATCTATTACTTTACCCTTGTAATTAAATATGTTGTATACTCCCATTTCTTCTTCTTTATTTGGGGGGTTGGAGTCGGACACACCACTGTTGGGTGGCCGGATGGCTAGCTTGTGCGCGTTGTATCATAAGGTCTCTCATTTAGTCAACTGGCGTGGGGGTTGGATGGCCGAATGGTTAGCACGTGCGCGTTGTATCATAAGGTCTGTCATTGAGTCATCTGGCGTGGGGGTTGGATGGCCGAATGGTTAGCATGTGCGCGTTGTATCATAAGGCCTGTCATTGAGTCAACTGGCGTGGAGGTTGGATGGCCGAATGGTTAGCATGTGCGCGTTGTATCATAAGGTCTGTTATTGAGTCAACTAGCATGGTTTTTATTCCCCCGACAAGGAGTTAGGTCGCCTGTCCAGCCTCGGATGGAACAAAAACTGAGGTCACATGTTGTGTAACCCCATTTCTTGTTCTATATTTGGGGGCCACGGTGGCTAAGTGGGTAAGACGCTGGTTCACTAGCCTGGAGGTCAGGTGTTTGATCCCTGCATTTGCCAAGAAAGTTCACCAAGATTTTCCAGCATGGTTTCCTCTTGTCAGTGGGGATCACGGTGGCTATGTGGGTAAGACGCTGGCTCGCTAGCCTGGAGGTCGGGTGTTCGATCCCTGCATTGACCGAGAAAGTTCATCTGGATTTTCCGACGTGGTTTCCCCTTGTCAGTGGTGCAGAACGGAGGGTCTGACAAGGACAGCTGTCTAGTCCTTCGGATGAGACGAAAAACTGAGGTCCCGTGTAAACATTGGAAGGCATGTAAAAGATCCCTTGCCAGTTGGAATTTGATATAAGAGTAGGCGATAGTGCCGCTGCCCGGGCAAAATTTCCCTCATAGCACATTGTATGGCGTATGCCCGTCTTCATTAGCCCAGTATAGGAGCAGAACAGTAGGACGTTAAACCCCATTTCATTTCATTTCACTTTCTTCTTTATTTGGGGGGTTGGGAGTCGGACACACCACTGTCCTGGTAAAATTCTACTTCTAGGACCTAACTATACTAAGACTTAGGCTGCTTGTCTACAGTTAGCCAGGGGGTTGGATGGCCGAGCGGTTAGCTTGTGCAGGCTGTATCATAAGGTCTGTCATTGAGTTGTCTGGCGTGGGGGTTGGATGGGCGAGTGGTTAGCACAAACGCGTTATAAGGCCTGTCATTCAGTCAACTGCCGTGGGGGTTGGATGGCCGAGTGGTTAGCTTGTGCGCGTTGTATCATAAGGTCTGTCATTGAGTTGTCTGGCGTGGGGGTTGGATGGGCGAGTGGTTAGCACAAACGCGTTATAAGGCCTGTCATTGAATCAACTGGCGTGGCAGTTGGATGGCCGAATGGTTAGCATGTGCACGTTGTTTCATAAGGCCTGTCATTGAGTCAACTGGCGTGGGGTTTTGATGGACGAATGGTTAGCATGTGCGTGTTGTATCATAAGGTCTGTAATTGAGTCAACTAGCATGGTTTTGATTCCCCGATTGTTCGTGACAAGGAGTAAGGTCGCCTGTCCAGCCTCGGATGGAACGAAAACTGAGGTCATATGTTGTATAACCCCATTTCTTGTTCTATATTTGGGGGTAAGACGCTGGTTCGCTAGCCTAGAGGTCGGGTGTTTGATCCCTGCATTGGCCAAGAAAGTTCACCAAGATTTTCCAGCATGGTTTCCTCTTGTCAGTGGGGATCACGGTGGCTAAGTGGGTAAGACGCTGGCTCACTACTCCCGAGGTTGAGTGTTCGATCCCTGCATTGGCAGAGAAAGTTCATCCAGATTTTCTGGTGTGGTTTCCCTTTGTCAGTGATGCAGGACTGTAGGGCCTAACAAGGACAGCTGTCCAGTCGTTCGGATGGGACGGAAAACTGAGGTCCCATGCACACATTGACATGCACGAAAAAGATCCCTTGGCCGTAGCGCTGCTGTCCAGGCAAAATTTCCTTCATAGCACACTGTATGGCGTATGCCCATCTTCATTAGCACAGTCAGGGCAGTAAAGTAGGACGTTAAAACCCATTTCATTTCATTTCATATGCTCATCTTCATCAGACTGGACCGTGTAATAAAGTAGGACCCCCTTTTCACTTCATTTCCTTTCGTGTAGTTGAAGTAGGTACCCATATTTCAGCTGGGAGGTTGGGTGGCCGAAGTTCAATCAGAAGGTCTGTCATTGAGTGAAGTGGCATGGTTTAGATTCCCCGCTTGTATGTGACATGGAGTATGGTCGCCTGTCCAACCTCAGGGGTTTTCTCCGGGACCTCAGGTTTCCTCCCACTGCTAAGACTCCTACGCGCAAGTGAATTATTGAAATAAAATCAAACCATGTTAGTCCCAAAATGACCTGGTTTGTGTCGAGTGGACATTAAACCCCATTTCTCCCTCTCACCCATATTTCATTGTGGAAGAGAATAAGGGGTTGACATGAATGGATGTGGAAGTCAGACAGGTACCCCCCACCCAATGTGTGTGAGCATGGGGAGGGAAACCCGCAAATGGGCCGAAAAATGGGTCTAAAGTAGTTGAATGAGGTATCACTTGAAACCACTACTATGGTGTGTTTCCTTCTGACAGGGCCAGATTTAGATGAATAGGGCTCCACCAGGGGTGGATTTGGGCCGGGAACCGGCCCAGGCTCCCGTGTTGGAGCGGCCTCTTTTATTGACGGGGGGTCCGGGGGCTCTTCCCCTAGAAAATTTTGATAAATGAACCCCAAATATGCGATTTGGGGGCATATCTGATTATAATCTCTGTCAAATAATATATCTCATAAACCGATTAATTTAGGCCAAAACCTCGACCTGCAAGTAATTTACAACCATCAACCTGTGATGTCAAGGAATGTTTAACACCAGCCTTAGGAAATCGTCTCGCACTCATATTCAGCCAGCTCTATCACATATGTCAAGGAATGTTTAACACCAGCCTTAGGAAATCGTCTCGCACTCATATTCAGCCAGCTCTATCACATATGTGATAATGACTGGCACCAATATTGTCCTTTAATAATTAGTAAATTTGCGGGCGATAGTGTCAGGTGAATCCGATGAAATTTTCGGATGAAATTCGGAATCACCATTGCAGGATTCCGAATTCCGGCCCACACCCAGCACACCCGGCCCAAAAAGTCTATTATACCAGCCCATTCCAGACTCCAGTGATGGTGTGGCGGCCTGTTAAAGCCACCGGCCACACACAACATGATCATCATCGCTCCATGGCCTCCCCCCTCCATATAATGTTCAGGAGAACAGGGTTTTTCAGACGAATTGGACAAAATGGCCCAATCCGCCCCTTGGCTCCACTGATGAGGCCTCTCACAATAAAGGAAGATGAAAGCGTGATTTAAGGGAGGCAAGTCTCTAACTCAATATCATCCATAGTCTTCAACATTGAAAACATGGCTTGTTGGTCAATTTAAATCAATATTGATGCTTTTATCTTACCAGGAAAAGATGGGCTTCTGATATCCAGTATTTAAAATTGGCACACAAAGCATGTGCCAGAATGCTTTTGAGCGCCATTTGTAATGAAGGAACATGATGAATGAGGATAAACGTATTCCACAGGAGAATACTTCCTGTGTAGACTGGAATAACCAGACGCCAAAGACTGCCATTCAATTTGGACTCTTTGCATATTTCGCTGAACATTGCTGTAAGAAAAGAAACGTAAATGTAAATAAGTTTATATACATTCATATTACATTATTATTCGCGTTGCGACACATTTGTGTCCATTTCTAGGTGTCTAAGAATAGCGATTTAGCTCCTTTAAATTTGTTTTTCTGATCTCCTTGATCAGAATATCGCAATAATCTAATTGACCATTAAACCTGCTGCCTGCATCAACGCTGACTAATATAGTGCTGGAAAAACGAACAGAAAAGTCAAAATCAATGTGCATATAAGATCAAGAGATTCGATATCCAGCCTGAAAATTTTAGAGAATTGTGTTAGTACGCGAACCTCATATAGAAAATATTCCCCTATTAGATGAGTTAAGCAGTATGGAGTAATAATAATCCCCCAAAATACAGAATAATAATAACCCCCAAAATATAGAGTAACTATAACCCCCAAAATATAGAGTAACTATAACCCCCAAAATATAGAGTAATAATAACCCCAAAATATAGAGTAACTATAATACCCCAAAATATAGAGTAATAATAACCCCCAAAATATAGAGTAACTATAATACCCCAAAATATAGAGTAATAATAACCCTCAAAATATAGAGTAATAATAACCCCCAAAATATAGAGTAGTAATAATAACCCTCAAAATATAGAGTAATAATAACCCCCAAAATATAGAGTAATAATAACCCTTAAAATATAGAGTAATAATAACCCTCAAAATATAGTTTAACTATAACCCCCAAAATATAGAGTAATAATAACCCTCAAAATATAGAGTAATAACAATATAGAGTAATAATAACCCTCAAAATATAGTAATAATAACCCCCACCCATCCACACCCACCCCAAATATAGAATAACTATAACCCCCAAAATACATAGTAATAATCCCCCCCGCCCCCGCACATACACACACACACACACATTACATTACAGTAATAATAGCCCTCAAATACAGAGTAATAATAACCCACCAGAGGATCTACAACCTTGGTTTTATACTTGGTTGTATTGTGTAAAGGGGAGATTCAATTTTGTAAGTCAGTTTCCGTCCGATTTTCATGAAATTCGAACTCGATCGTAATTATGGTGTAATAGTGATATATTTGAACGGTTTTTAAAATCAAATAAAAATTGTGACCTCTAGAGGGTTAGCAGGTGATTTTTCGTACAGTCGGGAAACATAATCGAGGAAGTTACGGTCCGATATGCGCCAATATCGATGGGAAACGAGATCTTGGGGATATACCAATGGACAGGGGCGACGACAATATAGGTCCATATGAAAATATGGGCGGATAAAAACGTGTCCACACTATCCTCTTCTAACAGGGGGGTTGGATGGCCGAATGGCTAGCACGGGCGCGCTAGGTATCATACGGTCTGTCATATTGAGTCAATTGGCGGGGGGTAGGGTCGCCTGTCCAATCTCGTGGGTTTTCTCCCGGTCCTCCGTTTTCCCCCCACTGCTAAAGACCACTACTCGCAAACGAATTATTGAAATGAAATTGAACCATGTGTTAGTCCCAACATGACCTAGTTTTGTCGAGTGGACGTTAAACCCCATTTCTCTCTCTTCTAACAGTGACATGTAAGTAGTAGTTATTAGCACACTTTCCGAGGTGTATCGGTGAATATCAGGACAGTTTTGGTCGAGGGGCCAAGCCGAGGCGGCCCCCGACCAAAACTGTCCTGATATTCACTGATACACCGAGGAAAGGTGCTATTAAGTTACTTACATCACATTTCTATCGAGTATTATGAAGCAAAATGTGAAAAATAGTATTTATTATCGAGTCGTTTCAACCGAAAAGTGGCAAATACTTTCTGCTCTTTCATTATTTATCCCTTTTTGAGCCTCACGTTACATTTCATGGTAGAATGATTTCGCAGTGGAGAGACGACCTAAGTAGTATTTACACGTGCGTCTTGCTATGATACTCTGAGCGTAAAACAATCGCGTGTTTCTTTAGACCACCTCGTCAAAACAACTTGTCTATGGCGTAGAGGACTGCGATATTATTAAATGTAGTGTAAAGGAAATGCGAGACGTGGGCCATTCCTGGTGAAAGTATGCATCGGCGGATGGTTTTTCCGTTGAAATTTATTTGTAATAAAGTTTATGACTTTTTAGGCGTTTTTTTCATCCTGCTTATTTTCAATGCCTTTGAAGTGTCCAGCAAGAGAACTGCGCCTTCTATCATCACAATTAATTAAAATAATTATTCAATATTCTAATTTATATATTTTGCATATTAATATAAATCAAACCAAATTATGAAATAGATACCAATTGATATGTATAATAATTGATTTTTGTAATATGTTGTTATGTTAATTTAATGTCATTGTATATGTTTTTGAACTGCCATGTAGTTCCCCCCATTTTGTTTTGTTACTATGATTTTGACTAGTTGTTTCATGTACATTGTATAGAGGCATGTTATCAATTGCGAACTGGGTCGGACTAAACGTCAGCTACTTATTGCTTGAAAGATATCTAAAACGGTATAAAAGTATCCGTGTATCAGAAATGAACAGTACTCTTTCTGTACATTTCTGATACTTTTAGGCATGTATTGCAATTAAACAGGACAGTTTTATCAAAGGTTGCCAGTGGCAACGAGTAGAAGTGGGATGTAATTACATATAAGACCGTTTGTTTGGATTAACACGCTCAAGTTTCGGAATAAAGACAAACTTTACACAACGTTAAACCCCAGTTGTGTCTAGTCGTTCGGATGGGACGAAAACAGGTGCCCCGGTACATATTAGCTTAAAGAAACCTTGATAGTTGATATTCGATATATGAATAAGCCGTAGCGCCGCGATACGGGCAAAATGTCTCGCATAGCACATTGTATTGGGTATGCCCGTCTTCATTGACCCGGCGTGGAACAGATAAATGGTAGCTCTCTCTCTCTCTCTCTCTCTCTCTCTGTAGGGCCAACGTGATGCAGAAACGTAAGACGCTAAACCCCATTTCTTTAATATCCCGGTTGGTACCGACGTGGCATTAACAATCATTTATTCAAGTGTCGGGCTCTTTATTTATCTTCCTTTTTTTGACAAGTTTTTATTTATTTATCTTTTTATAGCCTACCGTTGGTACGAAAATAAACAAAGTCTCGATTATCCACTTTAACGTTAAATCATCCATCATAAAACATAGTCAAATTCACTAAATATCGCAGGCTAACGATGACATCAAGAGTTGATTATGGTCTTGATAAGTTAATTAATGTCTAATTAACAGTTTATATAACATTTCAGGCCAAAAGAAAGACCTGCAATAGGCAGATTTAGCTCTTACATAATGCCTGTTTAATTTACTCATTTTATTTATATTATCTTTTTTCATAAAGTTTTTGTTTTATTTTGTCTTTTTTTATTTTAAATTTTATTTAGTTATCTTTTTTTTTTTCAAAGTTTTTATTCGTCTATTTATCTTTTTTATATAAAATATTTAATATGATCCTGGACGAATAACCCTAAATCAAGACTATTCTTGTCTACATACACATTACAAAACAATTCAATGAAACCCTAAATTATTCTATACAAATTGTAATTAAAAAATCTACCGTAACAGATACACGTTATCCAATATCAATTGATTACATAGTATATCGTTACATGAACGCGCGTGACCTATAGAATAACACTATAACACCCTCCTTCTATCGCCTTTACATTACCAATGTGTCACGTTCTCTCACAGGTCGAGCTCGTGTGTTCTACGAATCAGCTGATCTAGATAATTTATTCAAACAATGTGGCGCGGAATTTCACGAGAAAATAGTAAATCATCAATCGTTTCCTTGTCGGTATTTAAACTATCCAATATTGGCAAATGAAAACACGTGCAATCCGCATACTGGCCTCGATTTAAATCAACTGAATCGAGAAAGCCGTTAAAACGTGTTATAACACCCAATCAGCGCTATTAATATAGCAACATTGTTTCACAGCCTTCAAATATTAATTTATGTTAATGGGTTCGCGAGAGTACGGCTTAGTCACACTGCTATATTTGTTTTTTCATTTGAATTTTTGGGAGGTAGAAGCAGCCATGTGAAACGAAGTGTAACGTTGATATATTTTATTAATATTCTGTGGACGCGCACCTAGTCTAAAATGATGACGTAATGAGTGTGTCACGCCGGTGAACAGGTAGTAGACGAGAACGAGGCGACTCATACGACTACTGTATTTTCATAACACTGTGCGGTTGAAATGTTGAGAGAAATTGTTTTTATTCTGTCTGTCATGTGCTACAAATTATAATGAATTGTTAAAACGAATATTAGTTGATATTTCAGCAAGTTCTCGTCCAGTGATTATAATGATACCTTGAACTATTACTGCGATACGAGAGACACTGTTGATTTGTTGTCCAGGAAAATGGCGTCGAGTTCGGTGAGCCAAGAAAGCTTGGATTTAGAAGACTTCGAAAACCAGGCAAAACGAAATCGTATTAGGACTCATAGAGGCAGAGGAATGGTTCATAGATCTGCGGAACGTGAGGGTAGCGACCAATATGATACGCGGGAGCAGAACGGAGATAACGAAAAAGAAAACAATTGCTCGAGTGGTCTCGTTCAACCCGAACACGACTCCCCAACTCGTGGAGCCGCAAGTCGTCTTAAGGATAAACGGACCAGACCTAATCATTTACATAAAGGAAAATTACCGAAAGATAAAAGAAAATTACGCGAAAAAAGACGAAGCACTGGAGTAGTTCATTTACCGTCGACAGAGGTAAGTAAATTGCATTGTTTGTATAATGTGTATTGAACGGGCACTGTGATCTGCGGACGTCAATGTGAGCCTGTATATGATATAGAAATCAAGTGCGTGGGAGGTACATATGTATAGTAACTCATCTACATGATGTTATAAAGAGAGACAAAATGAAATGAAATGGGGTTTAATGTCCAACTATTCTGCTCCGACTGGGCTAATGAAGATGGGGCTAATATAATGAAGGCGGACAAACGCCATACAGTGTGCTATATCGAATTCCAAACTGCCAGGGGTATAAAGCGAGGCGACATCACAACAAAACACACATTCCCCGAATATTATAAATGGTTTTATCTCGTTCACATTCACTTTGTATTTTATTGACTCAGTCTGTTTAGAGTGTTAGCACAAGATGTTGAAAACAAAATGTACAAATTCCACATGGGTTGCCCAGACTTTATAGTTTGGCAGGCGATAATGTAGATTAAATAACAGTGGTCTCAACCACTTAATCCCGGATTATCTTCCTTGATCCTTTTTACAGTTTTTACTCGATCATCATCACATACTAATTTTTACGCGTTATATCTTAATTATTGCTAAATGCACAGAAAAATACAGACATGACAGACAGTATAGGAATACAACACCACAAACTATAGACGATTTATTTTTAAAGATGCTTTATGTAAGTGCTAATTCTGCCTATTACAGGTCTTTATTTTGGCTTCAAATATTATGTAAACTATTATTTAGACATTTATTAACATGGCAAGCCCATAATCAACTCTCTAGACCATCGGATGGCAGAGATTTAAATGGATTAGAAGTACCCTGTCTGGATTTAAAAATTTGAATGAAATTTTCAGTATATTCAATTTTTGTTATCTATATTTATTAATATAGCAAGACCATTTAACTCTTTATCTAAATAGAAAATCCAAGGAAAGGACAATAAAACCCCCACACTCTAATAAAAGGAGGGCGGAAGATTCCCTAATACAGTGCAGGCAAGTCTGGATCTCAGTGATACATCCGGGGATAAGCCGGAACCAATCCGTGAAAAATATCGAAAATAGAGGATCCCCGGCAACAAACTTCACAACACTGTTTATCTAAACAGGTTCCCATGCAACCTCTGGGTCGTGATCCAAGTGGGGTCGGGTGGACTACTCTGAAACTTTTTGAAAGATGCTATGTTTTCATGAAAGGTCATATATTTCTCTGATCTATACACCTCTTGCCATATTGCCAATCGTCTTTCCTCTCTCACGATCACGCCCACGATTTGTTTCCTCAGTCTCTCATTTTACAATATTTTTATCTGGGAAGTGAAACTAGGTTTAAGGGATTCCCCACTCTATCTATATAGAGATGTGGATGACGTTGTTCTTCGAGGGGAGTGGTGTTGTTGAATGGCCGAATAGTTAGCACGTGCGCTGTGTCATAAGGTCTATCTATATAGAGATGTGGATGACTTTGTTCTTCGAGGGGAGTGGTGTTGTTGAATGGCCGAATAGTTAGCACGTGCGCTGTGTCATAAGGTCTATCTATATAGAGATGTGGATGACTTTGTTCTTCGAGGGGAGTGGTGTTGTTGAATGGCCGAATGGTTAGCACGTGCGCTGTATCATAAGGTCTATCATTGAGTCAACTGGCATGGTTTCGATTCCCAGGTTGTACGTGACAAGGAGTAGAATCGCCTGTCCAACCTCGTGGGTTTTCTCCAGGTCCTCGGGTTGCCTCCCACTGCTGAAGACCCCTACGCGCAAGCGAATTATTGAATTAAAATTAAACCATATGTTAGTCCCGAAATGACCTAGTCTGTGTCGCGTGAACATTAAACCCCATCTCTCTCTCTTTGTTCTTGAGGGGTCCGGATGCTCCTTTCTGGAATGTGGTTGCAACCAACAAAATATTGGGAACCACTGAGCCATCGATTGCTATTTCTTGAAATAAAATTAAATGGGGTTTAACATCGTACTGTTCTGCACTCACCGAGATAATGAAGATGTGTATTCACCATGCCGTGTGCTATGAAGGAAACTTCGCCCGGACAGCCACGCTATGACCTATACTATTATTTCAATTTCTTCTGTCCGTCACTGGGGTTTAACGTCCACTCAACACAAACTAGGTCATTTCGGGACTAACATGTGGTTAGATTTTATTTCAATAATTCACTTGCACGAAGGCAACCCTATTTCTTGCCACGTACAACCGATGAATCAAAACCATGCAATTGACTCCATGACAGACCTTACGATACAACGCGCATACATTAACCATTTATCTCCCCCCCCCCCCCCGCACCTCGGACAATTGGGGAATGCATAAAATGATCATTTCTTCATCTTCAATAGAAGGCTTGATCTCGCTTTTTTACTACATACATCTTATCAATCACTTGATCAAGCCCTTCACGGCACTAATATCGATTGGGTACTGACCCAGCTTACATTGTTATTACATAGGTACTATAATTCATATGCTATATTACACTCCAATAACAGCTTTCATTGTAATTACATATAGCTGTAAGTTATATACTTTATTACACCCCAATAACAGCATGTATACATTGTACATTATAATTACATATAGCTATATTACACATTTCAAATTGATATGATTATATTGTAATTACAAACTATAAACCTATCAAATTAATATTATAGAAATTTATTTGTGCTACCTGTAAACAGGGTAGGTTTAGTTAATATTGAGATCTTTCTCATCGTTTTGTGCTACCTGTTAGTTAATTTCAAGTTCTTTCTCATTGGTACGAAAACTAACATGTCATTGATTTATGTGTACTGTACACCTATTATAGCATGTAGAAAATGTTATGCATATGACGCTGGATTCATGTAGGTGTAGGTGTGTATACAAACATGTTTCTCCATGTGCCATATTAACTGTATATCTATTGAATTTCACACAATGTATACAATGTGTAGAAACTGCTGATACCAAATCCTGCCTTTTGCATTTTGCATCTGCAAAAAAATGAAATTATATATTTGTAACTTTCTGTAGACCAAACGTTGTAATTTTAATTCAAATTTCAAGTTGAATAATTGTTGATTTTTAAACTCTATAGAATCTGATTAAACCAAAGCTGAAAATAGTTGAATAATTATATGTTCTGTCATCTGAATAGAAATAATAGGCATAAATTTAGATTTGATCGTACATCCTATTATCAAACTGTATGTAATAATATAATATTTCCCTCATAGTGCTGCTGCCCGGGCAAAATTTCCCTCATAGCACATCATACATGTATGCCCGTCTTCATTATCCCAGTCAGTTGGAGCAGAACTGTACAACGTTAAACCCCATTTCATTTTATTTTATTATCCAAGCTGCGATTAACCTGAAAATACCAGCCCGACACATAAATGACACTAATAGAAAATAAAGGTCAAAGTTGAAAGTCTAATCGGTGTAAAAATGTCATGGTGTATAATATAATACATGTTTGTTTTATATAACAATGTCAAATATACTACATACAGTTCAATATAGTCAATATACACCAAGTTACATGTACCAATATAGTATATGTATTGTATTCAATTACACACCATATGTTATAACAATATACATGTTGTATACTGTATACATACTATACAATAATAATTAGTATTTCAGCTGCTCCAGGGCGCTCTAACATAAAACAATAGCTTTCATAGACAAATACATGCATACATACATACATACATCAGTTATAAACAATAAAATGGGGGTTAACGTCCTACTGTTCTGTTCTACTCCTACTGGGTTAATGAACACGGGCATATGCCATACAGTGTGCTATGATGGAAATTTTGCCCGGGCAGCGGCACTATGGCCTACTCTTATAGATTCATAAGGTCTGTGACTGAGTCAATTGCCCTGGACTTGACCCCAAGGTGTAGAGTCGTCTTTCCAACATCGTGGATTTTCTCCTGGTCTTCCGACTTTCTTCAACTACTATAGAACAGTACAAGTTATTGAAAAAAATTGTATGTAACTCCCACCATGAAATGACCAATATGTAGTTAGTGTCATTTTTCCTTAAATCGTTTCTCTTTCTCTCACCCCCTCCCCCCCCCCCCTCTCCCATATTAGATGGGTTGGATCTATGGCTGGATGGTTAGCGCATGTGCATTGTATCATAAGGTCAACTGGCATGGTTTCAATTCCCCAGTTGTACATGACAAGGAGTAGGGGCACCTGTCCAACTTCGTGGGTTTTCTCCATCACCCCCCTCCCCCCACTGCTAAAGACCCCTACGTGCAAGCGAATTATTGAAATAAAATTGAATATGTGGATGTTAAATCCCATTTCTTTCTCTCTGCCCTCCCCCCCCCCCCCCCCCCTCTATAGAATTACCAGTGCATTAAGTAAACAAGTACATATATAATTGAACCTACATCGGAATGTAAACTATTGCAAACATAGCGTATAGTTTATTTTAATTTGCCTTGACTAGATCAAGTAGGCGGGTCTCATCTCATCCAATTAAAACTTACAAAAATAAGATATTTTAACATTCCTTTAGACCCTCGGTTCAACAAAAGATGGGATAAAATAGCATTTAGTTTTATTTTTAGAAATTTGAAAGCGTGAGAATTAAGGTGACATGTTAGTGTTGTTGACATTTATTTTGAATAGTTTCATTCAACATTTATTTCCTTATTGAAAAGTATTTAAATCTGAATTTGACAGTTTATGTCTCAGGTTATGTGCAACTATGAAATTATGGAGATTTTTTTAAAATATTAAGCCACTTACAAAAATTATTTGGTGATCGTCTTTTTTTTCGAAAATATGGAAGGTTTTGATTTTTACTTAAATAAAAAAAAAGGGATTATTCATTTTTCTCAGAGTTCGATAAAAGAAAACAAATATAGTACGCGGTGTTGATTGCCAAAGTCGCAATTTGCAATAGAAATATAAAAGTGGCAATTTGATTTTAGCATTAACATCTTGTGGGTACTGGCGATTCTTTTTGAGAACAGACGGGGGAAAAAATCTAAAAGTTCTAATCGTATTTATCCTGGATTAACCATTATTAAAATGGCCAACGCTTCTTTCAGAAAAGAATTAAATATTTTGATAGTTGAATTCCGTTTACTGTGGCTTCATACTGCATGTAAAATATACAAGCGTGCCTACTCAGATATTTTTATTTCAAATTATATTATCACCATGAGTCGAATAGCAACGTTTCTCGAGGAGAAAACGGTTTGCCATTTGCTTCACTTTACCACCGCCAAAATGCTCAGAATTGAACGATGAGTATAATTGTAAGTATTTCTTACAAACACAAATAAAAATTATTTGGTGATCGTCCTTTTTTCCAAAATGATGGAAAGGACGTTTTTATTTTTACTTTAAAAAAAAGAAAATGATTATTCTTGTTTTCTTGGAGTTTGATAAGAGAATTTTCCGGCGTGGTTTCCCCTTGTCAGTGATGCAGGACGGAGGGCCTGACAAGGACGGCTGTCTAGTCGTTCGGATGGGACGAAAAACCGAGGTCCCGGTGTACACATTGGCGTGCACGTAAAAGATCCCTTGGCAGTTGGAATTCGATATAAGAGTAGGCCGTAGTGCTGCTGCCCGGGCAAAAATTCCCTCCTAGCACACTGTATGGCGTATGCCCATCTTCATTAGCCCAGTATTGTAGCAGAACAGTAGGACGTTAAACCCCATCTCATTTCATTTCATTTCGATAAGAGAAATCAATTGTAGTACTGTATACATAACATGGTTTGAAAATCAACCTTTTTGTATTTTTATTTGCAGAGTACCGGAGATTCTTTAGATGATGACGATGACACAGACAATAAAGCGTCATCGGAAACGAAGAAAAATACGACGTTTAATGAAGGTACATCGGTAGATGGAGGAGTACGTCACCCAGAACCACATAAACATGTAAGTTACACACAAGCCTGGACACACGGCACCTGTTACGAACATTGTCAGACACAAATAGACCTACTCCGGAAAGACATCAAATGTTTTTTTCAATTCAGAAAGTCATGTGACCAAGTACAAACACTGCTCTTCGCCATGGGGGGTTGGATGGTTGAATGGTTAGCATGTGCACGCTGTATCATAAGGTCCGTCATTGAGTCAACTAGCATGGTTTTGAATCCCCGGTTGTACGTGACAAGGAGTAGGGTCGCCGGTTTGACCTAACCTTGTGGGTTTTCTCCGGGTCCTCCAGTTTCCTCCCACTGCTAAAGACTCCTACGCGCAAGCTAGTTATTGAAATAAAATTAACCATATGTTAGTCTCGAAATGACCTAATCTGTGTCGAGTGGACGATAAACCCCATTTATCTCTCTCACCCTTTAAAATACAGTGATTGTTTTCCATAAAATTGTTGTGTTTATTTTAATGTGTTCAATCCCTAAATGCCATTCAAACAGTATATCACCTTTAACCCTAGAACAGGTAAATCACGTTAATGTGAAATACGACAGGGTAGTGGTTTATAGTCATATAACATATTGCAATGTTTGTCACTGGTATGATCAAGTCTTGCTACTGGTATGATCAAATCTTGTCACGGGAATAATCAAGTCTTTTCACTGGTATGATCAAGTCTAGACACTGGTATAATCAAGTCTTTTCACTGGTATGATCAAGTCTAGACACTGGTATAATCAAGTCTTGCCACTGGTATAATCAAGACTTGGTACTGGTATGATGAAGTCTTGTTACTGGTATGATCAAGTGTTAAAATGTTAGGATTATCGCCCTCCTCCTACACTGTTACATTACATACGATCATGTCAACATGAGATTAACATGTTCTACTGTTAAAACAACTTTATATATCCGTAACAAAATAAAACGTTAGTTGGGATTTATTCTTACCAAGTAGGACAGGGGTGGGTGTATTGCACAATCACATAATAAATGTAATGAAATGAAATGGGGTTTAATGTCCTACTGTTCTGCTTCTATACTGGGCTAATGAAGACGGGCATACGCCATACAGTGTGCTATGAGGGAAATTTTGCCCGGGCAACAGCACTATCGCCTACTATTATATCGAAATCCAACTGCTAGGGGATCTTTTACGTGCATTCCAATATATACACGGGACCTCGTTTTTTTGTCTCATCCGAAGGACTAGACAGCTGTCCTTGTCAGGCAAATCAATTAACAATGCAGACATATAGATTCTCAAGATCTAAGACAATGTGGTTGGGGAAAGGGAACATGTATTAATGCGTTCAAATCTTAAACAATTTGGTTCTGTGTAAAGTGAGGGAGGAGGGTATAATACATTCAAAGAGAGAGGAGAGAAATGGGGTTTATCGTCCACTCGACACAAACTAGGTCATTTCGGGACTAACATATGGTTTAATTTTATTTCAATAATTCGCTTGCACGTAGGTGTCTTTAGCAGTGGGAGGAAACCGGAGGACCCGGAGAAAACCCACGAGGTTAAACAGGCGACCCTACTCCTTGTCATGTACAACCGGGGATTCAAAACCACGCCAGTCGACTCAATGACAGACTTTATGATACAGCGCGCACACGCTAACCATTCAGCCATCCAACCCCCCATAATACATTCAAATCTGACACTATGTTGTTGAAGGAGGGAGAGGAAGGATGTATAAACTTTATACAGGGTGACCCAAAAAAACACAGAACTCATAAAATATTGATTACTAGAAAAATGCCCGGCTTCGCTCGGGGGTCATAACCCTGAAACCGGAAGTGGTAGACTAACGCCACCTGGCCTATGTTACTCCCCGGTCCGAGTTACCCCTATACCCCAAATTTCAGACTTGGGGCAGACCTAGTGTAGCCGCCAACCCCGAACAGACAGACAGACAGACAAACGACAGGCACCAATATTAGTATAGAATTCCTACAAAGTCCAGCAGATTTGATGAAATTTGTTGGACTTAAACTTCAGTTTGTGTACGATCATTCCCCAAAGTTTCAGTTATCTTGGTGGCTTTGCATAAAAGTCATATTCTTTTCAAAATATAAAGTGTTGTCTATTTTATTATTGTACATCATACGATGTGTTTGTGTTTAATGGTTGGGATCACGTGGCTAAGTGGGGATCACGTGGCTAAGTGGGTAAGACGCTGGCTCGCTAGCCTGGAGGTCGGTTGTTCGATCCCTGCATTGGCCGAGAAAGTTCATCCAGATTTTCCGGCGTGGTTCCCCCTTGTCAGTGATGCAGGACGGAGGGCCTGACAAGCACACTAGCTTCATTAGCTCAGTTTAGGAGCAGAACAGTAGGACGTTAAACCCCATTTCATTTCATTTCATTTTGTGTTTATTGGTGGGGGTGGGGGGTGTATATAAAGTGTTGTATAATTTATTATTGTATATTTTTCAGTCACACCATCACACGAGTCACATACATTCTAGTTACACGAACAGAAGAAATAAAAGGTAAAAAAACAACTCTTGGTTAATATCTCATTCTTTCATAGTGTACTTCCATTGAAGAAAACAACTAGAAAGAAAATTTGTGGCTTTTCTGTTATTTAAACATACATTATTCAAGAGGTAAATCTGCCTATTGCAGGTCTTTCTTTAGGACTTAAATGTTATATAAATTATTATTTTCACTTTGTCAGTACTACTTAGTTTGATATTCATGTTTGTATTTTTTTATATTGCAGTCCGTCAGATTTAGAAGCTGATTTAGAAGACAACCAAGACTACGATAGTACAGTCAGCCAATCAGAAACAAACCTAACCTTGATTGGTCAATCAGAACCAAGTGATATGCCCGTTAATCAGATGCCTGTCAGTAGTAGCAGTACGTCGGGCGTGCTCAAATATACTCGTTACACAACAGATAATCGTACATCATCAGTGGCGCCTCCATCCTCAAATGTTCCGGAACCAGATTCAAAGACGACGTCTTCCACAACGGCAGAAATTCTCTCACGATACCGAGACTCAGAATACCGTCAACAAAGGGAAACCGAGTCGCCTAAAAAGGATATTGAAGGACCACGACCTTTTACGACATACTCCCAGTTACGAGAAAATCGTGGAGATATTTCGTATGGTAGTTATTTGTCACGACTACGAGATCGTGATTCCACGACACCAGTTCACCAACGTATAAACTATCACATGTCCCCTCGACCATTCGTCAATAAACAGTCAGAAACAACCGCCAATTTGGAAAAAGTAAGTATTGGTATTCTAGAGAGAGGGAGGGGGTGGGGGGGGAAGAGACTGTCAGATGAATTGACCCTTGACCCTTTCTTCTCGCGGGTAACCTAGCAAAGCTAAAGAGGGTTGAGAGTGAATCCATTTTCAGCTTGTAATTTGTTTTTTTTAATAGCTGTCCATTGACCATGGATATTATGGGGTTGGATGTTCTGAATGGTCTGTCATTGAGTCAACTAGCGTGGTTTCGATTCCCTGGTTGTACATTACGTGACGAGAAGTAGGGTCATCTGTCCAACTTCGTGGGCTTTCTCCAGGTCCTCCGGTTTACTCCCACTGCTAAAGAACATCTATGTGTAAGTGAATTATTGAAATAAAATTGAACCATATGTTAGTCCCAAAATGACCTGGTTTGTGTCGAGTGGACGTTAACCCCATCTATCCCTGCAGACAACAAAGCTGACAGACTGACCGTTTGTCATACCCTTACATTTTTGTTCTATGCACATCCCATGGGTGTTTTTCAGGGAATCCAGTATTTTTCTAGTCAGATTTTTAACAAATTGTTTTCGCTTCAGTTATTGGATAAAGAAAAAGATGAAAATAAAAAATTGAAAGAGATTATCGATGATAAAGATCGCAGAATCGCCGAACTTGAAAAAGAGGTTTTTCTTTTAAACAAGGTATGGTGATTTCAGTTTTGTAAATTAGGGTAAATTGGTAAGGAACCGTTGCAAAAATTCCATCACTTGCGTCCAAACAAATAACTCGACGATAGATCTCATTGGCTCATTCATACTGACAGAGTAATATAATGTTGACATATTTCCGTTAGTGCTGGGTATTGCCGTTATTTCCGTTAGTGCTGGGTATTGCCGTTATTTCCGTTAGTGCTGGGTATTGCCGTTATTTCCGTTAGTGCTGGGTATTGCCGTTATTTCCATTAGTGCTGGGTATTGCTGTTATTTCCGTTAGTGCTGGATATTGCCGTTATTTCCGTTAGTGCTGGTTATTTCCGTTAGTGCTGGGTATTGCCGTTATTTCCGTTAGTGCTGGGTATTGCCGTTATTTCCGTTAGTGCTGGGTATTGCCGTTATTTCCGTTAGTGCTGGGTATTGCCCTTATTTCCGTTAGTGCTGGGTATTTCCGTTAGTGCTGGGTATTGCCGTTATTTCCGTTAGTGCTGGGTATTGCCGTTATTTCCGTTAGTGCTGGGTATTGCCGTTATTTCCGTTAGTGCTTGGTATTGCCGTTATTTCCGTTAGTGCTGGGTATTGCCGTTATTTTGGTTAGTGCTGGGTATTGCCCTTATTTCCGTTAGTGCTGGGTATTGCCCTTATTTCCGTTAGTGCTGGATATTGCCCTTATTTCCGTTAGTGCTGGGTATTTCCGTTATTTCCGTTAGTGCTGGGTATTGCCGTTATTTTCGTTAGTGCTGGGTATTGCCGTTATTTCCGTTAGTGCTGGGTATTGCCGTTATTTCCGTTAGTGCTGGGTATTGCCGTTATTTCCGTTAGTGCTGGGTATTGCCAAAGCAGATCTTTTAATGACATCTAGAAGCACGGTTAACTATTCATAACAAAACACAACACCAGGTATATATGGATATAACTACTTCTCTATTATTTAATAACCACGTTTCGTATCATATAACACATACTGGTCAAGTTTTCAAGTTAATGAAAGCAGTCACGATACGATACGTATGGCAAATCAGGTGCTACGATATGATTCATATCACGATTCATAACCAGGTCAATATTTACCAAGAAATAAAAGGGTTTTATATCACGATATTGATGTAGATCAAAATAAGGACCAAGACAATTTAAGGGTGTTTGTGTATCTATTGATAATGTGTGACATGGATAATTAAAGTGACAGGTTACGTAGTGAAACGACTAAAAAACATAAAAAAAAGAATCACGATGCTAGATTCATGGGAAGGTGAATCGCGATACATCGATTCAACGATATGTCGTGCCAGCACTAATTGACATTGAATGTATTATTTTGTATTTGCGATGTCGTTAAACCCCTCCACCAATTACCGGGGGTTATTCGTTTAGACGCAAGTGTTGACATTCTACAGCGATCTGTAATAGAGCTGTGTAGCTTACTTGATAGACTGGCGTCTAAAACGCTACTTTCAACTCAAATCAAGATTAAATGATTGCTATGACAATGCGATTCATAATTTTCCGGTGTATAGGGTGCTATCATAGGGTGGGTTTCTAGGTGTACAGGGTATTATCATAGGGTGGGGTTTCTAGGTGTATAGGGCCCTGAAATAGGGTGGGTTTGTGCTATCATAGGGTGGGGTTTCTAGGTGTAGAGGGCCTATCATAGGGTGGGTTTCTAGGTGTATAGGGTGGGGTTTCTAGGTGTATAGGGTGCTATCATAGGGTGGGGTTTCGAGATGTATAGGGTGCTATCATAGGGTGTGGTGTACCTATACACAGGGTGGGGTTTAATGGGGGCAATAATTCTAGATAAGGCATGATGAATAGAAATTCAAATGTATTCCTTCAGTAGGTCAGATTTTTGTTCCAAGTGCCATTACGATAATTAATAGAGTTATCTCCCTTGTATTATTAATAGAATTCAATCTGAAGAGAATATGTGTTTTCATTTACATAGCTTCGGTGATTGGGATGAGTAAGGTGAGGCTACAAACACATTAAACATTTCTTTCATATTCTACCTTGTTTTATTTATTCTTTCTTTAGAGTTATCCCCCCTTGCATGATTTCGGTGTGAATGTTTATTTATTAGATATCCAAACCACAGTTTGTATGATACTTGTATTCTTCATTATTCTTTATGGGGGTTGCGTGACCAAATGGTTTAACGCGTGCTTCGTAGGCTCTAAAATGGGAGATCTATTTCTGAGTCAAGTGGAGTGGTTTCAATCCCACACTTGTACATGACAAGGATTAGGGTCGCCTATGTAACCATGTGAGTTTTCTACGGGTCCTCCCACTGCTAAAGACTACTATGTACTGGCGATTGGTTGAAATAAAATTGTACCATTAGTCCTGAAAAGACTCTCCCTTTTTGGTATTCTATATCATAGAATAGTTTTTTTTTAGATAAATTTTTATATTACCTTTTAGTTTATTTAATTACAGTGTATATTTTGCATGTTGGGAGTTTAACCCATTAAAAAGAACATGAACTCCTCTCCCGTGTGACACATACGAAATAAAATGGGGTTTAACATCCTACTGTTTTACTCCGACTGGGTTAATGAAGACAGGCGTACGCCATACAGTGTGCTATTAGGGAAAACTTGCCCGGACAGCTGCACTACAGCCTATTCTTCTATCGAATTACAACTGCCAAGGGATCTTTAACATACACACAGGCTCTTGGTTTTTCTTCCCATCCTAATGACTAGACAGCTGTCCTTGTTGTCCCTTGCCAGGCCATCTCTCCTGCACATCTGACAAAGGGGAACCACGCCGAAAAATTTTGATGACCTTTCTCAGTCAACGCAGGAATCGAACACAGGACCTCCCAGTTAGCGAGCCAATTTCTTACTGAGCCACTGTTGCTCCCCCTCTTGTGCCGCAAACCGCCAGAATCGTACAAATAGCTGTTCTTTAACTAGGTGGTGGCTCAGCAAGTAAGACGCTGTCTCGCTAACCAGGTCTCGGGTCAGCTACCAGGGTTGGCTGAGAAAGTTCCTCAGAATTTTTCAACACCATTTCCCCTTGTGGGTGCCTGGTTTGGATGGCCAATCCAGGATGGGACGAAAAACCGAGATCCATGTACACATTGACGGTTGGAATTCGAGATCGTGGCGCTGCTATCTGGGCAAAATTACCCTCATGGCACACTATATGGTGTAAGCCTGTCTTCATTAGCCCAGTAGAAGCAGAAAAGTAAGACGTTAAACTCCATTTGATTTCTAAGTTTTTAAAAGAATTGGTGTAGTGAAATATTTAAATTGTTAATAATAGATAGATATTTTCTATGTGTTGATTGTTCAGTATATAGTCAGTGGTATATGTTATTCCATTTGTACCAATAAATATTGAGGAAAAAAAATATATAGTGAGGAAGAAAAGGTACACAATATTAAAAAAAAAAAAAAAATCTCTTTAGGTCTTGAAAAAAAAATTCTTCATCCTCACTTATTTTCCTCCCTTGGATTGGATGTGTGTGTGTGTTGGGGGGAGTGTCATCTGTTCGGAACGATATTGTCATCGCTTAATAAAATATTTCATCTATGAAACGGTACACAACATTAAAAAAAACAATGTGAGGAAACATATTTTGTGACCTTAGTTGTGAGGTGGGAAAGAAAAGTGTGGGTGACAGGGGCACGGGTGTGAGGAAGAACAGAAGGGATATTGAGGAAATGAAAGGTACATTATGGAATAATATACACCCCAATGAATGTTGTTAAAATGTTTTTGATATGATTGTAGTTTTTGTTTTTTTGATTTAATCTTTTACCTCAGTAATTTCTTTCTACGCATGTTCTTATAAAGTGTGTTTCAGTGTGCATATGTTCTTATAAAGTGAGGGGTGGGGGAATCTATGGCCAAATGGTTAGCATGAGCGCATTGTATCATAAGGTCTGTCATTGAGGCAACTGGCATGGTTTTGATTCCCCGGTTGTACATGACAAAGAGTAGGGTCACCTGTCCAACCTCGTGGGTTTTCTCCAGGTCCTCCGGTTTCCTCCTACTGCTAAAGACACGTACCAGCAAGCAAATTATTGAAATAAAATTGAACCATGTGTTAGTCCCGAATTGACTTAACTTCATTTGTATCTCTTTCTCTCTCTCTCATGTAAAGTCAGAGAACCGCAGTGGCTCCGTGAGTAAGATGCAGGCTCGCTAGCCAGGTCTCCTGTTCATACCCAGTTCCCGGTAAATCATCAAATCAGCTGTTTTTGAATGATCTTTTGATATCAAGATGTGGAAAATGTTTGAAGGATCATTAATATGTAACTCATGCAACGAATCAAAGTCTAATTATCGAGAAAACGGCAGCATTTCATTCTAACAAATCCTGCTGATCAGTAGCCACTGGGAGAGGGGGCGGGGGCTGGTCCAAGGATCATTAATATGTAACTCATGCATCAAACTGATGTCCAATTGTCAAGAAATCTGTAGCATTTCATTCTAACAAATCCTGCCAATCAGTAGCCACTGGGGGGCGGGGCGGAGCTTAGGAACCAGTTTCACACTGATTAATGGCCGGCGAGTTTTACTAGTGATAAACGAAAGGTAAAGTTATATCTGGGTTAGAGATTGAAATTAAAAATCATTTCATTTATTTTCTGTGTTCATTGTCATTGATTGATGCGGAATAGTAGGATTTATTTTATCTATTTTGTTTATTTTTACAGGAACTTGATGAACTCGATGAAGATAATATTAAACTCCAAGAACAAAACAGTGCTCTTATTAAAGCCATGTCTACACTGAATACAGCTGTCTAAACTCTCAGCTATAATACCTTGCCAACTATGTTAAAGCCATGTCTACACTGAATACAGCTGTCTAATCTCTCCATACCGCGATCTCAGCTCTAATACCATGACAACCATGTTAAAGCCATGTCTACACTGAAAACAACTGTCTAAACTCTTCATACTGTGATCTCAGCTATAATACCATGACAACCAGTCAACACATGATTAACCCTGCTAGTTTTAAACTCTCAATACACTGATCACATGATGAACTCTCAATACACAATCTCCCAGGCCAGTGATCACATGATAAACTCTCAATACACAATCTCCCAGAGCAGTGATCACATGAGAAACTCTTATTAAACTCTCAAATACACAATCTCCCAGAGCAGTGATCACATGAGAAACTTTCAATACATAATCTCCCAGACCAGTGATCACATGATAAACTCTCAATACACAATCTCCCAGGCCAGTGATCACATGATAAACTTTGGGAACTCAATACACAATCTCCCAGACCAGTGATCACATAATAAACTCTGGGAACTCAAATTACAAAATACCTAGAATCTCAGACATGAGATCACAACCAAGGTTCCAATAAGACTACAATCTGTACTACAACTGGGAACTCAAATTACAAACTACATGATGTCTATCTAGGTCTGACTTTACTTCACCACCAAGGTGGGAATACGACAGGACGTCTATCTAGGTCTGACTTCAGTTGACCGCCAAGGTTCGAATACGACAAGACATCTATCTAGGTCTGACTCCAGTTAACTACCAAGGTTCGAATAATACACGATGTCTATCTAGGTCTGACTCCAGTTCACCACCAACGTTCGAATACGACATGACGTCTATCTAGGTCTGATTCCAGTTAACTACCAAGGTTCGAATAATACACGATGTCTATCTAGGTCTGACTCCTGTTCACTTCCAAGGTTCGAATACGACAGCAATCTGTAGCTATAGCTGGGAATTCTCAGTTTTGATTTTATGCCGTCTATTGAGCAGAATCTCAAGTTTGGTTCCATCTGAATAGTCGTAGAGCTTGCTGGCCTAGCAAGTTAAGTGTTGACTAGTTTTCGGAGGGACAGAAAGAAACCCTTGTTGGAATACAGTGACAAGTAAGATGTATGGTTTCATGGAAAGATACATTATCGAGAACTAATATAATGATCTCACGTTTAAATATAAGCCTTGATCTGATTGGTTGTAATTATATACATTGTATACGTATTGTTTTATGTAAAAGTCTTGTTCATAGGTTGTAATAGCGTTGATTATCCTTGTGATTGGTGGAACACAAAACTTAAAATGACTCTAGTAAAATCAATTATCTTTAATTATGTCAAGGCAACTTATACTGAGCATTGTTATTGTAATGGAGATGATTGAGGGACTGGTTGAAACCATCTACAATAGACTTGATCAATGAGACTTGGTTTGTTGTGAAGGTATCAGCAGTCACTCAAAGGATGAATCTCATTACCAGACGTAGAATCACGTCTGCTTACTATATTACGGCAAGATTTAAATATTTTTGAGAGAGAAAAAAAAAGCCTGTAAATGACATTAAGACCTGGTGGCGCCACCCTGAAATGTTTTAAACGATAAATATGATGGATATAAGGTTGTGTTGTGTATAGAATGAAAAATATAAATATTTATAAGTGAGGCCAAAAATAACAAATAATCTATTTCTCAGATACTGTCAACTTAATTGCACGTTATTGTATTTGCCACACCATCTCGAGGGGAGATTATCTTGTTTATTACAGCAGAGGGGGGTGTTGGATGGCCGAATGGTTAGCATGTGCGCGCTGTATCACACGGCCCGTCATGAGTCAACTGGTGTGGTTTCGAAACCAGTTGTACGTGACGAGGAGTAGGGTCGCCTGTCCAACCTCGTGGGTGTTCTCCGGGTCATCCGGTTTCCTCCCACTGCTAAAGACCCCTTCGCGCACGGAATTATTGAAATAAAATTAAAACATATGTTAGTCCCCGAAATGACCTAGTTTGTGTCGAGTGGACAGTAAACCCCATTTCTCCCTCTCACCCATATTTCATTGTGGAAGAGAATAAGGGGTTGACATGAATGGATGTGGAAGTCAGACAGGTACCCCCCACCCTTTGTGTGTGAGCATGGGGAGGGAAACCCGCAAATGGGCCGAAAAATGGGTCTAAAGTAGTTGAATGAAAAGCCAGCATTTTTAAAATATTTTAAGTTTTTCTGGATAAGGTCGCAGATACTTGTTAATAAAATTCTGGTGGTGTCCAGCCAGATAATAAATTCTCCCTTGGAAAGATGTGTTATTAAATGTTTAAAGATACATTATGCAAGAGCTAAATTGTTTTTAAAGACAATTGGCTTTTATTGATTTAATTAAAACATGGATAATCAAAACTGTGTTTAATATCGTAACTACGGTAACAATGACTATCGAGACTCTACTATTCTCCAAACAGTCTTAAAGATACATTATGGGAGATTAGATAAAGAGCTGACATTTCTCACTATAATAGTTAAAAACTAGATAATGTAAAGGCAATTTACTGAAAATTTCATTCACATTTATCCACTATGAACCGAGAACAAAGCGTTTGAAATTTTTCCACCTAGCTTCGATCATCATTACTAAAGTCAGTACGTTAAACAGCATAGTCCCGATTATCCATTTAATCGTTAAATCGTGAAGGAAAGTTATGCAGTAAATAGGCTCATAATCCACTAAAGATCGCAGGCTAGCAATGCCTTCTAGAGTTGATTATTGTCTGGATAGGTTAATTAATGTCTAATTAATAATTTTGATAAAATTTCAGGCCTAAAGAAAGACCTGCAATAGGCAGATTTAGCTCTTGCATAATGTTGCTCAGAATGAAGTAATTTGACTGATTTTTCAAGATATTTTCTTTTCATTATCTAGTTTTAACCTATTATCTCAAGAACTGTCAGTTCTTTTTCTAAATCTAACCTAACATATCTTTAATATAAAATATGAATATTTTTTTAAAGCGATTAAACATGTTGGTATTTTTGTTTGTTTGAAAGACGTGCTAATTCAACTTAATTTAAACACACATTTATTAAAAACCAACAAAATCAGTATGGTTTCTGAGAAACAGGTGTTTTTTTTTGTTTTTTGGCCTAGTACAAATACTGTAGATATATATATATAAAGCTTGAATATATAACTGTACATAAATTTGTTGATATATTTTAGCCTAGTCCTTTGTTGTATGAGACGTCAAGCCAATCTCTGGAGCCATTACATATTTTTTGTGACTCCCACGAGCTAAGACTAATGTACATTTATATAAAGGGAGAATTTCCACCTTCCTCAAAAAGTACAAAAAGTTTGTCTATGGCCCCAGAGAATGCTCACAATATCCTTGTTGTCAATAATGCTGTAAAACTGTAAATTAATTTCTTGGTTTATTTTGATAATGTATGTTTTTATTATCGTTATCCGCCACTTGTCACAACTTCTGGCTTTGTAGACATGTAATTACTAGATATCTGCTTTCCTTATAGTTTTATAGATTTAATTAATCTAGTTTTACCTGATTGGTCGAATTTTGAACTCAAAAACCCCCTTTTTATTTCCAATCAGGTGCTTTCTACTTATCTGCTGGATTGTAATTTCCTTTACAAGTGTTGGTTGAATCGTTTTCGTATTCTATTATATTTGAAAATTGTCTCGAAGATTGTTTCAATCTAATTAAAACACAGATCCTATTTCATTTTGTTTTTTATAGTTCAAAATTCCATTTTATTTGTCTGTACTACACTAGAATCTAGAAGAGTTGTTCTATAACCTGTGTTCTGGATGGCGTGAGGGATTAGCCAATGAAACAGTCTGTTGCGGCGACTTCTTGGCGTGAGCTGAACGGAACTGTGAGTAAACCACTAGAAACGTCAACGCTGATTGATTAATCAATGCCTGGCGTCGTAGAGTCAATCGCCGTTCATATGACCTCTGACGCGACCTTCCAGTACAACTGGTTAGATCTTCATGTAGCGTAGGCCATTGAAACGAAACGAAATATAGATCTGTATTTCAATCAGATTGAGATTGTTTCAAGTTTTATGATTCCCTTTTTATTCACGATTGTTCTATTCACATGAATGGCCATTTATATACAAATCACCATGGTTACAAGTACTTATTTTTTACTCAAAGATCCAATTGTTTGATGCAATATTCTAAACTCCCGCCATGCCTCCCCCCATAAAAACTAACATAATGTTTATAAATTATAATTAACCCAAATCTTGACCCCATTTTGTCTCTTACACATATTTTTGTAACTAAATACTTAAGGATGCATTTTATTCAAGAGCTAAATCTGCATATCGCAGATCTTTCGTTTGACCTCAAATGTTATATAAATCATTAATCAGACATTTATTGTCATGCCAAGGCTGTAATCAATGCTCTAGAATGTCGGATGGTTTTGATTTTCAACAGATTTAAATATGATTGTCAGTTAATGATTTTAGTAAATAATGGATAATCGAGACTTTATTTATTATTGTAACCACGGTCGCAATGAAAATCGAGATACACCGTAATCGACGATAACTCCACTCAGAATGAAGTAATTTGACTGAAATTTTCAACTTATTCCCTTTTCATTATCTTTTTTTTTAACTATTATAGCAAGAACTTCTTTAACCGCTTTGTAAATTTATGAACATATTTTTCAATATTTCTTATTCTGTACAAATTCTAACGCTAATTAAAATATCTTTGTTCTTAAGCTGAATATTAATCAAATGCATTGAACTGTCAATCAAATAAAATTATGTTTTATCCAATTGATTTTCTTAAAGGTTAACATAGTAGATTATGAGTTATTCCCCCTTCGTTAAAATAGGTTGTGAGTTATTCCCCCTTAGTTAAAATAGGTTGTGAGTTATTCCCCTTGTAGTGATAAAGCAGGAGCAAGGATTGTTAGGTTGTTGTAGTTATTGGTTGAGAATAGAACAGAGAAGTGAAAAAAAAAACAGTCTGCAAAAAATTTATATTTTGGGGAATCCTTTTTTCCTTAGACCAGTTTCTATTTTTAATGGGAAAATTTGTCAAACTAATAGAAATCGGGAAGCGATGGTGACTCAGCGATTGAAATGCTGGCTAGATGACCCGGAGGTCCAGGATTTGATCCCGATTTTGGCTGCGAAAGTTCCCTAAATTTTCCAGCTTGGTTAACCCTTGTCAGTGATGCCGGACCTAGCAAGGAACAGCATCTTATTGTTTCGAAGGGATGGAAAACCGTGGTCCCGTCTTCCTGGAAATCTTTACTGTCTTCTATCTAAGGAAAAGCGGGAGACTTTCCTTGGCAATTTCATTTTTTTGGCAGAATTGTGTATTTCAGAACTCTGTTGTATTCTGACTATTGATACAGATAGGCCTATTCTGATGGCTATTGATACAGATAGGCGTATGTTTATTAACTGGTTTATATTTGAAATGTGATACAAATTTTTATTATATTTAAATGTATATTGTTTATTAATTGTTTAGTTTGTGTCATATTTTAAAGCATGTTTTCCTTATCATTCCATTTAAAGATATTTTCCTTTGTAATAGTGATGTTGACCTGTTGAGTATGGTACTGGCACACCACAGCCCCGCTAACCAGAAGGTCGCAAGCTCAATCTTGGGGTTGGGTGGTCGATTGGGTAACACATGTGCATTGGATCATAAGGTCTGTCATTGAGTCAAGTGGCATGGTTTCGATTCCCTGCATGTATGTGACTAGAACTAGGGTTGTCTTCCTACCTCATGGGTTTTCTCCAGGTTCTCTGGTAATGAACCCCTACTGGCAAGCGAGTTACTGAAATACAGTTGAACCATATGTTAGTCCCCAAATGACCTAGTTTGTGTTGAGTGGACGTTAAACACCATTCCTCTATCCCTCTCGCATCCTGGGTTTCTCCTGGGTTGGATGAAAACATGAAGTGCGTCTCATTACTCGTTGGCACACACATGAGGAATCCTTGACAACAGGAATTCAATAAATAAAAAAAGTAGGCGGTAATGCCGCTTACGGCTCAATATTTCGCTCATAGTACAAAACATGATCTATTCCTGGCGTTGTGAACCCGATTGGTGAAAAAAAGTTGGACGATAGAACCCATTTTACTATCGTTACCAGTAACATGATACTCAGCAACAGTATGATAAGAAATGTTCTACATTCAATATGAAATGATTTTGACGGTAGGCCTGTGACAGATAACTCAAGGGAAGATATCTTTTAAGATTGTTTTATTTTTCAATGTAGGCCAATAAATTATTTGTAAGGAGATTAGACTGATAAGATATATATTAAGGGGTGGGAAAATAATCAAGTCTACTACAAGATGTATTATGTACGAGCTACGAGCTAAATCTGCCTATTGCATGGTCTTTCCTTTGGCCGTAAATGTTATATAAGTTATTAGACATTTATTAACATAACAAGTCTATAATATTCTCTCTAGATCATCGAATGGTCGCGATTTTCAGTGAAATGAAACACAATCGCCATTTATTGATTTAATTTCTAAATGGATAATCAAGACTTTGTTTATTATCATAACAATGATACTGGACGATCAAGACTATATTGCGAGAACTTCGATGAATAAGATAAATTATGAAATTTTCAATTTATTCATTTGTCAATATCTATTTTTGAACTATTATATCGAGAATGGCGGACTCTTTATCTAAATCTTACATAATACATATTTCAATATTGCTTGAAGAGATTTTTTTATTGTTGTTCAAAGGGAGGTAACTTTTAGAATTGATCATATAAAGCATAATAGAAAAATGTCCGTTCACTTTATAGTTTATTGTAATATTTATGAATTGTGAATGATTTACATGTTTTAAATAAGAAGATAGAGGTATTAATCTCATGAAGGTGTAAACAATACTATATTATATGTTTATTCTCTTGTTAATGCTTGATTTTACCCAATTCACCCACTGGATTTGGTATTTTGAGGACTTAATTTTATCAAATTCGGCCATTGGATTTTGTATTTTGAGGTCTTGATTTTACTGAATTCGGCCATTGGGTTTTGTATTTTGAGGTCTTGATTTTACTGAATTCGGCCATTGGGTTTGGTATTTTAAGCACTTGATTTTACTGAATTCGGCCATTGGATTTTGTATTTTGAGGTCTTGATTTTACTGAATTCGGCCATTGGGTTTGGTATTTTAAGCACTTGATTTTACTGAATTCGGCCATTGGATTTGGTATTTTGAGGTCTTGATTTTACTGAATTCGGCCATTGGGTTTGGTATTTTAAGCACTTGATTTTACTGAATTCGGCCATTGGGTTTGGTATTTTGAGGTCTTGATTTTACTGAATTCGGCCATTGGGTTTGGTATTTTAAGCACTTGATTTTACTGAATTCGGCCATTGGATTTGGTATTTTGAGGTCTTGATTTTGCCAAATTCGGCCATTGGATTTTGTATTTTAAGCTCTTGATTTTACCGAATTCGGCCATTGGATTTGGTATTTTAAGGACTTGATAGGGTCAATTAGCGATAAAGGGATTATTAAATATATGAATCAGTTGTAGTATGAAATGTGATCCAAACAGTGGCGTAGCAAGGGTTGTCCATGCACGCGACAAGGCAAGTATTGCGCCATCTATGTAACTTGTGGACTATTATCAAAGAAAGAATGTGTCACAGAACTGTTTATTATTCCTGGCATGTTGATCAAATGTGTAGGACTGAATTTATAGTTGATAGTTTATTTTATTTCTTGCCAAACATCCGAACTCCTCCACAATATGAATTGGTATTAGCCAGAGCAGTGGTTCTCAAACCTTTTTTGCTGACGGCACACCATGGAACACATGAAAAAATAGCTGCACACATGAAAAATATTTGAATTTTGCAAAATAAAAACATGGAAAGTCATAGACGACATACAACCGTAGACAGAGACTAGTCATGGACACATAGAATGACTCGAACTAAATAAAGAAAAACACAGCTATGAACTTACCAGAAAACATCAGTGAAAACTCAATTGGGATCAAGTGGTTTTTCACATTTTCTTAGTGTGCCATTCAAAATTTTGCGGCACAATTAGGAAAATCTGGTTGAGAATCACTGAGTCAGAGGTAGGCACGAAATGGATTGTGTCTGACAAAGCTATGACAGAATAATGTTGTGTGTTTCCTACATCAGTTTTATTGTGAAGGCTTTAGAAGTAGAGTCCTGTCTTCAATAGCCCAGTCGGTGCAGAAAAGTAGGACATTAATCCCCATTTCATATCTGAACTCGAATCTTGTGTTTTTAGTAGGTTATCTAATATTTATAAATGACTTTAGTTTTCATCTCAATTACATTTAAATCTTGCATGAGCTCTAGTCAGATCAATTAGACAATTTAATTCATTAATATTGTAAAGGGCAATTAATATTGTTCATGTTTAGAATTAATAAACAAATCATATGATCGAACATTAACTAGTTCTAAACAATATTTTTCTAGTTCAGAGGGAAATGAGTTTGAAGTTTCTGGATTCTGTATTTCTGTCTGGGGTCACAGTGGCTCTGTGAGTAGGATGCCGACTCGCTAACATGAAGGTCTTGTGTTCGAGCCCTGCGTTGATCAAGAAAGTTTATCTGGATTTTCCAGTGTGTTTCCCCCTTTCATTGATGTAGGCGGAGGGTCTGGCAAGGGGACAATTTCTAGTCATTCAGATGGGATGAAAAGCTGGGGTCCTGTGTACACATTGGCATGCAGTTGGAACCCAGTTGGAACCCAGTTGGAATTTGATATAAGAGTAGGCCGTAGCGCTGCTGTCTGGGCTAAATTTCCCTCATACCACTCTGCGTTGGAACAAAACAGTAGGACGTTGAACCTCATTTCATTTCTGCCTTGCCCATGTTAGCCAATAACCAAACCAAGATCTCAAAATGTACCAGAAATATAGAATCTCGAATCCTGAAATTCATTTTTCTTCGAACTAGAAAAATGTTAAATAGAACCAGGTAATTCTCGGTCTATGAAATCATAATCTTTTTGAAATCTGTAAAAAAAACGTTGTAAAAGGTGAAATACGAGAAATTTGTTCAAACGGCTCCATGATTGCATTTAAATGATTAAAATCAAATAGTCTTTTATAACTGGAAACTTTATTTTTTAACAGCAGGCTTTCCATTGGCTATGAGCTGAAAAAGATTAACTCTAAGCCAATCCAAAATCGGGAAAAGTTATTTTTAACAACAGGTTCTTTCATTGGCACTACGATTTTAGTTCTCGGCCAATCAAAAAAATTAGCCAAAAGTTTATTTTTAACAGCAGGTTTTTCATTGGCTAAAAGATCAAATTTGTACGAAGATTTCAACTGTCTGCCAATCAAAAGTCAAGAGTTAATTTATAACAGTTGTCTTTCACTTTATAATGTTTATTTATTCCTGATCACAATATGGTGGCATTACATCCCCTGATTTTATTTGTATGTAACTATCTTGTGCTAATTATTATATACATAAAGACGTTTTGTGTTTACAGAGTAATTATTAATTTTATTATTACCATGCTAGCTTTCACAAACAAACAATAACCATTTTAAATTATTATTGTATTTATGTCTAAAGATACGTTCTGTGAGACGTAAATCTAAATCTGTGTTTCGGATTGGCCGGTTGTACTTGACTAGGAGTAGGATCACCTGTCAAACGTTGTGGGTTTTCTTCGGGTGTTCCGGTTTTCTTCCACTGCTAAAGACCCCTACGTGCAAGCATATTACTGAAAAAAAATGAACCATTTTTAAACATAAAAAAACCAAGGTCCAGTGTACACAGTGACGCGCACGTTTGAGAACCCTTGACAGTTGAAATTCGATATAAGAGAAGCCCAAAGCCCTGCTGTCCGGGCAAAGTTTCCCTCAGAACACTGCATGGCCCGTCTTCATTTTCCCAGTCGGTGTTTCATTAAAACAGGATGAAAAGGAACACTCTAGTTCTCACATGCGAGTTAATAATGGAACCTAAAAACCTATTAAAAATGAAAATTGTGGTCTGAAATTTGGTTTGGAGACAGTTGTTAAAGAGTTGAATCGCTAAGAAACTCTAACTTAATTTTTGCCTGAAGTCAGTTCTTGGGTAGCGAAATATCTTGGGTAAATTTTAGTTTGTTTATTACATGTAAGTTGTACGTGACAAGGAGTGGGGTCGCCTGTCCAACCTGGTGGGTTTTCTCCGGGCCCTCCGGTTTCCTCCCACTGCTAAAGACCCTTACGCGTAAGCGAATTGTGGAAATAAAATTAAGCCATATTTTAGTCCCGAAATGGCCTAGTTTGTGTTGAGTGGACGTTAAACCCCATTTCTCTCCCTCTTATTACATATAGAGAATGATACAATCAATGTTGTGTTGTGACACGACCTTCTTCGTAACCCACTACATTAGCTTACCTTGAAACATCATCGATATCCTCAGTGACATCGTTCTGTTCTACGCCACAAATCCCCGGGTCCATTCAAAGGGGAGACAAAAAGTCAAATTATCCACCCTTGTGCTTATATTGATCGACCAATCGAGTGAGCAAAGAGAAGTAACTGGTATTTTATTGCAGTTAAGATTGGTTATCAGGATTTTCCGACGTGGTTCCCCTTCGTGGAGGATGGAGGTCCTGGCAAGGAATAACACATAGTTGTTTGGATGGGATGAAAAACCAAGAACCTGTGTACACTTTTATGTGCATATTAAAAAACCCTTAGCAGTTGGAAATCGAAATAAGAGTAGGTTAGAGTGCTGCTGTCCGGGCAAAATGTCCCTCATAGTACACTGTATGGCATATGCCAGTCAGAGCAGAACAGTAGGCCGTCAAACTCCATTTCATTTCATGCAATTTTGGCTAAAAAAATTAAATGAAATGGGATTTATCGTCCTACTCCAAACTAGTCTCAAATATCGAACCCTTGCCAAGCCTCTTGAGGTGTGTTAAGGCTCCAGGAGAGTTTGATATAAGACCGGTCTCAAACCAGTCTCAAATATCTGACACTTGCCAATCCTCTTGATAACTTTGAGGGGTGTCCGATGCTACCGGAGAGTTGGATATAAGGGCTGACTCAAACCAGTCTCATATATCTGACACTATCAGGAGTGTTACAGGTTCGATACCCGGCATCTCCAGTTAAATCTTTCCCCACCCCTCAATGCCTGTTCTATTTTCAGTCCTAAAGTTCTGGGGCCTGTTCCACGAAATTTTAACTAAGATAAAATCCAAATTTTAATAATTTGATTGGATAATATTAGATTGATTTTAGTGCTTAGCCAATCAAAATTGAGGTATCTACTAAAATTTGGATTTTATCTTTAGTTAAGATTTCGTGAATCAGGGCCCAGGTTATCTACTTAGCTATCGCTAAACTATCCCTGAAAAGAAAAGGGGATACAAGAAAACAGGGGATGAGATATAAGGGCTATCCCAGATGAGTTTGGTATAAACAGTAGATCTGTGTTAATAATAAAGAATGATTATATAATTATTGTACGTTACCATGTTGGATAATAAAAATGTTGATTGATGATACGGAAGATATAAAATACTGTGGGTAGTAAACTTCTCCTCAATAAAATGTTGAAATAAAATGGTCCTTGTTTTCATTTTTGTACTTTTTGTCAAAAGAAGAAAACACGAGGATTGTCCGGGGTCCAGACAAAATATCTTCTCTCTTACATTATATTTGTCTGTCTCCGCGGCGGACCCAGCACCCCCCCCCCTCCCCGCCTGCCCATATTAAACTTAGGCTGCCTAGCTACAGTTAGCTCCACTTGATGAGTACAGACACTAACCTAGTTGACCGACATTTTAAGACTTTAATAGACTATTTTAGAGGAAAACACTAAACCTCGAGGGACAAGTCAGTGGGGGAGGGAAGGGACTGAATTAAGAAAAAATCGTTGGTGTCGGTCCCCATAATATTTTAAGGTACATTTTGAGAGTAAACCAATCTAAATTAGAATCTCTTGGTCATCCAATGGATGTTTTGATCTTGTAGGCGGTACTGAGGTTCGAATTCCAGTGTGGATCAATAAGAACCACCAGAATTCCAGCGTGGATCATAAGGTATGTTGTCATTGAGTCAACTGGTGTGGTTTCAACTCCCCGGTTATACGTGACAAGGAGTAGGGTAGCCTGTCCAACCTCTTGTGTTTTCTCCCAGTGTTGAAGACCCCTACGCGCATGCGAATTATTGAAATAAAACTGAACCATATGTTAGTCCCGAAATGACTTAGTTTGTGTCGAGTAAACCCATCTCTCTCTCTCCCTCTCTCTCTCTCTCTCTCTCTCTCTCTCTCAGCACTTTAAAATCCAAAGTCACATCTTGTTCTTGTTCGATATAAGGTATTTACTTACATGGTAAAACATTGACGTCATTAAGAGAATTCACTCAAGTAGAAATTAAACCTTCTAAATAATTCAAACCAGTGATTCGCGTCTAATGAGAGCAGATCTTCTAACAGAGGGCGGTCGGCGATTAACAAAATTTATTGTGGTGTTTAGGCATAGTGTTATTTGTGACGACTGATCATTTGAAGTTCTCTAATAAATGACGCAACAGGGGTCGGAAAGACTCCCTTGAATGTGTCCAAGATATTGGGGATAAAAACAATTTGTTCTTGTAACTTGCTGTAATAATAGTCTACGTCGGAATTAATGTACAATCTTAACATAGATTTCTTCAAAACTGTTATTCAAATTCAATGAAACTTGATTTTTGTACCAATTAAGCTTATAGTGTTGGTTTATTCAAGTTTTACGTCAGCTTCCACTTGAGGTGATATTGCAGACAAGAAGGCCCAGTGGTCTATTGTAAGGCCTTCACGCATGTACCGGTATAAAGAATAATCATAAAGGTGATTGGAGTCCATTTGAATTCAAAAGTATAAAAAAAAGATGTTTGATATCACGTAACCTCTTCCGGTGTTTAAACAAGGATTTTTGAGAAGCGGTGATTCGAATCTAATGAATCTTAACAAACAGTTGGTGGTCTCCCATCTTCAATAGATGGCTTGATCTCGCTTTAACTACGTACATAACTTATCAAGATGTTGTAAAACTCGCAGTCGTTACTTAAGGAACATGGTAGTCGCCTTAGATCTACCTAACATATATTGTATTGTATTTTCTTCCTATTTAACATACGCTGGTGGATTCGTTGACTATATATGGTCCTCGATTTGACGTTCAGCAGTGTAGTTAGCTGCCATGAGTTGTCAATATGCACCAATATGGATACCATCTCGCATCTTTAGTGATATCAACAAGTAGCTTTACTCTTCTGATATAATCGAAGTTTTCTTCCACCACCCAGTAAACTAAAACTGAGTTAAGTTACTCTATATTTCAATAAACTGGAGTTTTAGTTTTAATATAGCCGAAGTTTTCGACGATCACCCGGTAAACCAGACTTAAACTGAGTTAAGTTACTGTATATATATATATATTTTGAAAAACTGGAGTGATAGTGTTAAAGGCTCAATACCACTCTTGTTGTAACTGAATAATTTGTCCCAATCTTTATTCTGGTCAACAAATTGTACTATTTTAGAATATTTCAATTAATTGATGATACAAATTTCATCTTAACACACCTTATTTAAAAATTTTGAAAAATTCAACATAATGGTTTGAAACGTCTAACGTAAACCTTTTCAAATGAAACTTCGATTTAAAAATATTTTCGAACCCTCTGGACAAATAAAATAGGATGTAATGGATAATTTACACAACAGGTAGGACACTTAAACATCTAGTACTTAGATAGAGATATTATTTATTTTCTGGAGCTTTCAAGCCAGCAAGAGTGTTATTGTCCCTTTAATATAGCGGATGTTTTCGACAATCGCCAGGTGCGCCATAAGAAAACTGTATATTTTAACAAACTGTTAGTTTTGATATAGCGGACGTTTTCAACCTTCGCTGTAAGCTACAAGAAAACTGTGTTACGTTATGGTAATGGGTCAGGCGTCACAATCGTGGCTAGAGTTATGGTAATGGGTCACGCGTCACAATCGTCGCTAGAGTTGAATGAATGGGAGTGGTAGGATTTATTTTGGATTTCAGCATCGGTTGTTCAATATCCAGACATACACGTCGAGTTGTGGGATTAAGACAAGGACCATGTGGAAATTCGTCACCACTTAAACGGCGACCTGTCTTGCTGTACAAACAACAGAGCAATAGCAGAAACAACTGGACAAGAGCTGAAACAACTGAGCAAGGGTTGAAACAACTGGACAGGGGTTGAAACAACTGGACAGGGGTTGAAACAACTGGGAAAGAGCTGAGACCACTGGGCAAGACCAGAAACTACAGGGTGCGCTTCGAAACAATGGACAGACCAGTGGACGACATAACAGGAACTGCCACATAACCGGGACTGCCAAGTCCACTGTCATCTGTTTTACCATGTACGACATTCCATTTGGATTAACTTTGAAACTTTAAATTTCAGAAGACACAATCAAAATGGTAAATATTGTTCTTTCTCCAAATTTTTACCGGCGACATTCTTTCCTGCGTCACTTTTTACCGTGAATCCTTTTCTCCACTAACATCGTAACATTTCCAGAAATTCATATAATTTAGTTGGTATTGCACAGGAGTTACCTTATTCCTGTGTGCTGTGAGGGAAATTGTGTCTGGGCAGGGGCCGTTTCCACCCACTCCTCGTCGAATTCCAATTGCCATGGGTACTTTCACGTACACAAACGTGTATAGTTTTTTGGACCATCCGAACGACTAAACCCTAGTCAGTCAGTGTGCAATGAGGGAAATTGTGTCTGGGCAGGGGACATTTCCTCCAGCTCTTTGCCGAATTCCAATTGCCAAGGCTTCTTTCACGTGTATACGTTTTTTGACCATCCGAACGACTAAACGTTATTCATTACCTGGGCCTACGTCCTGTACTACTAACATGGTAGTAACGGAAAATAATATGAAAAGGAAATGAGGTTTAACGTCCTACCTTTCTGCACCAACCAGGATAATAAAATGACATACCTGTTTATTTACACCTGTTGTGGGGGATCACGTGGCTAAGTGGGTAAGACGCTGGCTCGCTAGCCTGGAGGTCGGGTGTTCGATCCCTGCATTGGCCGAGAAAGTTCATCCAGATTTTCCGGTGTGGTTCCCCCTTGTCAGTGATGCAGGACGGGGGGCCTGACAAGGACAGCTGTCTAGTCGTTCGGATGGAACGAAAAACCGAGGTCCCGTGTACACATTGGCGTGCACGTAAAAGATCCCTTGACAGTTGGAATTCGATATAAGAGTAGGCCGTAGTGCCGCTGTCCGGACAAAATTTCCCTTATAGCACACTGTATGGCGTATGCCCGTATTCATTAGCCCAGTCGGAGCAAAACAGTAGGACGTTAAACCTCATTTCATTTCATTTCATTTCACACCTGTTTTGTTCTATCTTGAAGATATGACTTTATCCATGACAGTGCAGTACCACTATTGTATCACAACCCAGTCATTCTTCACACGGAGGACTATCAACTTCGAGAAACGATCTCTGTCCTGAATGGCCGCCATATCCAACAATGAGTATACTATTTCGTATACAGTTCTACTCCGTTTCACATCTGTCATACACACAAAGACTAAATAAACAATTTCTATTTTATTAAATGGAAACGAAATAAACACTTCTCAAAATTTGCGAAATATTTTATGTGGTTTCGACTACAATCGTCGATTTAAGAATTAAAATGTCGGTCAACTAGCTTAATGTCTGTTTTCAAGCGGAGCTAGTTATAGACAGACAACGTAAGTTTAGTATAATTACCCAATAGAAATCTATTTCTCCAGTCGACAACAAGACGTAATGTCACTAAATTCTACTTATTTTAATAATGGATTTATGTAACATATGAATATTTAATTACCTCCCTTGTCCGTAATAAACCAATACAACTCAAATCAATCACAGCAAATTGATATTTGAATATTAATTGATTAGTAATCGATATCGGTATCCAACAAACAAAGTAAAATATGATGTAAATATATGCGCGAATTCTTAACTCATTTCCGTTTTGTTTTTTTAAACGAGAGCGGATTTGGAAAATATTCAGAAAATGGTCGGGAATGGCGGTGGGGGGGGGGCGGGGGTATACTCGGAAACTTTACAAATAAAACTCATATTATATAACAGATCTTTAGGCCACGAGGAAGCATTGACGAATTTGTTTGATGTTTTAAAGAAGTTTATTTTCACCGAACATAAAACTGTTCATATTTTTTAATAATATGGCCCTTTATTTAAAGTATACCTGACCCTCCTTTGTTAAATATAGGTCCGCCCAGAATTACGAAGCAACAACACACTAGTAGTTGAAGTATTAACTATCGTTGAGATTCTTTCTTCTGTATACGACTCTTCTGACACAAACTGTTTTTTTTATTTTCTAGGCAAGCCGAGGATTTCTATTCGTCAAATGTGGAGACAAAAAGATATAATGGAAAAGGGCAGACTTGAAAAACGTTTAAAATCCTACGAAAGGGAGGTAATGAGGTATGCCCACATCATAGACCGCGAGAAAAGGGCCATCATCCGGGATTTCGAAGCCGTGAGACGAACATCTGGAAATAGTGATCTGGCAATTCCACCGAATGGACAACGAGACAATATTTATGCCGAATCTTCGTATTCGAAATCGGGATTCAGACTCAGTGAGAAAAGACTTATGGAGTGGAAACTGTCGGAAAAAGAACTCGAAAGATTTTTAAAAAGGACGCAAGTCGGAAAAAATATGTTTCCGCGTGATACGAGTTACGACAACAGACGACCAAAAACAAGCATGGGTCGTAACAGCAAGACTAATAACGGATTTATTAATGGTAGAAGGCCAAAAACTGGTGTTCTGACTTTGACAGGTCAATATCCAGAAATTCAAAGTCAAGCTAAAATATTCAGACTCTATCTTAATAATGACGGAATTGAGTCGAAGTTAGAGTACCAGAATAAAGACGAAAAAACGCTCCGATTGGATAAAAGTCATTTTATTAAGATTCCCGCAAATGGCTACATAAAAGAGGAAGCTTGTGATGATTTGAATGATGAAGTGGTTGCTACCACGGAAGAACAGCCAGTTTCAGATGATGATAAGGTTGAAAGGTCGCTCAGTAGACGTAGCATGAAGTCGGCATGCTGCCCAGGACGACGGAGCAGGTGCCGAAGTCGCGTGGACTTAGTTCAAGAGTCAAAAGAAGTCAATTTCCCACGATCGAGAAGACTTTCCAGGTCATCAAACAGTCCAAAAACTAAAGGAGACAGAGCAGCGAGTATCACCAGAATTTATAGCTCTCCATCCAGGCGATCGTCCTTAGACTCGCCAAGAACTCCGCCAAAACGGAGAAACGGTTCGATATCAAGAAAGTGCTCTCAGTCTATGGACGCTAGGAGATCATCTTCATCGCTAAAACGAGTCGACTCCTTTTCACGGAGATCATCTACGACTCGCAACCCAATTAGCAACAGCGACGAAAATCTCAGCAACAAAGCTGCGTCCAAGCAAAACGATCTGGGCAATAAGCAAGACTTTACGGAAAACAAAGATAGTTTAAGCAACCAAAATCCGGAATCTGAAAATCTACAGGAATGTGGTGAATCACAAAGTTTGCTAAAAAGTTCGGAATTAAGTTCTTTTGGTGAAATGGGTCAGTTTAATTCATCTAATGCTGCTGACTTGGAGAACAGCGACCAACGTGCTGAAAACCCCCAAAAGCCAAGAAGGGTGTTGGGGAATAACAATATTCGATCGAAAAGATCCGAGAGTATTCAGACAAGGAAGCGACTAGGGAGGAATCCACAATCCATTCGGAGCAAAACAAATACTCCGAGCGGTAATTCACGGCGCGGATACGTAGAAAGTGTTATCAACTCTAATAAAAACGGAACAATTATGGAATCGCCACGCACCTCGAGTCGTTATTCACCTCCTGCTATTGGTATTTACCAGGGGAAGTCGGGGGATCCGGGCAGTAGCCATCAACCAATAACTTCAGAGGAACCTGTTTTCTTTTCTGATAGTGAAGAGCCCCAGCTTGACTTGTCATACCCGGATACAAATGTTTCCAGGAGAAGTAGTAAAAGACACGTTATTAGAAAGGCGCGTTTTAATTTACATAATAAAGCTAGAAAGGGTGGGTTAATTGGTTCAAAATCTAACGAACCGAGAATAATTCCTTCCGTGAAGAGGGGGGAAGGGCGAGGTTCAGCGGGTGGAAGTATAAAACCATCACAACATAATTCAAGAAATTTCGATTCTAATGATCGGAACAGCAAACCTTCGATTCCATCCACTTCTGTGACCATGATGAACGCGTCAACATCATCAACTGGTTGTGTCATTAGACGATCAACGTCATCGTCTGCTGCAAGTTCCCATCCCAGACCACCTATATCATCTGCTGCCTCGGGGTCGACAGTAGCATCAACTACTGATGTTTCTAGACCACACACGTCATCGACGATTGGCACCAGGAGGTCGCCAGCTTCGACTACTCCCATTGCAAAAAGACCGTCAACATCGTCCAATTCAGATACCACGAGACCACCAACGTCATCAGATCATAATACCATGAGACCTTCAACGTCACCAAATCGTAATACCACGAGACCTTCAACGTCATCGGATCTTAATGCCACTAGACCGCCAACGTCAACGAGACATAATTCCACAAGACCGTCAACGTCATCGGATCTTAATGCCACAAGAACGTCGACGTCATCGAGACATAATACCACAAGACCGTCAACGTCCGCGATTCGAGATTTCGTTGTTGATCAATTGGCGTCGCTAGGCGATGGAAATATAAGACCACTCACCTCTTCTCCCAGTGACCAAAGTAGACCAACAACATCCTCTACACGTCAAAGAAAATGGAACTCTGATGTTTGTATTGATTATCCGCCGGCGATTCACGCTAAAAATAACATCAATTCCGTTTTTAAAGTTGCCATGGTTTTCTCGAAATCCGCGAGAAAAACACGACTAAACAAATTAGTGGATGAATTTAGTCCTGATTTACGTCAGATGGTTCGAGAAGAAAGACTAACTGAATTAAAATCACGATCATCTCAGCTCTCGAATCTGGCTAGTCAGTTTAACATCGAGTAAAAAACATTAGGGCGGGGTAGGCACTCGGCAAACCTCAACAGATTCCAGTACCCTACATCTAATCTCGGCTGTATAACAAAGTCCGCCATTAGAACTACTTTCAAGTTCCCGGATTACAATGGCGTTGTCCATGACGACCAATGACGTCATTGATGACGAAGTATTTGAAGAATGTTTTATCTTACAAAATTTTCAAAGTTTGAAGCTGTTTTTCTTTCAAGTTTATCCGATTTTCGTTAGACAAGGACAAATTTGCACTGAAAATTCTACACACTCTTCGAACGACGCAATTTTGAGAACTTCTTTCTAAACGCGGGCAAGTTTCCCTTATAAGTAAACCGGTGCCGCATCGCAAATGTATAGGCGTAGGTACATATCACTTACTGTCACACAGCCGAGGCTAGATGTAGGATACCGGAATCTGCCGAGGTTTGCCGAGTGGCGGGGTAGGGTGCTGATGGACACAGTGGTGTGCACAAAGGGTAGGAGGGGTACTGGTGGACACAGTACGTGGTGGGGGTATTTGGTGGCTGGTGTGTTAATGGGAACAGCAGCGGACACAGTGGTATACCGCGAGAGACTCAGAGGTGATGACAGGTCCGCGGATCCATTATTTCGGGATAGGTGAGCGGGGGGTTTTGGAACAAAAAGTGAAATTGAAATTATCGCTATTAAGATCACTGTTCAAGCTGTTCTACTTTTGACTAAAAAAATTATTTTTTTTTATTTGTTTTCTTTTTTTTTATTAAAATATTTAGAATATCCTTCTTTCTCACATTTCTGTGTACTATGGAGCCTATACTTGAGTCGTGAAAGCATAGTTGTCAGCAAACCTCTGCATACCACTGAGTGGACACCTGCAGTTGTCAGCAAACCCCTGCATACCACTGAGTGGACACCTGCAGTTGGAGACATCTCAGTATAAAGATTTGTAACAAGGACGGGAAATCTTCCTTTGTTCTTGTTGTTAAATAAGAAGATTGTTTCCCTCTAGTAGATTAGCAATTAAATGGAGTTTCACGTCCTACTGTTCTGCTCCGACTGGGTTAATAGGGGACATTTTGCCAGCGCAGCGGCACTATGGTCTACTCTTATGTCTAATTCCAACTGCCAATGGATCTTTTAAGTGCATGCTAATTTAAACACGGAACCTCGGGCTTTCGTCCCATCCGAACGACTAAACAGCTGTCCTTGTCAGGCCCTCCGTCCTGCACCACTGACAAGGGAAACCACGTCTGAAAATCCCGATTACCTTTCTCGGCCAATGCAGGAATCGAACACGCGACCTCCAGACAGCGTCTTACCCACCAAGCCACCGTGGGTATTGTGAGAGAGAGAGAGAGAGAGAGAGATATGGGGTTTAACGTCCACTCGACACAAATAGCTCATCTCGGGACTAACACTTTATTTCAATAATTCGCTTGCGTGTAGGGGTCTTTAGCAGTGGGAGGAAACCGGAGAACCCGGAGAAAACCCACGAGGGTGGACAGGCGATCCTACTCACGTAAAACCGAGAAATCGAAAACACGCCAGTTGACTCAATGACAGACCTTATGATACATCGCGCACATGCTAACCATTCGACCCCCCCACACACACACACTAAACAGAGAGAGAGAGAGAGAGAGAGAGAGAAATGGGGTTTAACGTCCACTCGACACAAACTAGGTCATTTCGGGACTAACAGATGGTTTAATGTTATTTCAATAATTCGCTTGCGCGTAGGGGTCTTTAGCAGTGGGAGGTCCCGGAGAAAACCCAAGGGATTGGACAGGCGACCCTACTCCTTGTCACGTACTACCGGGGATACGAAACCACGCCAGTTGACTCAATGACAGGTCTTATGATACAGCACGCACGTGCTAACTATTGGGCCACCCCCCCCCCCACACACACACTAAATAGGAAATACTTTTACCTACATATACATGTAGTTGAAACACCTTTATTTAATTTTTAATGCTTAAAAAAATGACAATGCGCAGGCATAAGTGGTTTTCTATCCGTCACCCCCGTAGCCAGCCAGGGGCAAGGGGACACCCCCCCCCCCCTCGAAAAAAGATAATTGCCAGTCATAGTTCTAAAATACCTACTTTTTGTAATAGACAGCAGTCAGGGATCATCGTGGGGTATTGATTTGGGGACGTGGCACCTTGCACCCAGTATCATATTATTGACATCTATCTGCCATTATATTTTGTACTGACTTGCTCAATGGCCTACAGTCATGTGGGCCCCTGTCTTGTCAATAAGTTCATTGTTTTTAGTTCGCTAGAGAACGATTTTCTGGCTGGAAAAGGCGTTTGCGGCGGTCCACATTTCAAAATTGAATTGTCCAGGAGAGGACCCCGGTACCCCCCTCCATTCGTCCGAGGGAAAGAATCCCCCTCTCCCCACCCCCGCCCCCTAAAATGTTCGCTGCCCCTGCTATCCGATATTAACAACTAGGTAACACTTTCCGTGTGAGTCCCACTGGCGCTATCCTGAGAAACGAGAGTGAGAGAAATGGGGTTTAACGTCCACTCGACACGGACTAATTCATTTCGAGACTAACATATGGTTCAATTTATTTCAACAATTCGCTTGCGCATAGGGGTCTTTGGCAGTGGGAGGAAGCCTGATGGACCCAGAGAAAAACCACAAGGTTGGACAGGCGACCCTATACTCCTTGTCACGTTCCAGCAGGAAATTGAAACCATTCCACCTGACTCAATGACAGACCTTGTGATTTCACGCGCACGCGTTATACCACTAGACACCACCCCCCAGCCCCACCCCGAGAAACGAGGACGGGTCATGAAAGTTTCAATAGAGGGTTTACACATAGATAGATAGAGTCTGTTCCCCAATCCTAATTCAGTTTCGTGTCCGTATTCGAAACAATGTCATATCTTAAACACATCCGCATATCTCGGCGGCGTTTTTTTTTTTTTTTTTTTTTTTACCTACGATAACCTGTAATACCAATAAGAGGGTTTGAAGTTGCTTTGTGTGTCAGATTCCAATGAATATTAGTTGCATTCTAGTTTACAGGGGGCGTTAATTATGTCAGTTTAGAAAAATAGGGTAGGCCCTAGTATATTCTAGAATGTTTCTCTCCTGTTAAAATAGCGGGCCTCGGAACATCCATAATAACGACATAATCGATACCAAATAGAAGTTGCACAATTAAATTTTGTGTATATACTGGACTGGAATGACGTGGGTAGTAGTTAATTAAGGAGACAGAGACGTCGTGAAATCAAATATAGTTACCTGTCTGGTGCCTAACTCAGCTGACGCGTATTGATGAGAAGAGTTATCTCCCGTTATAGTGTTTTGTTGTTTTCATGTCGAATATTATTAGCCAGGTCGTTTTAATATTTACAATATGATTTGATTAGTGGCCGACAACGTGTGTCAGAATGGCAGAGGAAAATAGAAACGCCAAACACTCTATACACTGGTTCAGGAAAGGATTAAGACTTCACGATAATCCGGCTCTTGTGGAAGCAATTCGTGAAGCGGAGACTTTTCGATGTGTTTATATTTTGGACCCGTGGTTTGCTGGTTGTTCTCAGGTTGGAGTGAATAAGTGGAGGTAAGTCTGACATATGACCGTCAATTTAAACATTTCAGCACCCGTCCGTAATAATCCGAGTGCTCTGAATATGTAGCTTTATACCGATGTGTCTAGTTTTTGGGCGAGGCAGCGAAGAAATGATTAGATATGGCGACTTAATAATGATTTGTGACGTCATGTCAGATTCATGTTGGCTGACATTGACATTAAATAATACGGCTGATCTTATATATTATAATAATCCCGAGTTGAACTTGACCCATTTTTCATTTTTTGCTGTCTTGTCAGCTCCTGATAAATTCATTATCATACTACTTATTATATATTATATATTATGTATAATTAATGTAAAGTCACAGTCGATATTATGGCGTGTCTGTGACATTTATTTATATACGAGAGAGAGAGAGAGAGAAATATGGGATTTAACGTCCGCTTGACACAAACTAGGTCATTTCGGGACTAACATATGTGACTATTTCATGCATGCTGACAGGAAAGGGGACAATGGCATTGGGAGGATCTTGAAGGATCCAGAGAGAACCCATGAGTTTGGTCAGGTGACCTTATTATAGGCCTATTTGTCACTTACATTCCAGCCATATGGGATCGAAAACAGTTAGCCGAAAAAAGGTAGCCGGCCCACTTCACTTGACCCAATTTTAAAATGTCAGACATTATGATGCAATTAAGTGCAGTGGTATCACACTTAATTTTCAGGGAGAGGGGTTTTACATAGGCTAAGCCTGTTCCCCAATCCCATTCAGACAACCTGAATAAAATATTGTTTAAAAAGAAAAAACCAAAAAACTAATTTTCAAACAATAGGTACTGTAGGCCTATGATAATTATTAAAGCAAATCTATATTTTATTTGTATAATTAAGTTGAAGTAATTAAGTTAATTAATTTTCTTCATTTTCTGTACAGCATGATACAACAAATATGTCTGACATTAAATTTCAACCATGTTATTACAGAAGCATATTTGGGTCAAATGATTAAATAATTTGAAAAATTCTCAATATGTGCTAAGTAGGATAGATGAAGTGCTAATTAATGATAGTCTATAATGTGCTGTTTCCATGACTAAGCATGCTCAAAGCGCAGATATTAGGTGAGAATATGTCGTAGTTAGGACATAGTAACTCCTAATTAGGACAGGGAGCCACGATGGCTAAGTGGGTAAGACGCTGGTTGCTCGCCTGGAGGTCGGGTATCCGATCCCCGCATTTGCCGGGAAAGTTCATCGGGGTTTTCCCTTGTCAGTGGTGCAGGACGGAGGGCCTGACAAGGACAGTTGTCAAGTCGTTCGGATGGGACAAAAATCCAAGGTGAGATGTATACCTTGCCATGCACGTAAAAGATCCCATGGCAGATGGAATTCGATATAAGAGTAGGCCAGGCAAAATTTCCCTCATAGCACACTGTATGGCGTATGCCCGTTTTCATTAGCCCAGTTGGAGCAGAACAGTAGGAGGTTAAACACCATTTTAATTTCAATTTCCTAATTAGGACTTACTATCTCCCAATAATTATACTATCTTAATGTTAGGACCAAATCGATAGTCACGCAAAGCATGGAAATACGTCCACAGAGGAGTGCTAATCAGGAGAGGAGCTACATGTATATTTGAGCAGCAATATCTGAAAAGAAAACGTTGATCTGACAATTTGATGTAGTTGCTGCACAGACTTAGAAAAAACGTTAAAAGAGTAGTGCCTATCGTATTCGGAAAGGGGGATAACCCCGGACTAGAATGTCACGGAATGCTGAATATCGATATGATTTATCCTCACATCAATGCTTCACACACATTTGAAAAATATCGGTTATAACCTGTATCTTCTCGAGGAGGTGTAACATTACAAGGGAAGGGTTGCGAATCGCTGAATACTGATACAGTTTGTCCTCTCAAAACCCTGCATCAAGCACAAAACATAATGAAATCCACTAAATATCACAGGCTAGCAAAGGCATCGGGAATTGATTATGATATGGATAAGTAGATATTTATTAAACTTACATTATGTGAGAGCTAAATCAGCCTATTGCAGGTCTTTCTTTAGACCTGAAAGTGAAATGTTATATAAACTATCAATTATACATTTAAAAATGTCTAATTGATAGTTTAACTAACATTTGAGGCCTGAAGAAAGACCTGCAGATTTAGTTGTTACATAATGTATGTTTAATAAATATTTGTACAATAAAGATAAGTATTAGGATTTTTCTTTTCAGATTTTTATTAGAGAGCCTGGAAGATCTGGATCAAAATCTTAGAAAACTTAATTCTTGTTTGTTTGTTGTTCTTGGACAACCAGCCGGAGTTTTCCCATCGTTATTTAAGGTATGTACATAAAATGAGAGAGAGAGAGAGAAATGGGGTTTAACGTCCACCCGACACAAACTAGGTCATTTCGGGCCTAACATATGGTTTAATTTTTATTTCAATAATTCACTTGCCCGTAGGGGTCTTTAGAAGTGGGAGGAAACTGGAGGACCCGGAGAAAACCCACGAGGTTGGACAGGCGACCCTACTCCTTGTCACGTACAACCGGGGATTCGAATCCACGCCATTTGACTCAATAATTGTCCTTATGATACAGCGTGCACATGCTAACCATTCGGCCATCCAACCCCCCTGTACATGAAATGAAATGAAATGAAATGGGGTTTAAATCCTACTGTTCTGCTCCTAAACTGGGCTAATGAAGACGGCATATGCCATACAGTGTGCTATGAGGGAAATTTTGCACGGGCAGCGGCACTATCACCTACTCTTATATCGAATTCCAACTGCCAAGGGATCTTTTACGTGCATTCCAATGTATACACGGGACCTCGATTTTTCGTCTCATCCGAAGGATCAGACAGCTGTCCTTGTCAGGCCCTCCGTCCTGCATCACTGACAAAGGGGGAACCACGCCAGAAAATCTGGATGAACTTTCTCGGCCAATGCAGGGATCGAACACCCGACCTCCAGACTAGCGAGCCAGCGCCTTACCCACTTAGCCACGTGATCCAATCCCCCCCCGTACATAAAATGTTTCTTAAAAGACACTATTCTGGCCGATTTGTTAGTGCGTGCACATTGTATGGTAAGGTCTGTCATTGAGGCAACTGGCATTGTTTGGTAATCGCCGGTTGTACGGGAAAAGGAGTAGGGTCGCCTGTCCAACCTCGTGGGTTTTCTCCGGGTTCTCGGGTTTCCTCACACTGCTAAAGACCCCTATGTGTCAAATTATTGAAATAAAATCAAACCGTATGTTAGTCCAAAAATGGCCTAATTTGTGTTGAGTGGACGGTAAACCCATTTCTCTTTCTCTCTCTCTCTTAAAAGATGCTATTCCAACTGTTGCTACAGGGAGCCATGGTGGCTCAGTGAGTCAGAGTAAGGCCTCGACTCCCTAGATGGCAGATCTTGGAGAGAGAGAGAGAGAGAAAGATTATCCACTAGAGAGAGAGAGAGAGAGAGAGAGAGAGAGATTAACGTCCACTAGAGAGAGAGAGAGAGAGAGATTAACTCCACTAGTCCACTCTACACAAACTAGGTCATTTCGGGAATCACATTTGGTTTAATTTTATTTAAATAATTAGCTTGCGCATAGAGGTCTTTAGCAGTGGGAGGAAACCGGAGGACCCGGAGAAAACCCACGAGGTTGGAGGCAGATCTTGGGTTCAATCCCTGTGATTTGCCGAGGAAGTTCCTCGGGATGTTCCAGCTGGGTCAGTGATGCAGGACTAAGGGGCCAGCAAGGAATAGCATCTAGTTATTCTGAGGGGACTAAGAAACGAGGCCCTGTAAACACTTTGGCGTGCACCTAAGGGAACCCCTAACGATGATTTCTGCATAGAGTTGGCAGAAACCCTATGACAAAGAGTTGGATTTAATCTAAATATTAAGGCTATCTGCAGTTTTTGTCATGGTCACAAGATGTAAACAGGGCTAGCCCTAATACTAACCCTACAACGTATTAGACGACAAGGTGTGGGTTGTTGTGTTGTCAAGTTGTGTAACGCTTTTACATGACATGATCATGGGCGTGGATTTAGGCGGGGACGGGGGGACAGGTCCCCCCCTTAGAATCGAAAGGGTTGGGACGAATAGGTCTCTGTCCCCCCCCCCCCATGATTTTGATCGCCAGGACAGATTTTCAGGTTTATATCGACATGAATGACCAGTTCTGAAGGCTGTCCAACCACTGAATTGGGTCTCGTCACAGTAATTCATCTTCACGATATCTTCCTCCTTAATTGTAGGTAGTCAATTTTACCATATCGTCATCATATTACCCCTAGTTACAGCTTTCATCGAAATAACACTGGTAAACTGTTCGTAATTATTATTTTGGTTTGGTAATGAAAGGTTCCAGGGTTCGTCCGCCCCCCCCAAAAGTTATGACAAATCCACGCCCTTGGACATGATCATATGCATAACATTGTAGGGCTTCTGCTGGTACTTCCAGTTTCCTACCATTTTAAGGGGGGTTTGGTGGCCAAATGGTTTAATGCTTGCACGTTAAATCATAATGTCTGTCATTGGATCAAGTGGTGTGTTTTCGATGCCCCAGTTGAACGTAACAATGAGTAGGGTACTAGGGTTGCCAGTCCAACCTCGTGTTTTTTTTTCGTGTAAGCGAATTATTGAAATACAATTAAACCTTATTTTAGCCCCGAAATGACCCAGTTAGTGCAGAGTGTACGTTACACACCATTTCTCTTTCACTGTCTGCCATTTGAAATATTACGTAAAGTGTTTCGGGGAAAGGAAAACCCCTTTTTCCACCCATTATTTTAATTTTGAAAATTTCTTTTTAAACAGAACTGGAATATTACAACTTTAACATTTGAAGAAGATCCGGAGCCATTTGGTAAAGAGAGAGATGCTGTCATCACGGCCATGGCCAGAGAAGCCAAGGTCGAGGTCATCAAGAAAACTTCACATACTTTATACGATCTAGAGGAGTAAGTGACCTTTAACCTTTGACCTTTGGCTTTTTCAAGAGTCACTCTATAATGTTCAACTGATGCAATCTAATTAAAATTTCATCTTTTTTTCATTTCCATTGAAAATTTTTGTTTTTAGCCTACACTACATGAACTCAATTTTCTGTTAAATTGATGTTTAGCACTGCCGTGGTTTTAATTTCCTGGTTGTACGTGACAAGGAGTAGTGTCACCTGTCCAACCTCGTGCATTTCGTCCCATTGCCAAAGACCCCTACGCCCAAGCGAATTATTGAAATAAAATTGAACCATATGTTAGTCCCAAAATAACCTAGTTTGTGTCGATTGGACATTAAACCCCCATCTCTCTCTCTCTCTCTCTCTCTCTCTCTCTCTCACTCTCTCTCTCGCTCTATCTCTCTCTCTCTCACTCTCTCTCTCTCTCTCTCTCTCTCTCTCTCTCACACACTCTCTCTCTCTCTCACTCTCTCTCCCTCTCTCTCTCTCTCTCTTGCTCTCTCTCTCGCTCTCTCACTCTCTCTCTCACTCTCTCTCTCTTGCTCTCTCTCTCTCTCTCTCTCTCAGGGATCTTTTACGTGCATTCCAATTTGTACTCAGGACTTAACGTTGTCGTCCCTTGCCAACAACACCGCTGACAAGGGAGAACCACACTGGAATATCCTGATGAACTTTCTCAGCCTACGCAGGGATCGAACACAGGACCTCCCGGTTAGGGAGCCAACGACTTACCCATCGAGGCACCGTGGGTCCCTAAAAATCCCTAAAGATGTTATTAGATTTTATGGCAGGGTAAGTGAACAAAACAAATATTGTTATAGAGAAATGAAACAACATGTATTGTTTAATTTCAATTAGAATGCAACTGATGATTTTTTTATGGATCCAGATTATCTGATCCCCGTTTCACAAAACATTCTCAAAACTCAAGTTAAGAATTTACTCAAAACTCAAGTTAAGAATTTACTCAAAACTCAAGTTAAGAATTTACTCAAAACTCAAGTTAAGAATTTACTCAAAGGACAAGTTAAGGATTTCTCAAAATTGTTTGCCTTTTTTTTAAACTAAAATATAGCCCTTTATAAAACTCGTGTTGTTTTAATGTAACAATACATCAATAAGAAACTATGTGCAATGTTTTATGTTTCTGGATCAAAGATATTTCTCATAAACAGTGATTGAAAGTTGATTTATTCTTAACTTGATTCTGAGAATGCTTTGTGAAACCGAGGACGGAACCTATACCATAAAACATTTAATGTAGGAATATTTGTATTTAAAAAAAAAAAAAAAAAAAAAAATCATCTAACTAGAATGTTAAATTTAGTCTAATTGACAAAAGTTTTTATTTCACCCAAATCAAAATGGTTGTCCTCCTTTTTAAAATGTGCAAGAATCCTGGATTATCAGATATTTTATTTTTATCATTTACTTTTTTGCAGTATCCTGAATAGAAATGAAGGCAAACCACCCATGACTTTTAAAAGATTTCAGTCAATTTTAAGGGAACTTGACCCTCCAAATAAACCATTGGACACAATCACGGAAAAACTCGTATCTAAATCAAAAACGCCGATATCAAATGACCATGATGAAAAATACGGCGTGCCTAATCTAGAATTACTAGGTAAGACTGAGACTCGAGACAGGTAAAAAAAAACTATAAGAGACATATTAGCAGGGGTTTGGGGACGGGAGCAACTCCCTTTGGATGAACTTAGCTTGGACGCTACCATACAAAAGGCATTGTGTCTTTAACCAAAGGAAACGGAATCGAATAGGCCTCCTAATCGATGTCGCGTCTCCTACCAATGCTAGACTAAGCCTTTTATTTGGCTCCTCTGGCAAGTTTCACGGGAAACACATCCCTCCGATGTCTCCCAAGGTGGAAGCGGATGTTAAGCGCTAAGCAACGAACGAAAATGTTCGGGGTTTAAAATCCTCTTCCATCCAGGGTATTATCGCAGATATATATCTTTCGTTGTTAAGGTTTAATGTTAACTTATGTATATATATCGACAAAGGGATTATTACATGTTTTAGGATTCTTTTGGTTTGTTAATTTGACCAGGTTAAGATTATTACATGTTTGATTGGGTGGTAGCCTATACAATTTGATTGGGTGACAACCTATACAATTGGATTGGGTGATAATTTGTACAATTTGATTGGATGACTGTACAATGTGATTGGATGATTGTACAATTTGATTGGATCATGTACAATTTGATTGGATCATGTACAATTTGATTGGATCATTGTACAATTTGATTGGATGATAGTCTGTGCATTCAGATTGGATGATAATCTGTACAATTTGATTGGATGATAGCATATGCAGTTGCATCGGGTGGTAGCATATGCAATTTCATTTGGCGGTAGCATATGCAATTTCATTGGATGATAGTCTGAGCATTTGGATTGGATGATAGTCTGTACAATTTCATTGGGTGGTAGCATATGTAATTTGATTGGATGATAAGCTGTACAATTTGATTGGATAATAAGCTGTACAATTTGATTGGATAATAAGCTGTACAATTTGATTGGATAATAAGCTGTACAATTTGATTGGATGATAAGCTGTACAATTTGATTGGATAATAAGCTGTACAATTTGATTGGATGATAATGTACACAATACAATGTGTTACTGAGCATGCTATTGATTGGATGATATGTTGTGGGTTGGGTGTTCTCCATCTTTAATGGAAGACTTGATCTTGCTTTATCGCTGTACATCTTATTGATCAACGCTTTCACTTAATGCTGTTCATATTTTGTCACTAATTGACTAATAACATGGGTCCGTCTGTCCGTCACACTTTTTTAGACGCAATAACTCTCCTTCTAATTGAGCTAGAATGTTCAAACTTGGTGTAGATGTTTATTAGGTGAATGCCTTGACTAAGTTTGATGGTGAGGATTTTCAGCGTAGGCTAAGGAGCGATAACCAATTAACATGACAACTCTGCTTTTAATTGAGGTAGAATGTTTCAAGTTGATGTAGATGTTTATTAGGTGAATGTTTTGACGTGAGTTTTATGATCAACATTTCCCACTAAAGCTAAACAGAGCTAAGCAATTTCATTGATTGATGCTTTGGGACAAGATAACTTTGATTCTAACTGATGGAGAGGGATGAAACTAAGTTCATACCAGGTACTTCAACACCTTCACTGAGTTCGACCCTGAACATTTTATGCTTAGAATAAGTATAGATAATCAGTTTGATCGCTTGATACTTTCGAAAAAGATAAATGTGCAATTAATTAATGTGTCATCTTTTTATTTGGGAATTTCGGCGATCCACATCAGCCTCACTGTTGGCTTGTTTAAATTGGTCTAGGACCCAGCTCTAAACCTCTCAGATTCCTTGATAAAAAATATTGTGAATACAAAGTCTCGTGCTTTCCTGGGTAAAGGCCTATATGATGGTGTTTTAGTGGTGTTCCTCAGATTGGGTAAATGCCTATATGATGGTGTTTTAGTGGTGTACCCCAGGTTGGGTAAAGGCCTATATGATGGTGTTTTAGTGGTGTACCCCAGATTGGGTAAAGGCCTATATGATGATGTTTTAGGGGTGTATCCCAGATTGGGTAAAGGCCTATATGATGGTGTTTTAGAGGTGTTCCTCAGATTGGGTAAAGGCCTATATGATGATGTTTTAGAGGTGTTCCTCAGATTGGGTAAAGGCCTATATGGTGATGTTTTAGAGGTGTTTGTCAGATTGGGTAAAGGCCTATATGATGATGTTTTTAGGGGTGTACCCCGGATTGGGTAAAGGCCTATATGATGATGTTTTTAGGGGTGTACCCCGGAATGGCTAATGGCCTATATGATGGTGATTTTAGGGTCTTATGATGATTGGGTAACAATCGTCATTGTGTTATTTTAGTTTTGGTTTCCTTAAGTGTTATTTTTACATTCTCATATTAATATGATAAATAGATGTACATTTCGTCCAAGTCTATCAGTCACCTTCTTTCATCCAGACTTCATTTTAAACATGAAGCTGTTTGAATAGCAACAATTTCAGATAATTACTTCTAGATTTGATGCCCTTACAGTTGGTGCAGATACAGAGGGGGGGGGGGGGTATCCCTTACCCCATTCTATTGGCAAATTTTTATTATGCACCCACGTTTTCATAACTACGTATATTGTCTTCACCCCTGTCCGTTCTGAAGTCGGCTGTTTACATTATGATTGTGGACTATCAAAAGGTCACAATTTTTATCAGTTTTTGACAAAACTTGAAATATAAGTTTATATCCCAAAGATTTCGGTTCCTTTCGATATTGCCATGTATCAGACTGTAACTTCCTGGATTATGGTCCCTTATTTTATCGGATTTTAAAAAAACATTCATATGTTACTGGACAAAATGGCCGCTCTCCTTTACGCAAATAATGTAAAAGTATATATTACCAAGTTATGGAACCTCTTGAGATCACAATTTTAATCTGATTTTGATGAAACCTAGAATGTATGTTTATATCCCAAAGATCTCGGTTCTGTTTGATATTGACGTATGTCATGTACCGTAACATCCAGGATTATGGCCCCTTATTGTACGAAAATTTAATCTTCTTCTCTATCTATCTCTTGCAAAATGTGGTAGGATCATGCATGGCGACCACTTACATTAACTGTCTTAACTACAATAGAAATACCTTTCAGGATAAACAAGGTTTGCAATTTTATCATTTTAACGATTTATTTGTCAACTCTGTATAAACTTAGCGGGTGTGGATGGCCGAATGGTTAGCATTGTATCATAAGATCTGTCATTGAGTCGAATTGGCGTGATTTTGACAAGAAGTAGGGTTGCCTGTCCAATTTCATGGGTTTTCTCTGGGTCCTCCCACTGCTAAAGACCCCTACGCAGAAGCGAATTATTGAAATAAAATTGAACCATATGTTAGTCCTGAAATGGCCTTGTTTGTGTCAAGTATATGTTAAACCCCATTTCTCTCTCTCTCTCTGTATAAACTTGCAATATTGCTATTCTTCATTAATGAAATGGGGTTTAAGGTCCCACTGTTCTGCACCGACTGGGCTAATGAAGACGGGAATACATCATATAGCAACGCTACAGCCTACTCTTATCTTGAATTCCAACTGTCAAGGGATCTTTTATGTGCACGCCAATGTGTACACGGGACCTCGGTTTTTCATCCCATCCAAACGACTAGACAGCTGTCCTTGTCAGACCCTTCGTCTTGCACCTCTGAAAGTGGAAAACGTCGGAAAATCACAATGAACATTCTTGGACAACACCAGGATTGAACACGTGACCTCCTGGTTAGCGACCCAGCATCTTACCCACTTAGCTACCGTGGCTCTGTCTTTCAGACATAAGGGAGTTTGGTCGATGAGATCTTTAAAGTTACAATTTCATATTTTCTAAGAAAGTCAAAACATAATTATTTCTATGTCTTTTGCTCAATAGGTTATCAACTCACTATTATACGATCATAGGTGTCATTCTCACACTTAAAACTGGAAATGATAACACAATTACCTCCCAATTACCTCCCTTGTTTTCTATTCTCCACCATGGTTACCTTCAAACGTTTGAATTTGAAGATGAAAATGATATTTTGCCAATTTCTCAACTGGCAGTAGTGAATTATAGGATTAATAGGATTATTCTTTAACAAGGTAGGACTGTTTATAGATACCATCTATTTTAAGGCTTTATTTTGATAAATTTTAAAAATATAACTTAAAAATATGAAATTGTAACTTTAACATGTGTGCTTTAGATCTGTCTCTGAGACAAATGGCGTGTGTTCAATCCCAAGCAATTACTTCAGGTCCTCTAGTTCCCCCCCCCCACCCACTGCTAAAGAACCCTTCATGCATGAGAAGTATTGAAATATAATTGTCGCAGAATGAGCAAGTTTGTTATACTGACAATATTGATATCAAATAAATATGGTAGAATGTTGACACTACCAAGATCGCAAAGCGCAAACCTGCTGTGGGTTTATAGCATGTTGCCTGGCAACCTATTTTTTAATGTTGTATTGATAATGTAGCTTGGAGAATTATGATATTATACCGGAGAGAAGAATAGTGAAACAATATCTAAAACCTCTCCAAGTCTTACATAATCTTACAGTTGTTATAAAAATGGAGATTTATTTTTTATTATTTAAGGGTTTAATTGTGAAAATTTGAGTAAAACAAGTTTTAAGGGAGGAGAAACGGAAGCATTAAAACGACTTCATCGACATTTGGAGAGGAAGGTATGTAGTTTATTAACACTGTAACTCAAGTACCATTTAATCTTGTGTATTTAGCACTAATTTCTTTCACATTCGTGATTTGTAAAAATCATTTAAAATCACCCTAAATCATCTTATTTATACTTGTGTCTAGTTTAAAACCGACTGATTAATTTTGATAATGAGTGTCCAATTTCCAAGTATTTAATTTCCTGACCAATGTTTAAAATTGAATCATTATACATCATTAATCAATTGGGTTGTTGATCAAGAAATTAAACGCTTGTAAATTGGACACTATTATCAAAATTGAATGGTCAGCTTTAAACTGGACACAAGTACAAATTAAATGATTTTGGGTGGTTTTAAATGATTTTTACGAATCTTTAAACAAAGATTTGATATTGAATGAATGTGAAGGAAATTAGAACAATCTGTATAAATAGAATTAAACTAAATCATCCATCACACTTCGTTGCTGCGCTCCACCCCATCATATGTAATCTCAAATTAACCACCATGACCCTGTGAATGTTTTAGGCCCAGAAGAATTAGGCCTTGACCCCAGGTGAAGTACACTTCGTCGCCACACTCTACCCCTACATTAGTGGTGTTCTGAATGGTGTGAGGAATTAGCCAATGAAACGGTCTGTTGCAGCGAGTTCTTGGCAGGTGATGCACGGAACTGGCGGTATCCTACTAGAAAGATCAACGCTGATTGGTTAATCAAATGTCTGATGTCATTGGGTCAAAAGCTGCTTGTATGACCTCTGATGCGACTTCCCGCTACAACTGGTCAGATGTTCATGTAGTGTAGGCCATTGAAAGTATAAAAACGAAACGAAATGGAGATCTGTATCTTAATCAGATTGCTGCAGCCATAAAATATTTTTTTTTAAACTTTCATTAATAAGGTTCCCATGTAACCTATTTCTTACCATATTTGAATGTATTTTCAGGCGTGGGTAGCAAGTTTTGAGAGACCAAAGATGTGTCCGCAATCGTTGATGCCAAGTCAAACAACAATTAGTCCATATTTACGATTTGGTTGTTTATCAGCACGATTGTTTTACTGGCAGCTTCAAGAACTTTTCAAAAGGGTAAATTGATTTTTTTTTTTTCAGGCTCCATCCTTATGTTCCAGTCCGCGGAGTCCAGAGCATATCTCATAAAGCTTTAAAGATATCTATATTGTATACCTATACTTTTCATAACCTGCGATGATGGGGTGAGGTTTATTCGGAACAATGGACTTCTTGATTGAGAACATGAGAAACGATTTGTTCACACATCAACCTGTTGGCTTCTTTCAATTGGCTGTTGTACGTGACAAGGAGAAGGGTTGCCTGTTCAACGTCGCGGGTTTTCTCCGGGTCCTCTGGTTTCCTTCCACTGCTAAAGGACCCTACATGCAAGCGAATTATTGAAATAAAATTAAACCATGTTAGTCCTGAAATGACCTAGTTTGTGTCGAGTGGACGTTAAACCCCACTTCTCTCTCTCTCTCTCTGTTTCATTTGGTCTCAGATTCCTTGCTTGGATGATTACATTCCATTACCCCAGCCCTGCCTTTCCAACTGAAATGTCTACCTGTGATACCGGGGTCGCAAAGTTCAAGGTTCCCTGAATGTTAAATTTGCTGCGACTTTTCCACTTCAGCCTCCACTTTTCCACTAAGTTTTTGCTCTTCTTAGGTTTTCCGTGACTTTTTCAGCTAACAGAAAATTTTCAACGGCTGTAAATGTATATATTCCTTTATGTATTTGTGTCACGACCTCTGATTGGACAACATTATTGTTCACATGTCTGTGGTAAAGGGAGGTAATGTACCTAAAAATTCGAGAATTTCACAGTTTGTGTTTACGTCTTCTTTGTTTTCCTGTTGAAAAGAACTCTCTCGTGTGTATATATGAGATTAATTTAAATCATATTATTGGCGTGCACATAATCTTGACAGTTGGAATTTAAAATGAAAGTAAATCTTAGCAAAATGAAAGTAGTTCTCAGCACTACTGTCTGGGCCTTGGGCAAAATGAAAGTAGGAATTAGCACTGCTGTCTAGGCATAATTTCCCTCATAGTAAACTGTATGGTGTTTGCCTGTCTTCATTAGATCAGTTGGTGCAGAACAGTAGGACGTTAAATCGTATTTAATTAACTCAGTTGGTGGCAAATATTAGAACGTTAAACCCCATTTCCTTCAAAAAATGTATGATCACCAGAAATCTTAAACAGTCATTTGAATTGATTCCAACAATATTCACATAATGGTAGGTGTTGAAATTTTTTTTTAAAATCCAATTTCGTCTGGGAGACTGTCTAATGTTAATATTTTGTTTTATTTTCTTAGAGCAACTAATGTTGAAAATGTTGTTGTGTTTATTTGCTTGTCATTTAGTCTAGTAGCTTGGTTTTTGATTCCCTGCTTGTACGTGACAAGGAGTAAGGTCACCTGTTCAACCTCGTGGGATATCTCCAGGTCCTCTGGTTCCCCTTCCACCTTTAAAGACTCCTACGCTTAAAGGGATTGTTGAAATAAAATTGAACCATTTGTTAGTCCTGAAATGACCTAGTTCGTGTCCAGTGGAGGTTAATCTCTCTCTCTCTCTCTCTCTCTCTCTCTTTCTCTCCCTGTGTCAAAGAAGATGGATTGATATTGTTGTCCAAAAAATGTACAATCAACATCGGTGACTTGAAGATACGAGCGTAATTTATCTGTTTTTGTTTTGTAGGTAAAACGAGGAGTAGAACCTCCTATAGCCATGCACGGTCAGTTATTGTGGCGAGAATTCTTCTACACAGCAGCGACAAATAATCCTAAGTTTGACCAGATGAATGGTAATCCAATGTGTATACAAATACCGTGGGATAAAAATCCAAAAGCTGTAGCTAAATGGGCTGAGGTAATTTGTAAAATAAATCACATCAGAATGCTCATTTTCTCTTTCAGTACCACGGCAGATTACCAAAATTTAATGAGAGAAAAGTAATGGAGGGCTTTTTGAAATCCTATCATGTGCATGACGCCTTACTGAAAATAGGTCGGGGGAGAAATTTTTCTGGAATGAATCACAAGAAAATGATAATTAACCCTTAAGCACCGCAGGTGATTTCAAAAATTAAATTTCATCAGGTGGTGTGGGTTGGCTGAGCGTCTTACCCACTTAGCCACGTGGCTCCCTTGCAAGGAGGGGGGTTGGATGGCCGAATGGTTAGCATGTGCCTGCTGTATCATAAGGCCTGTCATTGAGTCAACTGGCGTTGTTTCGAATCCACGGTTGTACGTGACAAGGAGTAGGGTCGTCTGTCCAGCCTCGTGGGTTTTCTCCGGGTCCTCTATTTTCCTCCCACTGCTAAAGACCCCTACGCGCAAGCGAATTATTGAAATAAAATTAAAAACCATGTTAGTCCCGAAATGACCAAGTTTGTGTCGAGTGGACGTTAAACCCCATTTCTTTCTCACTCTCTCTCCCTTGCAAGGAACGGTATCTAATCATTCGGATTTCAGTTTGAATTTGAGAGAAAGACTAGGCAGAAACAATGCCGTAGTGCCGCTTTCCGCTCAAAATTTTCTTCATAGCACACTGCATGGTGTATGCTTGTCTTTGAGCCAAGTGTCACAGTTTTGATTCCTTGCTCGACTTGATAAGGACTAAAATGAAATGAAATGAAATGGAGTTTAACGTCCTACTGTTCTGCTCCTAACCTGGGCTAATGAAGACGGGCATACGCCATACAGTGTGCTATGAGGGAAATTTTGCCCGGGCAGCGGCACTACGGCCTACTCTTAATCATTTTCCAACTGACAAGGGATCTTTTACGTGCACGCCAATGTGTACACAGGACCTCGTTTTTTCGTCCTATCCGAACGACTAGACAGCTGTCCTTGTCAGGCCCTCCATCCTGCATCACTGACAAGGGGGAGCCATGCCGGAAAATCGGAATAAACTTTCTTGGCCAATGCAGGGATCGAACACCCGACCTCCAGGCCAGCGAGCTAGCATCTTACCCACTTAGCTACCGTAACCCCCTTGACAAGGACTAGGGTCGCGCCTTCGGTTTCCTCCCACTGCTAAGGACCCCTACACACAAGCAAATTAATGAAATAAAAGTGAATCATATGTTAGTCCCAAAATAACCTAGCTGGTGTCGAGCTGAAATAATTTCTAATTATATGTTTTTATAAATGTATTTAGGGTTTAACTGGTTTTCCCTGGATTGACGCCATTATGGTTCAATTGAAGAAAGAGGGCTGGATCCATCATCTAGCAAGGCATGCAGTTGCTTGTTTTCTAACACGGGGAGATCTGTGGCTCTCCTGGGAAGAAGGAATGAAGGTAGGGATCAATAGGATGTCAATATAAGACGTGTTTATGTATAAGATAAGGGTCAACGTGACCCCCTTCGATGTTATGTAATATAATAGAGAGCTACTGTTATATCATATGGTAAAACATATATTATGGTGATATAAACTAACCGTATACACCGTATGCATGTTACTAACACAGAAGAACTATTAAACTGATAATAATAATAATAAAGATAATGATAATAATAAAAATAAAGATAATAATAATAATAATGATGATTATAATAATAATAACTATTAAACTGAGGTAATAATAATAATAAAGAATAATAATAATAATAATAATAATAATGATGATAAAGATAATAATAATAATAATAATAATAATAATAAAGATAATAATAAAGATAATAATAATAATAATAATAATAAAGATAATAATAATGATGATTATAATAATAATAACTATTAAACTGAGGTAATAATAATAATAAAGAATAATAATAATAATAATAATAATGATGATAAAGATAATAATAATAATAATAATAATAATAAAGATAATAATAATAAAGATAATAATAATAATAATAATAATAATAAAGATAATAATAATAATAATCAAGATAATAATAATAAAGATAATAATAATAATAATGATAATAATAATAAAGATAATAATAATAATAATGATAATAATAATAAAGATAATAATAATAATAATAATAAAGATAACAATAAAGATAATAATAATAATGACTAGAACTGCGAAGCAGTAATGACGGGTTTCACCGGTGCCACGTTACCCGTGAACTTATGTCACTTCCGGTACCAATGAAACCGTTAAACAGGTTTCCACATAAGCATTCCACACATGAAATAAAATGGACACAGAAACAACCAAATCCAGCAATCAATTCATTTGCTACATGTCAGTGATCCTGTCAAAATTACATTACTTCCGGTGATAATGAAAATGTTAAATTGGTTTATGAAATCAGAACGTACTAAACTAAGGCATACATGTACATGATGACTGACGGGTATCAACACCATCAGATAATAACTTTAAGATACCAGACCATAGCCTACAAATGGTTCTGAAGGTTTTTATAAATCTTTCCAACAAATATGGTAAATATCAGCCATTTAAATTGGAGGAAAGAAAAACAAACACAATTTGCAAGAGATGGATAGAGAAGAAAGTTAAACAAGAAAGTTTTTTCATACAATAATATAATTCAGGAAGTAACAATCTGATATGAGCTAATTACCACAGGAACCAACATCTTTTGGTAATCAATTCATTTTATACATTTAGTGATCCTGACGAAATTACATTATATGCAGTGATAATGATAAAGATAAATTAGTTTTTTAAAATCAGAAATGGCAAAGACCCAAAACCTTGAAAAGTGACTTGTAGAAAATCGTCTATTTCTCTACAACCGTACAAGTAAGAAACCATTTTGCGGTATCTGTATGATCATATGTGTTCAATATATTTGTTGAGCGGAATCAAAAATCATAATTGTAAAAACATTACAAATCAGACTCATTTGACCAAAATATCTGTTTTGAAGGCTACAAATACAGTTTTTGCCAAATTGACGTTACTTCCGGTGATAATGAAAATCTGAAATTACTTGTATGAAATCATAATTGGTAAAAGGTATCAAACAGTGAAAATTTTATGAAAATCGAATAATAATTGACAGTTGTATGGTCCAAAAACCTTGAAAAGTGACCTGTTCAAAATCGTCTATTTCTTCGCAACTGACCAAGTTAGAAAGGAATTTGTGATATCTATATAATCGTATGGGTTCATTCTATTAGTTGATTGGAATCAAATATCAAAATTTTAAACGAATAACAAATACAACTCATTTGAATAAATTATTTGTTTCGAAGGCTATAAATACGTTTTTTGCCCAAATTACGTAATTTCCGGTGATATTGGTAATGTTGAATTGGTTTGACCTAGTTAAAATTGACATTACGCACCAAATGGTGTAACTTTTATGAAAATCCAGTAATGATTGACTCTTTTACAGGCAAACTAGCGTAAAAAGTAACTCATGCAAAATTGCCCATTTCTCGGCAACTGCTCATATTACAAACTATTTTTCACATACATTCTCTTCGTATGGGTTATTTCTACAAGTTTATGAACGTATCAAAGAAATGTTTTAATATATGAAGGCGCTGGATGGATTGTAAATAGCTTATTTTTACCCCTTTTTTTACCTTTTAATCGAAATGGCCCGAAAACGAAATCGAAATTAAAAAAACTGAGTCCGAGATTTTGTGCACCTTAACAGTGCGCATCTTTTGGATAATATCAGATTTGTAAAAAATAATATTTGCTTTCAAAAAGTGGTACCGAACTGTCAATATTGTAGTTTTTGCTAAATTTACGCGTCTTCCGGTTCCGACAGGAAACTTTACCGGTAACAAAAAAAATGACATTTTGAACCACGGAACATATGAACTAGGTTTTATACAAATCGAACAATAAATAATTAATGTAGGACTGAAAAACTGAATTAGCCAATGGCGGCCAAGGAAAATTACGGAAACAAAAAATGTTGACATTTTTGTTCAAATCAGATGACTCTTTAACCTTGGTTAAAATGTCATATAAAAATATTAATAAATAAAAAAGTTTTTTGTAAAAATTTAAATTTTCAAAATTTGGCGCCTAATATCTTCCAAGATTTGTCGAAAATCAAAAATCAAAAGTAACATAGCTATGTCCCCTGTTTCTGGCTATGTCAAAATGCATCATATGCTAAAATCCAATGATTATTGTTAATATTACGGCAATATTTCAAAAAACGACATTTTCGGTGATTTCGGACATTTCGCAATGTCGCAGAATGCCGGGAATAGCTTTAATCTCTAAGTCACACCCACTTTCCCAGTAAAACTGAAGACATTGTATCGATCCGACAAGAAGTTGCTGAGATATAAGCAAATTGGAAAAAAAAAAAATAATAATAATAAGAAGAATAATAATAAGAATAATTTTAACAAAAACAATAGTGTTTCACACAAGCTACGCAGTGTGAAACCCTAATAAAGATAATAATAATGACAATAATAATTCCCAATTTATATAGCACAAGAGCACTATATGGTATTTTCTATTGCACTTTTCAAGTTTTATAAAATTCATTCACTACTGACAAGAATATGTCTAGTATTTAAAAGAAAGATGACAAATATAGTCTAATATTAATATCAATGGTGATAACTGTTTACAAACAAATGATTCTAGATAAGTACCCCCCCCCACACACACACACCCACACACACACACACACACACTATAATGTCATAAAATTTCTCTCTTAATGGGCCATACATGTATCTATTTTATTTTTTTTTAAATTAATCCTAATTCGTCGTTTAAAATAATGTATGGATTATGGGATTTATTTCGGGAAGGGGCACAACTGACGGCAAAATTTACTTAATAATCAACCACATACGCATGGGCAATGGAACTTTTCTTCATCAAATATTGACAACAGATCCAGACCCTCTGTATGTTGAAGACAAGGAGGTTTTGGGTGTGATCGAAACAACCTTATTTCTACCTGGGCTTAACTGGGTGTGATCAAAACTACCTATTTCTACCTGGGCGTAAAGAGGATCAGTTAAGATGCATGTCATAATTTGAACACGATTAATATTCGATACTTATCATCATGTTTTACTGCACGTTTTAGAAAATTATACGCATGCAATATACAAAAATTTCCAGGATGTTTTAGAAAGAGGATCAGTTAAGATGCATGTCATAATTTGAACACGATTGATATTCGATACTTATCATCATGTTTTACTGAACGTTTTAGAAAATTATACGCATGCAATATACAAAAATTTCCAGGATGTTTTAGAAAATTATACGCATCCAATATACAAAACGTTTCCAGGATTTTTTAGAAAATTATATGCATTTCCAGGAATGTGTTCAAATGATAAAGTTTATGATTAAATCTTTCAGATGTTCTTGTTAGAACTGAGCACATAAAAATGTCATATTTAGATATGTTATTGTTGGAAGACAATAATTTATTTTAACTAAATTTACATTCATCTAAAGATCAATGTGAAGGACGAATGCCACCAATAGTCTGAAGATTGGGAGCATCATCCAAGAGTTTATTCAGACGAGGAATGATGTCATTAATTTGGGCGTCTCTTTTAGTTTCAATAACTACATTTGGTCTGAGTTCTACGCTCAAAGATTTTGAGCTAATATTTTGCAAAACAGAATTTCCTATTACAGGTGTTTTTGCTGTACTTGTCATCAACGGCAAGTTCCTTTCACAAAATTCTTTTGTTTTTTTGTTTTGTTTTTTTCTGTCTTGGGCTAGATGTGCATGGACGAACAGGAACATAGCCACAACTTAATCTAGTGTTGCAGCTCTATCAGTAATCCTAGCCCCTGGCTGTAGTAGCAAGTTAATTTGTAACTGCATCTGGTGCCACAGCTTTATTTGTAGTCACAACTTTATCTATTGTAGCAGCTCTAGCAACAGCTCTGTCGGTAGATGCATCTCTACCTGTAACTGCATCTCTAGCTGGTGTTGCAGCTCTAGCAACAGCTCTGTCAGTAGTTGCAACTCTACCTGTAACAGCAGCTCTGTCAGTAGTTGCATCTCTACCTGTAACAGCAGCTCTGTCAGTAGATGCATCTCTACCTGTAACAGCATCTCTAGCTGGTGTGGCAGCTCTAGCAACAGCGCTGTCAGTAGTTGCAACTCTACCTGTAACAGCATCTTTAGCTGGTGTGGCAGCTCTAGCAACAGCTCTGTCAGTAGTTGCAACTCTACCTGTAACAGCAGCTCTGTCAGTAGTTGCATCTCTACCTGTAACAGCAGCTCTATATGGTCTTGCAGTCACAGATTTATATGTAGCCGTTGTGCTCTTATTACTAACAACTCTAGTTGCAGCTCTGTCTTTATTTGTAAAGCTATCTGTTGTCAAAATTTATCTGTAATTGCTGCTCTATAATTACTCGCAGCTCGATCTGTACGTATTCGTAGTTCTTATACGCCCACATTTTCATGTGGACGTATATTGTCGTCGCCCCTGTCCGTCCGGACGTCCGAATGTCCGTCCGCCCGTCCATCCACAATTTTTTTGTGGACACTCTACAGGTCACAATTCTTATCCGATTTTGATGAAACTTGAAATATAGGTTTATCTCCAAAGGATCTTTCGATATTGGCATGTATCGGATCGAAACTTCGTGGATTATGGCCCCTGTTTGTACGAAAAATCACGTTTTTAGCTTGTGGACACTATAGAGGTCTCAAATAGCGTAAAAATATGGTATATCAAGGTTGTGAACCCTATAGAGGTCACAATTTTTATCCGATTTTGTTGAAACTTGAAATGTAAGTTTATAACCCAAAGATCTCGGTTCCTTTCAATATTCGCTCATATCGCACCATAACTTCCTGAATTATGGCCCCTGATTGTACGAAAAATCGCATTTTTAGCTTGTGGACCCTATAGAGGTCATAATTTTTATCCGATTAAAAAAAACATATTATTATATCACCGTTACACCTTAAGGATGGCTGAGTTTGAATTTCGTGTAAATCGGCCCAAAATTGACAGACAAAATGGCCGCTGTTCGTTCTCAAATAGCGTAAAAATATAGTATATCAAGGTTGTGGACCCTAGGTCACAATTTTTATCCGATTTTGTTGAAACTTGAAATGTAAGTTTATAACACAAAGATCTCGGTTCCTTTCGATATTTGCGCATATCAAATTGTAATTTCCTGAATTATGGCCCTTGATTGTAGGAAAAATCACTTTCTTTTTAGCTTGTTCTCTATCCATCTCTCGAAAATGTGGGCATATCCTGCCTGGCAGCCGCTGGTTTCTGTAGTTATCGTCATATCCATAGTGTCAAAGCAGCTCTGGTTGAAATCATACTTAATGTCTGATGTTTAAATTTTCAATTTCATTTTAGAGGTGTCCAAACTTTTTCTCAACTGATTCTTTTATATTAAATTTCACATTCTTATTGTGTTGTTATTAATTTGTTGAAGAGATTAGCTTAGTTATTTTATTCATTTGAAATCTTTTCTCTCGTAGCGCACTGCATGGTGTATGGCTGTCTTGCATATAGGACTTTAAATCCCATTTCATTTAAAAAGCACATCAAATGACCAAACAAATTTTTCTCTACTGGTAGTCCGTGTTTAATATATGCACTTTTAATGACAAGTACACACCAATCTGATTAAAATTAAATCACCCATCTTCACTCCCAAGTTGCAAATATAGACCTCTGTGAAAACAACTTTGCCAATTATCGAAAACACTCTTAATCCACTTAGACGCAAGTGACGTCACAGTGACCGCATGCATATTTGGAATGTTTATTTTTTAATTACCTATATTTTAATTACCTGTTTTTTAATTACCTATATACAGCTATTTTTAATTACCTATTAACTTCTGACTGATTTCTTGGTTTCTTTGGTAATTTAAGATCCAATTTAGAATTTATTTTATTACAACATAACAAAGACAGTTGCTGTGTCCTTTTGATTAGAATAAATTGGAGTAAGCCAACGACAAACCAGTACAATATTTGTCTTTTTATAAAAACAAGATGTGTGTAAAATTGTTATCAATGGTGCTACAAATATCTATGAAGCCAACAGAAATATTTTCGGCTTTTACGAAAGCGAAATGGTTTCAAGTATTGTTGATTCGTGGTGGTAATTCTGGATGTGATCGTCAACACTGTTTCATTCCTTAGCGACTGCGTTGAATCGTTCCCATCTCCGGTCACAGCACGCAGGTATAAATGGATTCTTATACTTCGAATCCAGAGTTTGAGGCTGTCACAATGTTTTAGTTTTCCATGAGCCATCAATTTTGTTTTCAAACCTGGAAGAAACTGTAATAATTCTAATGTTATGATTAACATTTATTTAAACATACATTATGCAAGAGCTAAATCTGATTATTGCAAGTCTTAATTTAGGCTTCAGATGTTATAGAAATTATAAATTAGATCTTTATTTACACGACAAGCCCAAAATCAACTCTGTAGACCCACGGATGGCTCGGCTAGAGCTCGGATTTAAATAGGATTTCACTTATTGATTAAATCAAACATGGCACACCCTGATGAGAATATGTCAGTTAGATCGAGGCTAAATGATAGAGTGTACTTAGCGAGGCCGCTGTAGAGCGTTTCCGCATGCCATTGAAAACTTTACTTGATAATCGAGATATGTAGGTGGAGTTAACGCCTGTCAATCAAACGATTGGCCATGGTTAAGGCACATTTCACTACCATTTCTAGTCAAATATTACAATGATGATAACTATGTTCAGAATAAAGTAATTTGACTTAAATTTTAATATATTCTTATTTCATCATCTACTTTTGAACTGTTATAGCAAGAATGGCCAATTCTCTATAAAAATCTCCCATAATGTATCTTTAAGAAACAACTTGTTCCAGCGACCTTCCAAGATATGGTTTAAAGTAGCTAAGTCTCTAACTCAATATCATCCAAAACCTTCGACAATGAAAACACGAATAATTTGTCAATTTTAATCAACATTGGTGTTGTGATCTTACGGGGAGAAGATTGGCTTCTGATATCCAATATTTGAGACAAAATGAACATTTTACCATTGGTACACGAATCGTGTACCATAATGCCTTTTAGCGCAATTTGTAACAAGCAACTCAGAAGAACGAGGTTAGACATATTCCACAAGTCATGTCAAACGGTAACCCCATATTTTTATCTGAATAACATGCGCAATAAATACTATCGGTATAGACTGGAATAACCAGACGCTAGATTGATTGAGACTTCTGGCGTATTTCACCGAACATAACTGCTTTGGAAACGATTGAATGTAAATCAGTTTATTTAAATTCCTATTACATTATTATGTACGTTGCAACCCATTTGTGTCAATTTGTAGGTCCCAAATATTAGCGTTTTAGCTCCTTTAACATTATACTTTAAATTTTTTTATGATGATCCAAACTCTTACCAAGTTACAATTAAAACAACTTTACCTTTAGCTTCGTGCCAGACATCAAAGAAGGGCTTAACATTCAACAGGTTTTTACGGATTCATTTTCCGATTTGAGTAGCCGGCTGTATATCATGTTCCTGGAGTCATCGTACCCCGCGAATGAGATCGAAACCATCCTTCCCCATGTGGATGCTCGATTTGACATCGTTACTCATAAAAAAATGAAATAGGAAAAAATATCTCACTATGTTAGAATTAACATTACAACTAAATTTGTTCTAATTAATTTTGTTGGTAACCAACTAAATTGAATAACAGATTGTTTGAGAACGGGCATCTGACCATATTTGTTTGAGAACAGGCATCTGACCATATTTGTGTATTAATATGGCAAGTGTACACGTGTCGTTAATATCTCTCGTTAATCAATACCGACTAAAAGTTGCTCAGTCATGGGATCATAAATTAATTAACACCTTGATGTTAGGACTAATAGCTCGTGGGATTAAAAACGCTGACTAGGTAAATAACTTTGTGCGCTGGTCAGATCAAAGATGTAGGTTTACACAAATTCTTGTAATATTCTTTATTTAACTTTTACAACATAAAAAATACGAATTAAGGCTTACCTGGAATAACTGTATATCAAAAACAAGAGATTTCTCCTCATCCAGGAGCCAAACTTAGCGTTGTGGTCAGGAGCCAAACTTAGTCTTATGGTCAGGAGCCAAACTTAGTCTTATGGTCAGGAGCCAAACTTAGTCTTATGGTCAGGAGCCAAACTTAGCGTTGTGGTCAGGTGTATCTGTCCTACCGTCTGCTCCCACCGTTATACCTGTCTCATTTAATCTGACACCGGCAATGTAATCGACTTACATTAAAAGCTGGGGGTAATTATAGTTTGTTGGTGATTCATGTTGGTTGCCATGGTTATAATGGGTATGTTCATGATCAAGAATGTCTTTACTTTTGACAGAAGAGAACCAATGACACTTTATGTGGCATTTTAAAATTCACTCTAAAATATTCCAGTCAAAAGTATGTAATCCATATCAATTGAAGACGAGGAAGGTCAGCTGTTAGAAATGTTTTAGGTTATAGTGATTTGTAGGTTACCTGTAGATAATTATAATCAGGTATAATTAAGTCAGTAAGCATGTTAATTAAACCATCACTAAACACTAGTCAACTGGTGGTCAGCGAGAGAAATGGGGTTTAACGTCCACACGATACAAACTAGGTCATTTTCGGGACTAACATATGGTGTAATTTTATTTCAATAATTTGCTTGCGCGTAGGGGTCTTTAGCAGTGGGAGGAAACAGGAGGACATGGATAAAACCAACAAGACATACAACCGGGGATTCGAAACCACGCCAGTTGACTCAAGGACAGACCTTATGATACAGCGCGCACGCTCTAACCATTCGGCCATCCACTCCCCCATCTAGTGGTGTTTATAGATAGTAATAAGATAATATATATATTCTAGGTGACGTCACCAGCCAATCAACCGGATTAAGGCTATAATAGAAAATTTGAAAAGTGTTTTCAGTTTTATATACTTAAGTGGTAATATGTTGAATAATTTTAATGAGATTGGTATGAACTTGCCGTGAAGTGCATGTATTAAACGCTCGCTACAAGTACAGAAAATTTTGTTTGGTCACTTGATGTGCTCTGAATTTCAATAACAAATGTGATTTTTTTTTGTTCAGGTATTCGATGAGTTGTTATTGGATGCTGATTGGTCAATCAACGCTGGTCTTTGGATGTGGTTATCCAGTAGTAGTTTTTTCGCCCAGTTTTTTCAGTGCTATTGTCCAGTGTCGTTTGGCAAACGTGTTGATCCTTCAGGCGATTTCATACGGTAAGTCGATCATAAAATACATTATCTTGAAAGCATCTTTTTTATTTTAATTTGTGAGTGAGGTTAAACCCCATTTGTCTGTCTCTACTATCATTTGCAGTCAACACCTGTTTAAACGTAACAATGTAGATGTCCAACAGTCAACACCTGTTTAAACGTAACAATGTAGATGTCCAAATGTGACGAAAAAACCAAGAGAGAGAGATATATTTAACGGCCACTCATTTCAGGACTAACATATGGTTCAATTTTACTTCAATAATTCACTTGCGCACAGAAGTCTTTAGCAGTGGGAGGAAACAGGAGGACCCGAAAGCGACCCAACTCCTTGCGACATGCGGAACCACACCACTTTACTCAATGACATACCTTATGATGCAAAGCGCACATGCTAACCATACGGCCACCCAACCCCAAGAGAACCCTTGACAGTAGAGCCTAGTGCTGCTCTGTCCAGGCTACATTTCTCTCTTTGTAAAGTTCATGACACAGGTTTCTCTTCCATTAGCCATGATGAAATGAAATGGGGTTTAACATTCTACTGTTCTCCTTCAACTGGGCTAATGAAGATGGGCATACACCTTACAGCGTGCTATGAGGGAAATTTGCCCAGGCAGCGGCATTATGGCCTACTCTTATATCAAATTTCAACTGCCAAGGGATCTTTTACATGCTCGCCAATGTATACATGGGAACTTTGGTTTTCCGTCCCATACAGCTGTCCTTCTCAGGTCCTCCGTTTCGTGGGTAACCACAACGAAAAACTACCGACAAACTTTCTCGGCCAATGCAGGAATCGAACATGTGACCTCCAGACTACCCACTTAGCCACCCTGGCCCCATTAGCCAGGATGAATCAGGGAAGTAGGACGTTACCTTTTCAACACTATGTTTATTTATATTATCCAATGAAATTGTGGTAGAAATATCATCCAGTAATTTTTGTTTTGTTTCTTTATTTGTAGTCAGTATCTTCCAGTATTGAAAGCTTTTCCCCAGGAATACATATATGAGCCTTGGATGGCGCCGGAAACGGTGCAGAAATCGGCTAAATGTATTATCGGAAAAGATTATCCTTTACCCATGGTGAATCATAAAAAAGTGAGCTATATTAATTCCGAGAGATTACGCCAAGTTTATCATCATCTTACCACCAGAGCATCAGGTAAGTACCATTTGACTTTCATCTTACCACCAGTGCATCAGGTTAGTATCATCTGACTCCCATCTTACCACCAGTGCATTAGGTTAGTATCATTTGACTCCCATCTTACCATGAGAGCATCAGGTTAGTATCATCTGACTCCTATCTTACCACTAGAGCATCAGGTTAGTATCATATGACTTTCATCTTACCACTAGAGCATCAGGTTAGTATCATCTGACTCCCATCTTACCACCAGTGCATTAAGTTAGTATCATCTGACTCCCATCTTACCACCAGAGCATCAGGTTAGTATCATTTGACTCTCATCTTACCACTAGAGCATCAGGTTAGTATCATCTTAACCATCATCTGACTCATCTGACTCCCATCTTACCATCAGAGAATCAGGCTAGTATTATCTTAACCATCATCTGACTCCCATCTTACCATTAGAGCATCCGGTTAGTATCATTTGACTCTCATCTTACCACTAGAGCATCAGGTTAGTATCATCTGACTCCCATCTTACCACCAGTGCATTAGGTTAGTATCATTTGACTCTCATCTTACCACTAGAGCATCAGGTTAGTATCGTCTTAACCATCAGCTGACTCAGCTGACTCCCATCTTACCATCAGAGCATCAGGTTAGTATTATCTTAACCATCATCTGACTCAGCTGACTCCCATCTTACCATCAGAGCATCAGGTTAGTATCCATCCAGTGGTGTGCAGAGTTTTAGAGATGCCCTAAACCAACTCTTTGATTGTATGCCCCCATGACTCAAGTTTAAGGCCTGGTACTAAGAAATGTTAATGCATCTTAAAATATAAATTGATTACATTAATTAAGTGTAGTGCTCCAAATGAAGATGAAACCGGTTCTCTACCTGAAAGGTAACGGCGATAATTTCAAATTTAAAAAAAAACTTTACTTGTTAATTGGACACACTCTTGAAATGCATGCAATCAGGAGGCCATGATCTTAGCAGTGATCATTCCATAACAGAATGGATCTTACAGCTCGCTGCATAAAAGACCAATTGTCACCTTCCTCTCTGAAAGAAGTAGATGGTGATTTTGATGAATGCATGATAAAATGTGGCCTTACTAGACTCAAGGGAAGGAAACCTCAAGTCCTGGAATAAGACACTTTCTATCTACTTTCAGTCTGCCCAGCAGTAGTTAGGATAACTTAGCACAAAAATACTGTATGGTGCAGAGAAATGACCTCTTTGTAGAGGTAAGAACATGACAGTGTTCAATGTTCAGAAGACAGAATAACAACTGGGCTGGTACTGTACACTTCAAGTCAAAGTTCAATAATACCTTGTCAGCTACTTCGGTAACCATGGGAAGGATAACTGGGTTCAGCAGAGCAATTGATGGACACTTTGAAACACAATAACTGCTTCTAATGGAGGTGGAACGTTCAGACTTTGTGTAGATGTTTATTAGGGGATTGCCTTGACACCAAGGCTAAACAATACTTAAAGCAATCCCATTATTATAATTGGGGGAGAATGATGAAACTTGATGTATAATTTCATTACTTCAACACCTTGGACATGATCGATTATGAGCATTTTGTCCTTAGACAAAGCAGAAATAAGCATGATTGCATGATTGCTTGATTGAATGATAAATAGACATGTCTAAAATAAGAGTCATCTGTCTATTATAGGATTGAGGTGAGAGACGTATGCCTCATGGTTGATCTGTTGTTATACCTGAATGTATGATTTTTTTATTTATTTGTATATTTTATTTTTTTTTCTAGTTTCATTTCATAATCAGAAGAATGTGCGTCAGTTTTTCTTCAGTCGAACCTTGAAGCCAATCTTATCATCGAGTAACTCATAATAATGGTTTAACGGATCGTGTTGAATCCAGGTAGCAAGAGGATCAATATATCATCATCATCAGTATTGTCTCACAACAACTCCATGACCATGACACATTTGGGTTATTTTAGAAATTCCAAATTAACTGATCCTGTTATTTCGTGTTTCCTAGGTTCGTGATATACCAACGAAAGTGAGGACTTTAAATTTGTGTGGAGATAATACTGATGTCATTTGGAGATCTGATATCATTTGGAGATAACACTTTCATTCGGAGATAAAACCGATATCATTTGGAGATAACACCGATATCATTTGGAGTTAACACTTTCATTCGGAGATAAAACCGATATCATTTGGAAATAATACCGATATCATTTGGAAATAATACCGATATCATTTGGAAATATCACTGATATCATTTGGAGATCTATACTGATATCATTTGGAGATAAAACTGATATCATATTGGAGATATCACTTTCATTCGGAGATAAAACCGATATCATTTGGAAATAACACTGATTTCATATTGGAGATAACACTGATATTATTCAGAGTTCTACGCTGTTGTCCGTGACATTATTTTTAAGGAAAGTGGTCGGTAAATCCAGCTTGCCAACTTACTTAATATTTATTTGCTAGTATAAACACCCATTAGGAGCAAGACTATAGGGTAACAATGACACATAACATCGTACAGGTCTTAGAAAAACCTTGAAAAATCTTGACTTTAGGCCTTGTAAAGTTGGTCAATTAAATAAAAATTCATGGAAAGTGATAGCCATGAATTTACAGGTACCGGTATTTATTTTTGTAGGTTGACCGTAATTTTAAAATCATGTGTTCGTGAATAATCGTTGTCTTGCCATATAATTAAGGAGATGATTTGAACCCATCAAGAGAAGAGTAGTTTCAAACAGAGAAGTCGAGAAACCCACAAGTAGAAATAGTACAGATTAAATGTCTTAAACTTCACTGATTGTCATTTGTTGTTTCCAGAATCTTTCTTGGCTTAATCCATTCTAAATTATACCCAAGGGTTAGGGTTAGGTAACAAAATTGATATTTAAACCGGCGTTATCCAAGAGCTATATCTGCCTAATGCAGGTCTTTCTTTTGGCTTTTTGGGGGGTTGGATGGCCGAATGGTTAGTGCATGCGCATTGTATCATGAGGTCTGTCATTGAATAAACTGGCATGGTTTTGATTTCCCAGTTGTACATGACAAGGAGTAGGGTCGCTTGTCCAACCTTTTTTGGTTTTTGCCGGGTCCTCCGGTTTCCTCCCACTGCTAAAGACCCCTACAGACAAGCAAATTTTTTAAATAGAATTGAACCATGTGTTAGTCCCGAGATTACCTAGTTTGTGTGAAGTGGATGTTATACCCCATTTCTCTCTCTCCTCATAGTCTACTGTCCCGCCTTCATTTGCCATCTTCACCCCTTGGGAAACTTTTTGGCGACAAGCAAATTTTTTAAATAGAATTGAGCCATATGTTAGTCCCGAAATGATCTAGTGTGTGTCGAGTGGACAAACAAATGAAAGAGCGGCAATAGGCAGATTTTTCTCTTACATAATGCCTCCTTATAAGGAAACAAACTTAACATGTTAAGGGGAGATAATCTTCCAGTTGAGTTTGGATTCAGTCAGGTTAAATAGATATTCATCAAAAGATCTCAGTGAAAATTGTAGGTGGTCGAACTGGTTTTCACCTTATCCTGTTCATATAATCTGGGGAGGATGTCGAAGGTTAAAAAAGTTTAAATTCATCATATCTTTGTAATTATTGAATTGAATAATTATTTAAGTGACTGCATCCTTTTTAAAAACATTTGAAGAGCCCCAGGGGAGAACGATCTAAGTCACTTTTTCAATGAACCCCAGTTAATGGCGCCATCTGATAGCAAATTGTATAAGCTTTCTGTGGAACAATCAATTTCAGGTAAAAATGATCGGAGTCACATCGAACCAAGGCCCTTCCGAAATGGCCTCCCGGTCAAATACGTCCATTGTACCCTTTATTTGACCTTAATTTGGAAGTCAGTTGTTGTACTGGTAATTATGATTTGTATTAAACATCTTTTTGAAGTTGTAATTGAACCCACTCGCTGTTCTGTTCACGTCAAGCATTCTCGTCCAAAAGTCTGTCTTGCCTTTTATCCGAAAAGACAAAAATGTGACTTAGATCAATCTTCCCCTCGACTCTTCATTTTAATGACTGAAATTGAACTATTTCTGGACTGAAATTCCTTTATGGCCAATCTGATTACAATACAGATCTATATTTCATTTCGTTTTTTTTATACTTTTGATGGCCTACACTACATGAAGATCTGACCGGTTGTAATGGAAGGTCATGTCAGAGGTCATATGAGTGGCTTTTGACCCTATGACGTCAGACATTCGATTAATCAATCAGCGTTGATGTTTCTAGTGGGTTACCCAAAGTTCTGTGCGCCTCACGCCAAAAACTCGCCATAACAGACAGTTTTATTGGCTAATCCCTTACATTAATCATAATGCGGGTTATATAACAACTCTACAAGACCCTACAAGACAAGTAAAATGAAATTTTGAACTATAAAAAAACGAAACGAAATAGGATCTGTGTTTTAAACCGATTGGTTTAGGGGTTCAAAATAATTCTGCAAATGACGGGTCACTGGCTTTAATTTATGTAAAAGTAAACATTAAAGATGCATTATTTAAGAGCTAAATCTGCCGAATAAAAATCTTTCTTTTGCCCTCAAATATTATATAAATCATTAATTAGACATTTATTCACATGCCAAGTGACCAGCATATAATCAGCTCACTAAATCTGGTGGTCAATCTAATCCAAATAAATCTCTGCCATCTGATGGTCTAGAGAGTGGATTATGGGCTTGTTATGTTAATAAATGTCTAAGAAATAGTTTTTATAACATTTGAAACCAAAAACCTGCAATGGGCAGATTAGCTCTTACATAATGCATCTTTAATTTTGTGCAGTGGGCAGGCCAAAGATATTTTAATGTATAAAAGTTATTAATTTATCAATACTATTTATTTTATTGCTTCATGTTGCCATAATGGCGTGCAGAGGTGGGGTGGTGCTGCCTGGGACAAACTCCTTGATAGTATGCTCCCTAGATTCAAGTATAGGACCAACTCCTTGATAGACCCCAAGACTCAAGTATAGGACCAACTCCTTGATATTATGACCCCAAGACTCAAGTATAGGACCAACTCCTTGATAGACCCCAAGACTCAAGTATAGGACCAACTCCTTGATAGTATGCTCAAAAGACTCAAGTGTAGAGATTCACAGCGATACAAAACAAAAAAGCTTGTTTTTCCGAATAGCCGCTTTTAACACCTATGCTGATTTGTCAATTGATTGACTGTCATCATAGGACGAAAAAAAGTTGCTTGTATGACCCCCGACGCACCCCCCACCCCCATTACCACTTGTCAGATGTTCAGGTAGTGGAGCAATCGAAATCATATAAAAATGAAATGAAATATAGATCTGTATTTTAAGATTGTTAGATATAAGATTATAAATAGGACCCTTACTGCACATATGCGACAGTTGTACATGTGATGACAGTCAGCCATATAAGCGAGAGAGAGAGGGATGGGCTTTATCGACCACTCGACATAAACTGTTTCATTTTGGGAGTAACACTTAATTTTCCGTTCTTCCAGATCATCTTTTCACATTTTCCTTCTTTGTGAAAAAAGTGGTTGGGTGAATTAGAGGTTTAACGCGTACGCTTGAAATCATAAGGTCTGTCATTGAGTCCTGGGGTTTTGATTCCCCGCTTTACATGACAAGGAGTAGGGTCACCTGTCCAACCTCATGGGTTTTCAGCTAGTCCTCCTGTTTCCTCCCACTGCTAAAGACCCTACGAGCAAGTGATTTATTGAAATAAAATTGAACCATATGTTAGTTCCAAAATGACCTAGTTTGTGTCGATTAGACATTAAACCCCATTTCTCTCTCCCTGGAATCGAAGATGCATAGGTAGAAAGTCTGCTGTCCAGCCAAAATTTTACATACCTTTAACCATGTTCATCTCAGAATCATGGGAATGTATCACCGTAACCCAAGTATCGTTTAATCTTGTGTATCTAGCACTAATTTCTTTCACATTCGTTTAATATCAAATCTTTGTTTAAAAATCACCGTAACCCAAGTATCGTTTAATCTTGTGTATCTAGCACTAATTTCTTTCACATTCGTTTAATATCAAATCTTTGTTTAAAATCACCATAAATCGTTTAATTCGTATTTCTGTCCAGTTTAAAGATGACCATTTAATTTTGATAATGAGTGTCTAATTTACAAGTGTTTAATTTCTCAATCATTGTTAAAAAATAAACAACCCAATTGATTAATTATGTATAATGATTAATTTTTGAACTGTGATCAGGAAATCAAATACTTGTAAATTGGACACTCATTATCAAAATTAATCAGTCAGCTTTAAACTGGACACAAGTACAAATTAGATGATTTTTGGTGATTTAAACAAATGATACTTGGGTTACAGTGTATTCTATTGATGAACTGTCCGAATTCATTCCATTTAAATCTTGTTTTTATTTTCATTTTGTTTGTAAAGTTGACCATCGTTCAATCTTGCTTTGAATTTTCTATGTGCATTCAGATGACTTACGCGAAGAATTTCCATTATTTACTTCTAGAGTTATTGCCCTTGCTCACTTTGTACATCATTGTCTATTTTACTTAATATTTGTGTTCTTTGTTTTAATAGAATCTTGTTCTACTTAATGAATACTTTTGGAGTTATTGCCCTTTTCTATGTGATAAAATCTTGTTCTACTTAAAATTTTGTGTTCTTTGCAATAATTAACAACAGTATCTAATGAATACTTTTAGAGTTATTGCCCTTTTTTATGTTGTAGAATCTTGTCAGTGTGCTAATGATATCAGGGTTAGATCTATTAGTTGAGGCCAACTCAATTTTCGGTAAAATCGCTGAGATCTAAATAAGGATAAGGCACGGGATTGTTGGTGAGATTGTAGATTAGGGTAAGCATATGGGCTAGGTCCAGGGTTAGGGTTGGGATTAGCGCTAGCCCTGTTTACATCTCATGACCTTTGACCAAACTTGAAGTTGGCCTTATCTAATAGATCTTACCATGATTTTGTTTATTATTAACCGAAATGTGACAAACTTTATGAACTTTTCAGACAAATTAACTACTTTGTATGTTTCAATGCCTTGCAACCTATCTTTTTATTATTATTATCATTGCAAAATTTTTATGGAGATGACGTTTTAACTGAAAATACTCTGATCTGATGTGCTTTAGGGGTCCACCGTAAAACAAATAACCTACGGAGCTAGGTGGGTGAATTGAATGACACCATGGATAAAAATGATCAATTAAATTTGGTTATTTTGTCTTGAACCTGCATCAAAATCCATCTGTGTCAACATTTTCTTACACTGACGGCACGGATGGTTAGATGGTTGGGTGGCTGAAAATCTATTTGCAGGTTATTTGTTTAGACGCAAGTGTTAAAACATTGCGACGCTCCCTTGAATAGCCATAGTAGGTCATCAGGGATCGACCCAGGGGACCTACGGCACGGAAACCGGTCATGACGACGTGAATCGAAATAAATCGATAATAATCGGCCTCCTGGGACTTCATGTGTCCTAGAGCAATGTACCGGTTACACCCCCCTTCTCTCTCCTTGGGCCTACTGTGCATTACGGAACATATAACTTATTTGTAAATACTGTGTGTTCTATGGACCGTGTGTGTTGATGTCTGTGATTGCCTTATATTCAGTGCTTTAACATACATATATTTTCTATACATGTACAATATTTTCTCCATCCCAAATTGTCTCCGCCTCATCTTCAACAAGTATCGCCTGGCCAACCGCGTGGGTTTCTCTACGTTCAAGTGAATTATTTAAATAAATTTGCTCTATGTGTTAGTCCCAAAATGACCTAGTTTGTGTTGTATGGACTTTAAACTCCATTTCTCTCTCTCTGTCTCTCTTAATCTGTCTTCGTTGTAAATGTTATAATTGGGGTGTTGGGATGGCCCAGTGTTCTTGAGTGTCGCACTTCAAACTTTAGCTGGCTGGCCAATTCTGACTTGCGGTCGTGGCTTGGAGATAGGAGCGCCATTACACCCTCATGGGTTTACCGCACAGAAAAGTCCCCTGCATGTGCGCTACGCATAATAAAATAAAACTTGTCTGCGATTTCACCCTCAGTGGAAGCGGATGTAGAAGAAAAATATGATAAAATGTAGACAGGGTCGACAGGGACTTAGTGAGTAAGGCGCTAACTCACTAACCAGGCGATCACAAGTTTGATTCCAGTGTTTGTCGTAAAGTATTTGGGATTGTCCCATCTGGTTTCCCTTTGTCGGTTGTGCAGGAAGGAGTGATGTCCCTTTGTCGGTTGTGCAGGAAGGAGAGATGTCCCTTTGTTGGTTGTGCAGGAAGGAGTGATGTCCCTTTGTTGGTTGTGCAGGAAGGAATTATGTCCCTTTGTCGGTTGTGCAGGAAGGAGTGATGTCCCCTTGTCATTGGTGCAGGAAGGAGTGATGTCCCCCTGTCGTTGGTACAGGAAGGAGAGCTTAGCAAGGAAGACCTAGTCGTTCAGATAGGACACAAAATTAGTTCTTGTGTAGACATTGGTGCTCTCGTATAAAAACCCTCTCGTAGCACCCTGTTTGGTGTTTGTCTGTCTTCATTAACCCAGTTGGTGCAGGACAGTCGGACGTTTAACAAAATTGGGACAATAATGGTTGTCATGGAAACAGAGACAATGTGGTAGAACACGACTAGGATTAAAACTTGTTGTAGAACACAACTAGGATTAAAACTTGTTATAGAACACAACTGGGATTAAAACTTGTTATAGAACACGACTGGGATTAAAACTTGTTATAGAACACGACTGGGATTAAAACTTGTTATAGAACACGACTAGGGTTAAAATTTGTAGAACACGACTGGGATTAAAACTTGTGTGTTTTTGTTTTATAAATATATTTGGTAATCCCTGTGAAACATTGTTATATTTTACAAATGGGTTCACTAGTTTCCGGGTCTACTAATGAGTAGTCTCTATCATCCAGACAAATATTCTGTAAATATTAACCTGCATAATAGGTCATTGGTTAGATTAACCGGTCTTTTACATTATCATGAACAAAGTCTAAGGGAGGTAACTAGCCCTAAAACAAGATGTTGACACCCATGAAATTAATTTAAGAATTGCCATTTCAGAAAATCTATTTGCTTTGCCAGTTCAATACCCAACACTCCTAGTTTTTTTTATTGTAAAATTTCTCTCTTCATGGGCCATATCTATGTCTTTTAATCCTAATTCATCGTCACAATTCATGTTTGTTTATAATAATGCATGAATTATGGGATTTATTTCGAGAAGGGGCATAACTCTTACTTGACATGGTGAAATATACTGGATAATCAACCACATAAAAAAACAAACTCCCAGTTACGCATGGGCAATGGAACTTTTTGTCACACAACAATTAGAGGTTAGGGTTCTGGGTGACCAAGACTAACCCACTGGTACGCTATATAACACCAATACTAGGTTTCCACTGTCGTGCGATGCGTTACGCTAGGATTGTCCCTATTGAGTCCATGATCTGGTTCGGGTATGTTTCGATACGATCAACTGACCACCTGATGGGATCACCACGATTACTCCACATTTATAACCACGATTTTCATCATAGCGTGAATCGTGATAGTGGGAAGCTAGCATTGCACATGATCTAACTATGCTAGACAATATAGTATAAATTTAGGTACCTTCCCAATAACACTAACTGGTGAACTAGTTCCCGGGGGTAGGGTGCTGTAGTGACAAGAAGGCCGCATGTCTAACCTTGTGGGTTTTCTCCGGGTCTTCCAGATTCCATCCACTGGTAAAACACCCCTACCCTTAAGTGAATTATTGAAATAAAATTTAACAATATGTTGGTCCCAAAATGACTTAGTTTGTTTCGCGTGGACATTAAACGTCATCTCCTTTGTAGTCTAAATAACTTTAATATAGTATAAATTTAGGTACCTTCCCAATAACACTAACTGGTGAACTAGTTCCTGGGGGTAGGGTGCTGTAGTGACAAGAAGGCCGCATGTCTAATCTTGTGGGTTTTCTCCGGGTCTTCCAGATTCCATCCACTGGTAAAACACCCCTACCCTTAAGTGAATTATTGAAATAAAATTTAACAATATGTTGGTCCCAAAATGACCTAGTTTGTTTCGCGTGGACATTAAACGTCATCTCCTTCGTAGTCTAAATAACTTTAACGTAGTTTGTTTCGCGTGGACATTAAACCTCATCTCCTTCGTAGTTTAAATAAATTTAACCCGAGAGCTAGTGAACTTTTGTAGTATTACTAATATTTTATTTTATGCTGTTTTTTGTCTTCAAAGTTTATATATTTAAATAAGTTCATGTAGGTTGTGTTGAGTCATTGAATGTGAGGGGTGGGGGTGGGGGGGGGGTGCGGCGGAGTTCAAGCATCACCCCCCAAAATGTACTATTTTTTAAGTGATTTTAGTAAAACATATTTGATTCATGTATTGTATAGGTGAATATGTATATTATATATATGTAGGTTGCAAAAAGATTTTAAATTTTAAATTTACAAGGAATTTAAATGGTGCTATTTATTTTTTATTTGGTAGATGGTTCGGTTAAAGTGGCATTAGGTAAGATGAGATAAAGAGCTGACAGTTCTTGCTATAATAGGTTAAAAAATAGATAACAAAAAGAGAATATGCTGAATATTTCAGTAAAATTACTTCACTCTGTTATTAGCGATAGGAATTTGGCGATACAATAACACTGTAGCCTTGATTGTCATGCTACCGTTGTTCCGATAATAAACAAAGTCTTGATTATCCATTTTTACAGTAATCGCATTGGCCACAAAACATATTTAAATCAACTTAACATCGGAGCGATCCGATGGCATCGAGAGTTGATCATGGTCTTGGTAAGTTAATTAATGTCTAATTAATAGTTTAGATAACATTGTAGGCCTAATGTGTGTTTAATGTTTGAATTATAGATGTTGGAACTTACCATACTTTTCTAGAGTCGCACATTTCCTTCAGGAAAATTGTTAATTATTCCGGCAAATTCTTAAAGGTACATTATGTAAGATTTAGATAAAGAATTAGCCATTCTTGCTATAATAGTTCGAAAGTAGATGATGTAAAATGAATAATTTGAAAATTTCATTCCAATTACTCTATTGCAAGCGTGTGGACAATCTAAGACATTGCAATTTTTATTTAATTTTGAAGAATTTCAAAATGTATGTTAAAATTCCAAAGATCTTGTTTCCTTTTGATATTGTTGCATGTTGGAACGTAACTTCCCGGATTATGGCCCCTGATTGTGAGAAAAAAAACAACACTTGTTGTTAGCTTGTTCTCTGTCCATCTCTTGCAAAATGTGGGGCATATCTTGCATGGCAATTGTTTGTTAAGTGACACAGGAGAAGCTGAGGACAAGAATAGTTTGTTGTTTTTTGTCTAACTATATCAGACACTCGCCCACGTAACTCCAAGTAACTAAGCCAATTTATGATAAATTTGTAGTCATATTAGTGATTGGAGGAATTTCATCTCACTATAGGTAATGTGTTTGTTCCATCACAACCCCTTCCCCACCCCTAATTGTATATTTATGGTCAATTTGCACTTAAAATGTGGAATAAAGATTACTAAATGTTATTTTGATATCATGAAAATTGTAATTGTTTAATAAATATTAAAATATGGCTGTATGTTTTGTTGTTGTTCAACTATTTTGAATGGAGACGGAAGCCATAGTGGCTTTCTTTCAGCATGGTCTCCACTTGTCAGTGGTGCAGGATGGGAAGGGCTGACAAGAAAAGCTGTCAAATGATACGAAAAACCCTGGTCCCATGTATACATTGACGTGCATGTTAAAGATCCATTGACAGTTGGAATTTGATATAAGAGTAGGCCCTAGTGTTGCTGCCTGGACAAAATGTCCCTCATAGCACACAGTATGGTGTATTCCCGTCTTCATTACCCCAGTCGGAGCAGAACAGTAGGACGTTAAACCCCATTTCATTTTCTTTTATTTCAATAGTGGCTCAGTGAGTGAGGCGCTGGGTCGCTAACCACATGGTCCCGGGTACAATCCCGGTGTTGGGTGAGAAAGTAGTGCTGGACAGTGGTCTAGTCAATCAGATAGGACAAATAACAGGTCTAGGTACACGCATTTGTCTATGCAAAATTTTTCCTCATAGTCTGGGGGGTTGGATGGCTGAATGGTTAGCATGTGCGCGCTGTACCATAAAGTCTGTCATTGAGTCAACTGGCGTAGTTTTGATTCCCCGGTTGTACGTGACAAGGAGTAGGGTCGCCTGTCCAACCTCATGGGTTTTCTCTGGGTCCTCCAGTTTCCTCCCACTGCTAAAAACCCCTACGCGCAATCGAATTATGGAAATAAAATTGAACCATGTGTTAGTCCCGAGATTACCTAGTTTGTGTGAAGTGGACGTTAAACCCCATTTCTCTCTCTCCTCATAGTCTACTGTCCCGCCTTCATTTGCCATCTTCACCCCTTGGGAAACTTTTTGGCGCCATTTTGACATTTGGCCTCACCCAATCACGTACGAGAGCACTAATTCCTAAGTAACGTGTAAATATTGACAGCTTTATAAAAGACAAGGTCTGTATTCATGTTGGCGTGCACGTAAAAGAACCCTTGACAATGGGTATTCAAAATAAAAAACCCAGTCGGTGTGGAAAATTACACTGCTCATCGCCTCACCTCACTTCACTCGTGGCACAGAGTAGACAAGGAGTAGTCGCTGAAGCAGATTATAGCAGAGGCGCCAAGACATTGAAAATCTCCGGGGGCCCTCCCCCCTACAAATATTCCAATGGTTAGGACATTAAACCCCATTTCATTTCGTATGCCATGTAGTGCCAGATGAATTGAACAAAGAGTGGTTTAACGGCCACTTGACACAAACTAGGTCATTTCGGGACTAACATATAGTTCAATTGTATTTCAATAATTTGCTTGCACATAGGGGTCTTGAGCAGTGAGAGGGAAATGGAGGACCTGGAGAAAATCCACAAGGTTGAAACGGCGACCCTACTCCTTGCCTCGGACAAGCTGGGAATTGAAACCATGTCACTTGACTCAATGACAGGCCTTATGATCTAAAGCACGCGCGTTCAACCAGCCAATCCCCCAAACGAATTGAACCAAACATGAGTGTATGTTAGCTATCAGATGAATTGAACCAAGGATGGGTGTGTTAGCTATCAGATGAATTGAACCAATGATGGGTGTGTTACTGATCAGATGAATTGAACCAAGGACGGCAAGGATGGGTGTGTTACTGATCAGATGAATTGAACCAAGGCTGGGTGTGTTACTGATCAAATGAACTGAACCAAGGATGGGTGTGTTAGCTATCAGATGAATTGAACCAAGGATAGGTGTGTTAGCTATCCGATGAACTGAACCAAGGACGGCAAGGCTGGGTGTGTTACTGATCAAATGAACTGAACCAAGGATGGGTGTGTTAGCTATCCGATGAACTGAACCAAGGATAGGTGTGTTACTTATCATATGAATTAAACAAAGGATGGGTGTGTTAGCTATCATATCAATTGAACCAAGGATGGGTGTGTTAGCTATCATATCAATTGAACCAAGGATGGGTGTGTTACTGATCAAATGAACTGAACCAAGGATGGGTGTGTTACCTATCAGATCAATTGAACCAAGGATGGGTGTGTTAGCTATCCAATGAATTGAACCAATGATAGGTTTTATATCACTTTATTAAGCCGAGATGATTTTTCATAGAATCGAAAAAATATACATATGGCATTCTATTATCTAAAACTAAACAATTCTTTCAAATATTTCGAAAGATTTTAAAAGATGGCACGTCATATAACAACAAAAACAAACTCGATAAACACATAACAACAACATCTTACCATTAAATGTATAAATTAATCTCATTTAGGTTTGATTTGGTACCTGATTTAGGTTGGTACCTTACATTATGTAATGATTAAAGTTCCAGCCACCGGGAACCATGCCTAATCAGGTACCGAGCCAGAACATGACATTGAATCAAATTTATAAATTAGTTTCTTTAATGTCTTATTAAGATGTCACAGTTAGATTTGGTACCTCGTTTGGGTCGGTACCTTGTATATGTGAGGAGTTGAGTCCCATACTCTGGAAACCATGCCTAACCAGGTACCGAGCCAAACCTTGACACCGTATCTAATTTATAAATTAAATTAATGTCATGGTACCTTGTTTGGTTTGGTATCTTGCATTATGTAATGGCTTGAGTCCCAGGCTCAGGGAACCATACCAAATCTGGTACCAAGCCAAACTGTTACACCATATCTAATTTGTGAATTAATCTCTTTCATGACTTATTCTGATGTCACACTTTGATGTGGTACCTTGCTTGGATTGGTACCTTGCATTATGTAATGATTTGAGTTCCAGGCACCGGAAAACATGCCTAAGCAGGGACCGAGCCAAACCGTGACACCATATCTAATTGCCAGTCATAACCGGTATCACAGCTTGACTTGGTACCAAGTTTCAGTTGGTACCTTGCTTAAGTCCGAGAACCAAGCCTAATCAGGTACCGACTCAAACCGTGACATCATTTATAACTGACTTGCAATGAAACTTGACAAGAGGAGAAATTTACAGACCACAAAAGACGATGTGATGGTTTTTGTCACTGACCAATCAAAAGAGCTTTTATTGCAAAGGAACATACATATAGACAAGAGACAGCAATAACTATTGGTCAATATAAAACATAAATAGATAGCTATTGTTCAATATGCTGATCATAACAACCAATGACTGTAACAGGCTTGAAAATAAAAATATACAAAAATTAAAAATATGTCATTCTTCATTTAAATGCAAATATAAAATATTGTGGACGAAAACAATGTTTAAAATGGCAGAAATAAAACAACATTTAAAATGGCAGAAATAACACAAGAAATTGAAAACAAAATAATGCAGTGTAAGAAAGACCAGAGACAATTTTCAGGTTGATTGGGAAGGGGCATAAATTTCCACACGGCTATATAAAGTAGCTAAGTCTCTAACTTAAAATCATCCAAAGTCTTCGACATTGAAAACACAAATTATTGGTTAATTTAAATCAACATTGATGTTGTGATCTTACCGGGGAAAATGTTGAATATGTCTAGCCTTGTTCTTTCTGGTCACTTGTTATAAATGACGATGAAACGCACTATGGTACACGATTCGTGTACCAATGGTTAAATGTTTATTTTGTCTTAAATATTGGATATCAGAAGCATACCTTTTCCTGGTAAGATCACAACATCAAATTAATTTGAAATGACAAATAATTTGTGTTTTCAACGTGTAAGACTTAGGATGATAATGAGTTAGAAACTTAGCTACTTTAATATATTATGTCTGTTGAAATTTATTAGAAATATAGCATTATTGTATTTTATAGATTCTGACTCGGTTTTATTGGTTGTCATGGTAACAGTTTTTTATTCTATTATGGGGGATTTGGGTGGCGGAACGGTCTGTCATTGAGTCAAGTGGCGTGGTTTCAATTCCCTGCATGGAGGACCCGGAGAAACCCACAAGATTTGGCAGGCGACCCTGCTCCTTCTTCTCGCATGAACAAGCAGGGAATCAACCCCACGCCACTTGACTCAATGACAGACTTTGTGATTTCACACGCACTTGTTAAAACCATTCGGCCACCCAACCATTAAGAAACAGGATACAACATTGTAATAGGTTACTTCTTTGACAAACATTAATATGTTATAAAAAGATACAAAGCAACGTTTGGACAATTTGCTGGATGAAAATGAGAGAAATGAAATGGGGTTTAACATCCTACTTTTCTGCACCAACTGGGCTACTAAAGACGCGCATGGAAAATTTGTATCGACAGTGGCACTATGGCCGCCTCTTATTTGTAATTTAAACTTTCAAGGATTCTTTTACATGCACGCCAATTTGTACACAGGACCTCAGTTTTTCATCCCATCCAAACGACTAGTGTCATAATCATCGAAACATTGCTTATTAATTTTAGTACCGATGGGTGTTCTCAAAGATCTGAAATGTAAAATTGGTGTGGCATATATTACATAGTAAAATAATAGAATTTAGTTTCTCTGGGTTTTGTTTAATAAATAACCCACTCAATTCTTGTGTTTTGTTCAAATTTCAAAACTTTTGTTGTTTAAATCAGTCTTTTTTCCCGAAGAAATAAGAAGCCAAATTCTAACAAGAGTTCAAACAGAAAATGAAATTTGTGTGGCCAACACATAAAACATACATTATGCTAGAGCTAATTCTGCATATTGCAGGTCTTTCTTTTGGCCTGAAGTGTTATTTAAATTATTAATTAAACATTAATTAACTTATCCAGATCATAATCAACTCTCGATGTCAACGCTAGCCTACGATGTTTATTGGATTAGGATCCGATTTGCTGCTCAACCTTCATTTATGATTTAATCATTAAATGGATAATCGAGACTATGGTTTTGTCGTACATACTTTAGTAATGATGATCGAGGCTAGACAGAAAATTCAATCGCTTAATTCTCGGTTCATAGTGGATCAATTTGACTGAAATTTTCAGCAAATTGCCTTTACATTATCTAGTTTTTAACTATGATAGTGAGAACTGCCACCTCTTTATCTAATCTCCCATAATGTATCTTTAATACACACTAGTCAAGAAATGTAATACAAACAAGTCAATATAGACAAACACAAAATTCACAAAATTAACACAAATTATTCATAACACAATTATTCACAATCTGTATATACAAAATTAACACAAATTATTCACAACACAATCAGATTAAAACACAGATCCTGTACAAAATGAAATGAAATGAATTGTGGTTTTAACATCCTACTGCTATCAAAATTCCAGAAGAGCTTCTTTCAATGAAATGAAATGAAATGTGGTTTAACGTCCTACTTCTATCAAAATTCCAGAAGAGCTTCTTTCAATGAACTGAAATGTGGTTTAACGTACTACTGTTCTGCTCCGATTGGGTTAATGAAGACGGGCATACGCCATACAGTGTGTTGTGAGCGAAATTTAGCCCGGACAGTGGCATATGGTCTACTCTTATATCAAATTCCAACTGCAAAGAGATCTTTTATGTGCACGCCAATGTTTACATGGGACCTTGGTTTTTTGTCCCGTCCGAATAACTAGACAGCTGTCCTTGTCAGACCCTCTGTCCTGCACCACTGACAAGGGAAAAGTACGCCAGAAAATCCAGATGAACTTTCTTGGCTAACATCGGGATCGAACCCGCGATCTCCAGGCTAGCGAGCAAGCGTCTTACCCACTGAGCCACCGTGATACCCAGGGCTAATAAAGACACGCATACCACAATCGTAATTTTATACAGATCTGTAGTTTAATTAAATTGTTCATAACACAAAGAAAAATATTTAATTGAAGGCAATACGAGAAAATCATGTGGTTTGTATACTGGTATATGTAACACTATATAATATATTGCTAAACAACTGCTGCAGTGGCAAAATTCCCCTTTCATATATCATCATAGATGTTTCGAAACAGTGGGGGGAGGATGCATACAGAATGCCTAACAAAAAGAAGGATGGTATTGCGGAAAGTTATAATGAACAATAAAAAGATTGGTTCCCTCGGCACTTCTACCATCATCATTATTTCATTTTTAATTATGTGATTAAAGTAAAAATATTCAGAGATTCTGTCCATAAACATATCATATCTCATTTGACGTAAATCTACGAAACTCTACTGCTATACTTAAAGATGCATCATGTAAGATTCAGATAAACAGGTGGTCCAGAGTACACTAAACATTCTCAGACTTAACTTACCAATATTCTCAAAATTGTTCGCATTATTTGAACTAAAATATAGCGCTTTATAAAACTTTTGTTGTTTTAATGTATCAAATACACTGATACTATGTGCTAAGTTTTGTGTTTCTGGATTAAAGATATTTCTCATAAACAGTGATTGAAAGTTGAGTCTTCAGTCTGAGAATGTTTTGTGAACTCAGGGCCAGGCCGTTCTTGCTATAATAATTTAAAAATCGATAATGAAAAATGTATATATTGAAAATGTCAGTCAAATTACTTCATTCTGTGCAAAATGCTGAGTGTTTGAGGTTTTGTCAAAATGTAGCGTACATTGTTTATTATGGCTGCGGTGTATTGGCTTATCATAGCTAAAACAAATTTCAATTTACCTATTACATAATGCATCTTTATGCGGACCTCTAATCTCTATATTACTAAATATAACTTTAAAAAACCTGTGCTCGAATTCATTAGTGCAAATTGAATATTATGACAAATTTCTACTTAAAGAATAATACTAAAAATTGTATATAATTTGTTAGAAAATAATACTTTATAACAAATAAACGTCTTGTTATATTATGACTTAGATTTTTCTACAAGATTAATGCTAAATAAAAAAAAACACAAAAAAAACTATACGCTTTTCTTTTGAAACAAAAATACTAAAAAAATGAGCCCTATGAAAAACAAATTTCCATATATGGTAAAAATTAAATTCTTTAAATACATTTATCACAACCTATACCGACGTACGTTTCTTCCATATATGGACACATCTCAATCTCCATTACCAATTAGGGTTGTTTTCTTCAACTGATTCTCACCGAGTTGATTTATATTTGTTCAACTCGTTCCTTATAAATGGCATCTTTTAGAACTTCATTTTTTTTTAAAACTTTACAATAAAAAATCTTGACTTTAACGTTCCTAATGATAATAAATGTATGTTGAAAATTTCCGTATAAATTAGTTTCATTTTAAAGTTTTTACTAATAAATCATTCTTTGTGTGACAATTTTTTCCATTATAATCCTATTTGTAAGGTTTTGATAAGAAATGCCCATACATGTAAGTAAAAGACTGACTCATTTAAAAATTGTCCATCTTGATAACTCATAAAATAACTGTTCTTGAAATTTTAAAAAATATTTGTAGATTGTTCTTTTCTGTAACTTTTTTACTAAATACTTGTTCTTGAACTTTCGAATTGATATCTCTTCTTTTTATAAATAACATTTCTTGAAATTCCTAATCAATAACTGTTCTGTAACTTTTTTTTACTAAATACTTGTTCTTGAACTTTCTAATTGATATCTGATCTTTTATAAATAACATTTCTTGAAAATCAAATTAATAACATTTCTTGAAATTCCTTATTGATAATGGTTCTGTAACTTTTATAATTAATTTGACTTGTACTGCATATCGACTTACACCCCCGTCAAATACGGTAATAACATTTTTTGAACTTTAGTAATAATGTGAATTTCTTATTACACAACTTTGAACTTTTCTTATAAATAATATTTCTTTCAAATTAGTAACATTTCTCGAACTTGTTAAATTAACAACATTTCTTGAACTGATCAAATTAATATCATTGAATGTTAGTACCCTTTTCTGAAACTTTTTTATGATATAACCTATCGGCACATTAATCCTTAATATTAAATAATCATTACTGAACCTTCTGTAACACTTTGTAACATCCCCTTGAATAGTTCACACTATATTACACACACCTAAAACACTGTCATTTAAACTGTTCAAATTATTAACATTTCTTAAACTTTAGTACCAGGTAATAAATGAGCCTTTTCTTCAACTTTTCTATTAAATACAATCTGTAATACATCGTAATGTCCCCTTAAATCATTCAAAATATATTACATCCTTATTTAGATTATATGATTCTGTAATTTCAACTTTTCAAATTAATAATTTTAGTCATAATGATGTTTTTCTTCAACTTTCCTATTACTACAAATATTCAACACGTAATAAACTTGCCTCTACATAAGGCACCTGTCAGACCTTGTCATAAGCAAATTATCACACGTTTATATTATAATAGAAATAAAATGAAATGAAATGGGGTTTAACGTCCAACTGGGCAAATGAAGACGGGCATAACCCATACAGTGTGCTATGAGGGAAATTTTGCCTATGGTATACTCTTATATCGAATTCTAACTGCCAAGGATCTTTTATGTGCAAACTATTGTATACACGGGACCTCGTTTTTTTTTTTGTCCCATCCAAACGACTAGATAGCTGTCCTTGTCGAGCCCTCTTTCCTGCACCACTGACAAGGGGGAACCACGCTGGAAAATCCCGATGTCAATGCAGGGATCAAACACGGACATCCAGGCTAGCCAGCCAGCGTCTTACCCACTTAGGCACTGTGGCTCCTATTATAATATAAACGTTGTATGATAATTTGTGTATGACAAAATCTGCGACAGGTATCTGTCTTATGTTCAAGTTTGTTCATAATATCCCCTTAAATTAGTCAAAATTGTTCAAAATTGTTCCGAATTGTTCCAATTTAATGTTTGAATACATGATTCTGTACATTTATATATTTCACAGTCAAATATTCTACATAATGTCCCCGATAGTGCTGTTATGTCGGGTCTTCCGATCGTTGGGGCCAGCAGCTTGATCATTATTTTTTCTTGTCAACGCAGCCATGCGATCAAAGTCGATCATGGCGTAACTTTCTGTCTTTTTACTTGGAGATTCTGGTAGCGAACTAAAACTCACGGGGGATGTCGGGGAAATACTCTGGCATGGTGACGGATTATCTGACGTTTGGTTTTTCAAATCCAACTGAATATAATTGACAAGCGTATCTTCGTTATTATTATTTGCGATCACTTCCCCGTTTAAAGTTAAATTGGCATAATTATGATCCCTCTTGAGAATCGTCGAGTCCCGTGCCCCAGCCCCTCCTTGAGCACCTTCTGGGGCAATGTTTATATATTCTGGACACGCAGCTGCTTCAGAAAGTCCTTCCAAGAAAACGTCTGAATCCATCGAGACTAACACAACGTCCTCACTAACGACCCCTAAACCACCTGTACTGTTTGTTTCACTAACCAATCGTCCACCGGCTCGGTTATTTTCCTCGCAAAGATTCTCAGTGCTGCGTGGCAAATCTAGCTCCGCGTAGTTGACCTGTGGTTCCTGGGATGGAGCCAAATTTGGGTTGTGCAGGAAATCAATGAGAGCAGAGGTTTGATCCAAGCCGTTACTAAGACCACCAGTATTAGTATTAATATACTCGTGAGAGTTCCGCTGTACGATATCACCATTAACGTAAAGCTGGGCATTACCCAGACTTCCACTGAATGAATTATTCCGACCGTTTACCATTATGCCATACGTTTCGTGTGTTTCCGTCAGGGAATGCGGTCGACTATTCGGTCGACTCGATCCTGTGAATATATTATGACTAACACGAGTATGATCCTCCTGACCTGCCCGTAATATGCATTCCTGTACCATGTTAAACAATGCCTCCGCATTCCGACATTTGAACGCGTAAATTCCAGGTCCCGTCGGACATCTTCGCCCACTCTCAAACGAAAATAATTCTGCATCAAAACCATAGCGTCTCAGGCATCTCAGAGGCCAAATGATTGGTTCTTTTCCTTTCTGATAAAGAATCAAATCTGTGTCTCCGATTTCGATCTTTCCCGGGCTGAGCTCCGATCCACGCTCGTCGACGTTGTAAACTCGAAAGACGTGAGCGTTGATTTCGCTATTCAAACTTCTAGCAAAGCTACAGCCCATGATAACTGTTATCTACCTTCTCGCTTCATGCCTGAAAAACATAAATATAGAAATAAAATGGGGTTTAACCAGGGATGCTATTTCAAAATTTTGCTTATCACAGAATTAGGTCGCCAGAAGTTGAAGTCAGCTGGGAAAATAGGGTCAATAAGCTGAGATAATGAAGACAGGCCTACATCATGCAGGGTCACATAAGGTAAATTTTGTAAAGAGAGAGAGAGAGAGAGAGATGGGGTTTAATGTCCACTCAACACAGACTAGGTCATTTCAAGACTAACATGTGGTTTAATTTTATTTCAATAATTCTCCATTTCTCTCTCTCTCTCTCAATGTTCTGGGATGGTTGGGTGGCCGAATGTTTTAACATTAGAAGTCTGTTACTGAGTCAAGTTCAACCTCTTGGGCTTTTTCTCTGGGTCCTAGGGTTTCTTCCCACTACGCACTAGTAAATTATTGAAAAAAATTTTTAAATCATGTGTTAGTCCCCCCCCCCCCCAAAATGTCTTCATTAGCCCAGTGGGAGCAGAACAGTAGAACGTTAAACCCCATTTAATTTCATTAGTCCTGTCTTTGTTAGTCCTGTCTTCGTTAGTCCTGTCTTCATTAGTCCTGTCTTCGTTAGTCCTGTCTTCATTAGTCCTGTCTTCGTTAGTCCTGTCTTCGTTAGTCCTGTTGGAGCCGATAATTAGGATGTTAAACCCCGTTTCATTTTATTTTCTGGGGGGTTGGATGGCTGAATGGTTAGCGTGCGCGCGCTGTATCATAAAGTCTGTCATTGAGTTGACTGGCGTGGTTTCGAATCCCCGGTTGTACGTGGCAAGGAGTAGGGTCGCCTGTCCAACCTCGTGGGTTTTCTCCGGGTCCTCCGGTTTCCTCCCACTGCTAAAGACCCATACGCGCAAGCGAATTATGTAAATAAAATTAAACCATATGTTAGTCCCGAAATGACCTAGTTTGTGTCGAGAGGACGTTAAACCCCATTTCTCTCTCTCTGTCTCTATTTTATTTTCTAGCCATTTAGATGTCCTAAATTAAACTAGCTAAATCTCTAACTCAATATTTTCCATAATATTCGAAATTAAAAACACAAATTAAAATTCAATATTGGTCGATTTCAATCAATATTGATGTTGTTATCTTGCCATGAAACTATAGCAACCCAATATCCAATATTTAAAGATACAATGAACATAGAGAGAGAGAGAGAGAGAGAGAAATTGGGTTTAACCTCCACTCGACACCAACATAGGTGATTTCGGAACTAACATATGGTTGAATTTTATTTCAATAATTCGCTTGTGCTTAGGGGTCTTTAGCAGTGGAAGGAAACCAGAGGACCCAGAGTAAACCCACGAGGTTGGACAAACGACCCTACTCCTTGTCACGTACAACCGGGGATTCGAAACCACACCAGTTGACTCAATGACAGGCCGCATGATACAACAAGCACGTGCTAACCATTCGGCCATCCACCCCCCAATGAAGAAAGAAAACCATATCCTAAATTACAATGCGACAGTAAATAGTAATGGCTGATTCACAAATGATAAAATAATAATAAAAGAAACGTTTAGAACGGACGACGAAAGCGTTAAAGACTGTCTGTCAGTTTGGACTGTTCGCCTATTTCACCAAACATAATTGATTAGAAATTACAATATAGTCTTCAAAAATTGAATATAAGTCACTTTACATACATTCATATTACATTAAAGGAGCTAAATCGCTAATATTTGGCACCTCGACATAGACCGAAATGGGTCACAACGCATATAATAATGTAATTTGATTGTATATAAACTGATTTACATTCAATTGTTTCCGTTTTTACTCTTATTTCAAATCAGTTATGTCCAGCGAAATACGGCATGAGTCTCAACCAAATGCCAATTTCTAGCGTCTGGTTATTCCAGTCTATTGCGCATGCTCTCCAGATAAGAATTGTATCACCGGTTGACATGAGTTGTCGAATATGTCTAGCCTCGTTCATTCTGGTCACTTGTTACAAGTGACACTGAAACGAATTATGGTACACGATTCCTGTACCAATGGTAAAATGTTTATTTTGTCTTAAATATTGGATATCAGAAGCCTACCATTTCCCGGTAAGATCACAACATCAATGTTGATTTGAATTGACAAATAATTCGTGTTTTCAACGTGTAAGACTTTGGATGATATTGAGTTAGAGACTTAGCTGCTTTAATATGTGCTTTTAGGATCATTTAAGGTTCCAAACAATAGAGTCATCCGCCCTTTAACTGTTCTGCATCAACTGGGCTTACATCAAGCAGACAGTGTGCAATGAGGGATGCTTTACCCTGGTTTGCGTTGAGTGGAAGCTAAACTCTCTCTCTCTCTCTCTCTCTCTCAATAATTCATTACCACCTTTCTATGACCAAATATGGATACTATTAATTTATCTACAGCAAGCTGTGCAATAATCTAGTTAATAGACAAGAATAGTCTTAATTTGTCATTTATTGCTGTTTGTTACCAAATATAACCGTGATATACCCAACATGTTACTATAAATAAGTGTGCGATACACAAATAGATCATGTATTAGACCAGTGAGGATATCAATCACCATAAAATATTTTTTTTTTGCCAATAATTGTGAAATGTGATCTGTAGAAAATGTTAAATTACTCTCGTCGCTGATCGTTCAGCAGTATCTAATTTACTTTTTACGGCTTAACCAAAGTAAATTGGTCATTCAACATTTTATTTAGGAAACAACGTCTAATTATCAACGGTTGATACAAGGGTTAGGGTTAGGGTTATTGTAGTGTTCTGATTTGGATTCAATCAGATTGTGAAGAAATGAAATGGGGTTTAAAGTTGCAATTTCATATTTTTAAGTTATATTTTTAAAATTTATTAAAATAAAGCCTTAAAATAGATGGTATCTATAAACAGTCCTACCTTGTTAAAGAATAATCCTATTAATCCTATATTTCACTATTTCCAGTTGAGAAATTGGCAAATATATCATTTTCAACTTCAAATTCAAACGTTTGAAGATAGCTATTCAATGGGGGGAATAGAAAAACAAGGGAGGTAATTGTTTTATTATTTCCGGGTTCAAAGGATTTTTAAGTGGGAGAATAACACCTATGATCGTATAATAGTGAGTTGACAACCTATTGAGCAAAAGACATAGAAATAATTATGTTTTGACTTTCTTAGAAAATATGAAATTATCGCTTTAACGTCCTACTGTTCTGCTCCGACTGGGACAATAGAGACAGGCATATGCCATACAGTGTGCTATGAGGGAAATTGTTGCCCCGGCAGCGGCACTATGGCCTACTCTTGTATCGAATTCCAACTACCAAGGAATCTTTTACGTGCACGCCAATGTGCACGGGACCTCTGTTGTTTTTTTTGTCCCATCCGAACAACTAGACAGCTGTCCTTGTCAGGCCCTCAGTCCTTCACCACAGACAAGGGGAAAACACGTCGGAAAATCCCGATGTACTTTCTCAGCCAATGCAGAAATGAAATGGTGTTTAACGTCCGACTGTTCTGCTTGTACGGAAACAAGGATTAGGGTCGTCTGTCCAACCTCAATGGTTTTCTTCAGGTCCTCCGGTTTCCTCCCACTGCTATACAATTGAACCATATGTTAGTCCCAAAATGACCTAGTTTGTGTGGAGTGGACATTAAACCTCATTTCTCTCTCTGTAATATTTCTCAGTAATTATGTGTCTTCATTTAAACCAATCGTTCAATGCTCTAACTTTTTATACCAGCTCAGGTGACATAAGGTCTTTTTTGCAAAGAGAGAGAGAGAGAGAGAGACAGAGATGGGGTTTAACGTCCACTCGACACAGACTAGGTCATTTCGGGACTTAACATGTGGTTTAATTTTATTTACATAATTCCCCATCTCTCTCTCTCTCTCTCTCTTAGATACACGCCAATGTGTACACAGAATTTCAGTATTCCGTCCCATCCTGCAAGGCCTTCTCTCCTGCACCAATAACAAGGAGAAAACCACGCTAAAAATCTCAAGGAACTTACTCAGTCAAACTGGGACCTCACTAAGCGACCTTCATTTTAATTATTATAGAAGTATGGGTATCAGGTCAGACCGTTATTGTGTTCATATGACAGATGATTAAATATGACATTTAAAAGAGATTGTTGTTGGTAATTGATCGAATGCTAGATGAAGGTCAGCTGGTCAAGGTCATTACAATTCAAACATTGTCAATAAGCTGACATTACACTACATACAGTTTGTTGTCCTTAGGTACATTCAGAGAGACAGAGACAGAGATGGGGTTTAATGTCCACTCGACACAAACTAGGTCATTTCGGGACTAACACAGGGTTCAATCTTATTTCAAGAATTTGCTAGCGTGTATAGGGGTCCTTATTTGCAGTGGGAGGATACCGGAGAACCCCGAGAAAACCCATGGGATTGGACAGGTGACCCTACTTCTTGTTACATACAAGCGGGGAATCGAAACCACGCCACTTGACTCAATGACAGACGTTATGATCAAACGGTACATTCTAAGATGGACTTTATAGGTGACCCTATTAATGTTCTTACGTACATGTACATGTAGTTTGGTGGCCCTTTTTTTTAGTTTGACAGCCCTTTTTAGTCTTAAACTTACTTTGTTTTTAGCCAGACGCTAAATTTGTGCATCCGCTAGACTAGAAGCATCAGGTTAAACGCATGTTCCTGAAAGATTGACAGTGAGTTTTACAACATCTACAGTCATTGTTTTTTAAGGCGAGCGATCGCTCTTGAGCACTTGTCACTCACCTGAATGTCGACTGAGGGGAGTTTTTTTTCCCTCTCCTTAAAATTGAAAATCGCTCTCCTTTACAAAGTCATGGGTGGTTTATTATCATTTATGAAACCAGGTATGACCCTGCTAACATGCAGTTATTGATCTTCAGAACCATTTCTCATACACTCAACTAATCACTCTCCTTAATATCAGATCATTCTCCCTAATTTCTAAAATCACTCTTATTATCGAAACTGGGAGAGCTTCTTTAGGGAAG